TTTGAATCACCATGACCCACTTTTTTCTTTCTACCATACGAGATGCTATAGAAGTGAAGGTCGAATTTTGCTCGTAACTAGCCTGACACTCTATTTGTTAGGTTATCTTATATTATACATTTCATTCTCAGTATCAGTATATCGAAACGAATCCAGGTTCCATGTTTTTCCATATAAAAATGTACTGCGAATGCAAACGACTCTTCTGTCACATGTTATTGTCTTGGTTTTAGCTCGCATTGTAATAAAAACTGTAATTATCTAGATGTTTTCTGAGTTTCCACTTAATTGTTTCCTAGCCTACTTACAATCCCTTCAATATAATACAATGACTGCCTGAAACACCCTGTAGTTTTTGAATGTATCATGAGGCGGCCTATTCACTTGAATTCGTAGTTACACCTTTCTGCATATGACGAAACACTCCATAGTTCAGTGTCTCTCTGACAACCTGATTTAAAAAGGCTCCATAGTGCCGCAGAACATAGCATTTAAAATTTCGTTATCTTCAACCGATAAATTTTTCAGCTGCATTGAGCGGTCCATAGGAATCTCGTCAGTTTTGTAGCACACCAGCCTCTACATAATAAAAAGAGCCAGTTTAGTAAATCTGAGATGTGATAGTGTAATTCGTTCTGTAGTCTAATGTGACAATCCCGATTCGTTTGTTATACGGTTTATATTTAATTTTGATCACATTTTGAATTTAATTGTTTCTTCATGTCTTAACGTTGCAGTTCTCCTTCTAAACTTTATCAATTCTGTTTGGACAATATGACTGAAGCTTAGAAATTAGTGTATATACGTTACAATTTATATTTAGGTTTATTATTTACTGCTCAGCTCTCCGATGGTTTGATAATCAGGAGCAACAGTAATTTTAATGTACTTTCTCTTCTGTGATCCTTTTATCTTCACACAGTTTCAGTGCTATGGACGTTTGAATACTGTTGCTTAAAATAAGGATTTGCTTCCTGAACATTCAAATAATGTCAGAGATTTGTTAACTCGGTCATAAACAAATACTGTTTGGTTGGAGGATTTCATCATCAGCTGACATCAGTTAGAGAACCATTGGAAAACCTGCATGGAGCACTGGATAGCTGTTTCGTCCTAGTTTGGGACTCTTCACAGAACGCACCTACCGCCAGGGTTCGAGCCCAGCACCTTCTGGCTACATGGTGAGCTGGCCGACCATTAAGCCACTGGGACCTGATCCATTCTCTAACTGATGTCAGCTCATGATGAAATCCCTACAAAACCAATACTTGAAAATACTGTTTCCTTGTTCATATTATCTTTCCAATAGTATTTTTATAAACAGTTATCTATAGTGAGAAAGTTACGAATCAATTTACAACCAGGATCACTCATACTATTGAAGAATTGTTCACTGAAAAGTCTTGCAGGATCTGAGATTATTTATAAGAATGGAGTTGTTTACGTATATTATATGCGTTGTAATTCTTTACATCAGGATTCCATTTTTTGTATACCTAATGAAAAGGGAATTAGTTAGGTCTTGTGAAATTTATTTTTATGAATAGAGCTACAAAAACAAAATGGATAAATTTTTTGAATATAATTCTGTGAATAAATATATGCATCATTTAAATAAATGAGATTCAACGCCTAAAGGCACAGAAACTTAATATAACATGACTTGAGATCATGTGGTCCAGCTAAATTTGTGATCTTACGAACAGTATCGTTTCAATTTTACATACTTCATTGAGCAACAAGCATACAGTTTTGCTTGAGCGCTGATGTAAAACAAAAATAAAGTCAGAAAGAAGACAGTTTACACAGCTCTTAGTTTTCTCATTATTTCACTAAAGAATGCTTTAATACTTTTTTCTCTTGCGTCCTTGGCTATTTAAAAACTCAGTGAAGAAAAGGAACTGAAAGACTATGTAGGTACCATGTCATACACTTCCTAATTAAATGAGAATTTCTGACAGAATCATTTGAACTGCTTCTTTCGACACTATTAACAAGTTTTTATTTTGTATTATACTATGAAATTCAGCACAAGTTCTCATGCAGTTTGTAGGCAGAATAATGATAGATTTTGATGTACCATCTCATTACTTAGACAAAAGCCACATTTCTATGCAAGGAAACGTTTTAGGCTCACTTCATTTTGTTTCAATTTTTCCATATTTGTCCTGTACGTTTTGTATTGTTCCACTTCATTGTTTTTCCTATATATATAGAAAGAGAATTCTGTCATATATACATCATCAATGTTTTCAAGTTACCCAACTTTATTACATTTTAGTGGTGGACATTGACATATCCTTCATCATTTTGTCGTCAGTTGTATTGTTTTTCGCTATTATTATTATTATTATTTCATCTGTTGCTAACAAAGGTAGTAATAATTCACTTTAGTCTCTGTTATTGTCATCCTTATTTATCCTATTGTAACCTCACTGTTTTTCTATTGTTATTATTTTAACAATTTTCCCTGTTTTCATTGATTATTTTTACCCAAGCAATTCATTCTTGTAATAACAGCTTGTACAATTTTAGTATGCTTGACTGCGTCCTAATTCACAGTCACAACTTCAGGTAATGACGATTTTTACATTGAAGTGTACAGATTATTGTTATTCTCAACACTATATTTTCATTTTAAAATTACTTCTAACATAAAAGATCAAAATCACATTGAACGGATCTACTGTGTAATATAATCTTCATTGTTCCCAGATCAATGAGAATAACTAGTGAGTACTGTTCTGGCAAATGAAAAAAATTACTTCCTTTAAACGTAGACAATCAAATTTCCCTCGTCCACAGTGAAATAAATGTCGGCTTTTTAACTTCAGACTCCTGGCTTCCTTGTAAACATAAATTACAACTGACATGTGACTATTGTATTTTTAAGAAAACGTACTGAAAAAACTTTACGACTTTATTTATGACATAAAACAAAACAAAAAAATACTGTTATTTCCGTTTAAGAAGGCTGCATGAAAGAAGTGACAAGTGTTCTGTTCTGTTATTCAGTTATATGTATATCAAAAATGGTGCACATCAGAAAAAAATTCTTTTTCATAACTTCCATTGAAAGCTTAACAAATAAGTGGTGTTCTTAAAATAGTCTTAGAAATCAACAAAAATAAAGTGAGAAGTGCTGACAATTTTCTTTAAAACTATAGCTAAACATTATTCATCACCTGATCATTTATATAAGGCTGAATTGTCTAAGCAAGTCCTACGATTTCCTCTTACGTAATTCAATGTGTTTATTTACTAATTAATATCATTAATTGATATTTGTTGAAATTTCCTGCGAGATTTTCTTTAAACTTTACAGCTCTGATGATTTAGGATGAAAGGAATATTTTTCGCTGACCTGTGTCGTATTAAATTCATTTCGCAATGACATTTGTTTGTGTGAAGGATGTGTGTGAAAGATAACAGAAATAGGTGGATCTTACGCAAAATTGTCGACAAGTGAAAATTAGCAACCTTGAATATTCCTCCCAGAGAAATGGATTCGTTTACTTTTCTTACTTATATTACTGAATAAATTATGCTAACCATGTGACAATCGATAGCATATAAGGAAGACATAGCCATTTGTTCAGGGCACTTTCACAGAATAATCAGTAAAATATAACACACTTTCATTTATAATAACGTTCTTTATATTCCTTTACATTGTGATCAGAACACAAGCCAAAGCTCCGAAGTTTCGCTAGCAGCGGTTTTACTTTCACGTAATGGGTTTGCTAGCCTCACCTAGCACAACCTCCCCACTTTACAGACTTAATGAGATAAAGGAGTGCATCGACCGAGGGTCGGTGCCCGGACCGCATGTGTGGTTGGCGGGCGTCCTACCACTGAACCACCGACAAACAAAATCGCTGCCTCGACATTCACGTCATTAGCACAAAGCTTCGGATGACTGAGCTACGAAACCAGCCATGTGATTCCACAATTAGGATAAATACGCGAATACCAGCAGCATCGTTACCGGCAGAATTTAAAAACGTTTACTCTGATGAGATCATACATATATGCGTTCGAACTGGTGCTCTTTAATCCCTATCATAAGTAGGTAAGTGTACGAAACTTATTTCCTAATCGTCCTTAGCAGCCAAATACACTGAAATGAATATAATGGAATCCTGAAACCAACTGGCTGCTTGGTTTATTCAGTATTGACTATGCCTCAAAAAACTGAGTTTTTCGTTCAACTGTTAAACTGATCCTTATTTATGTATAAAGCATCTACTGGAAAACTAATAAAGGAAGAGATTATATCACTCGAATGGCAATCCAGTGTAATATTGTTACGAAAACACAACTGTAACCAATTATCTTCATTCGTATTATCTTAAACATACTCTGAACTGAAAAATTTAGCCAATTTATCATCTGGTATTATCTCATGTCTCAGCTCAGCAGGAAACCCATTTTTAAAGCAGTTAGTTCCCTTTAGGAATCTCGACAACACAATAAGCAGACGTAGTTTATGTGAAACATATAATGTATTTGCGCAACGCATTTTGAACCTTCTGATCACACACGTACTTGTCATACACAGTCATATAGAAGGCAAGAAGGCATGAATTATTACAGTACAGTTCAAGGTTACAAATAATGGGTTGGGAGATAACACAAGGATATTGGTAAGAAAGAAAGAAAAACAAAGAAGGGGTTGAAAATATTATGAAGTAAATTGAACCTTGATTCCGAATTGGATTACCGAGGCAGGTTTAAAGAGACCCCAGTTTCGTTCAAGGAAATCTGATAAGAAACACATTTCTTCAACAATTGTTAGGTAAAGTTCTTTATTCAGACTTTGTGACAATTATTATTCCCTTGAATGCACTCTAAAATATATTTTAATCTATAGTTACGTTCCATGTTAAATATTAAATTACGCCTTTTTACAATTTTAAACAAAAAATCCAAAATACACATCTCACGACAGAAAATATATAAATGTAATTTTTGTTTAATTCATCTACATTTTAAATTAGGCTATAAAAGAAATATTCCTGATTGGCCACGATATTCCATGCAAGGTGATTCTGAGCAAGGAGTACACGATTTATTAATTCACAATGTGAGTCGAGAAGATGCTGGAGTATTCGAGTGTCAAGTTTCACCTGTTGCTGGACAAAACCCACTTCGGCGTCAAACACTGTTGGTTATATTAGGTAAGTAAATGCTAGCATCATTTAAATTTCTTAAGATTTCTGTATATTTTTCAAGGACAGAATATGGTTATGAATATGCACTTTAGTTGATTTTTTTTCATACATATTCCCACCATGTTTTTCCATAAATTTCGGGTTAAATTAGAAGAGTAACTATTTCAAGATTTGCTTAGCCAACAGTTAATTACATTAAAAAAACAGGAATGGTGAGTATCAAAACCAAAACTAACTCACTGTAGTCTGAATGCAGGAAACCGATCTCTGCATTCTAATGCATAGCTGACAAAACCTCTTTGAGAAACTCACATTCGCCGATCACTCCAAAGACAGCAAAACGACGATTGGAAACTATCTGTGGTTCCACCCAACAATAATAACACCAGGAAAACGCAAAACTAACTCAACAGTGCTGTGAGGTAGCTATACACGCAAATTTGGTTTCTAAGCATAAAACAAGTACTGTAGAAGAGAGTCAATTAACCGAAATTAGACTATCAGAAGTACCTTAGAATCAAGTAGAATATTCTCAACAAGGTGGGATCAATAACTCTCTCCACAGCAATTACACGCCGATGCTTCTCCCAGATAGTCCAAAGTCAGAACGATCTTCATTAACTCAAACAAAGTCACATCGTAAGACAATAGATTATCAATGTATTGTACAACTACTAAAGGAAGTATTAAAACTAGAGAATGAACAGGGACAAAGAGAAATAATAAGGAACACGTCAACAAATGATACGTAAATGTCAGAACAATGATAGACAGTTCTGGAGAAAAAGGGATAATAATTGGGAAGTTAGTTGAAACTTTCAAATAAGTATAAATATTGTGATCAAATCATTCAGGAATGATTTTAAAAACGATTCCGTTACCATACTAATTAGGGTATGTAAGGAATTGTAGTATTACTACTTCATACATTTGGTTCCCTTGGTAAATTTCGATAAAGAAAAGAAGACGAAATTCGCTGCATAAAATGATATCATTCTATTACAAAGGTTCTCATCATCTGCAGACTACCTGAAATTACAATGGTTATATAGATGATAATAACATACTTTAGTGTTTAAGTGGTAGTAGAGAACAAATACTATAAAACTGACTGTAAATTTGCCTAAGCGATCGCAATCAAACGATTCAAACCAGACTTATTCACACAGAAACAGAGTGTGATTAAGCTCTCATTGCCTTGGTAACTGAATTTTGATTTTGATTACATTAATTAGTCATCTAATTCAGTTATCTCAACTCACTGAACAAATCCCAATATTATAAACTGTAATCGTTCTTGATTTCTGAGTTGCTGAGTGAACCTACAAGCCAACACTTTTGTTAATTTTTTCTGTTGTCTGTCTAACCCCTCCCCCTCCTTTCTACTTTGTGAGCGTATAAATTGGTGACGAAAACCTTAACTAAAATTTGTAATGATAAGATTCTGGATGTGTAGTAGTATTTCTTCTCTACTACCACTTAAACACTAAAGTATGTTATTATCATCTATATAACCATTGTAATTTCAGGTAGTCTGCAGCTGATGAGAACCTATGAAGCAGAATGTTATCACTTTATAGTATTATTATTATTTTTCCCTTGGGTTCTAAGTGGAACATAGTGCTTCAACCACACATCTATACTATGTTCTATTTTCTGCTGTCCTCTTCCTCTGTACCCACTACAGCGCATAATCTCTCATCCCCTCCTCACATGATCACCTCCTTGTCACCCTTGAATGAACCGCTCGTCTCTTCCCCCTAGAATTCCCAACGTATGCCCTATCCACCTCAACTTCCTCCTGCATAGTTTTTGAGCAATCAGCTCTTCGTTGGTGGGCTGACAGAGCTTTTCTTGCTAATTCTTTCTGATCTATATATATATATATATATTTATACATAGGGGTAACAATATATGCCTTAACTCACTTGAAAGAATACTGGAAGCGTTACGAAGAAATAAGAGGAGTACATACGTAGGAATTTCTGCGTTCTATTTCGATATCTAAGATTTATGAGAAGATGAAGTTTCACAGTCTGACTATAATAGCTCCACGTGATCTTGGAAAGTTGAATTAACCAAAAACACCACATTAGTTTCGACAAGCCGTAAATTACTGAAGATAAATCTAGCTTTAGTTGTATTCGTTAAATAACTTTCAGGCAGCGCATACATATGCTTTCATGCATGTTAAGTTCGAGACCTTAGCGTGTGTCTTCAGTTAATTTTTGTATTTGCGACTTTCATAGTTTACATGCAGTAGTTTCGAATGCTAATCTGAATGCAACTGCGAGAAATGTCTCATTCAAATCTCCTCGAAGTTAATTTGTGATCTCAGCTAACTATCCCTCTTAAACTGAATGTTTATGAATCGCGACTTGATAATTTAAGTGAAAATAGACTGTTTGTCTATCTTTAACTCTTCCTTTTTTCAAACTGTCTCAGTGCCTGTTTTGTCCGAATGTCAGTTAGTTTATGCATAAATTTTCTGTTCACAATATATCTCCATTTGTAACAATAAACTGATCAATTTCAATTCCTATTGTAATGTAGCTTGCGTGCTAGACGTTAATTACTCAAAATTACTCAGTCATCAATCATTTCAATTTAATTTTGTATTTTCTGTCAGAACGTTTTCAGACAGGACAATGAATAATTCTTCAATTTGATGAGATTACAATAATTTTAGAAAATGAAAATTTTTTTTTATACTCAAAACTTAATAGTGGCGCAAAATAAGATAAGTGTTAACAAGTACACTCTACAACTAATTCCGTCTTTAGATGAGAACTTATTCTATAGTGATTTGTTGCAGCTGTTATTACAGTGTAAGATGTTTTAGTTTTGACTGGATTTGTACACTAAATTACACTAGGTTTTTAAATTGTTGAATCACTTTATGTCAGTATCTAGGTGTCGAGGTATACTCCATTACCAGCTATGGGTACACTAGCTAAGATTCAGCAAATATTTTAAGTTTCGTTGAAAACAAACCAAGCTATTTAATTACCACTAAATTCTCAGACTAATTTTGCTCCTGAAAGCCACTTCAGAATTTGCTTCAAAGCTTTTCGAATATTATGCCGTGGTTTATGCCAATGAGATTATCAAGTCTCATGTTCCTTGCAGTATATTAATTTCTTTTCTGTAATGCGTTTAGATCATTGCATCTTCAACCCTACCGTTCTTCTGAATCTGGCGTTTTATTGCTTGCTGAAACTATTCTGAGTCCCCCGCTGGCTGATTTTTATTAGACCTTAATGCACATTCTCTATTGTCATGTCGTCATCTAGTACGAACGCTTCGATGGTAACTAAGGATTAAGCCTAAGTTATTTGGTTGATGGTAGATTTCAGCACTAGCCACAACTAACTAGGTAACTAACTATATCTCAGTCTTTGGCGTTACAAACCGGATAAGATTGACAGCGTACCTAAGTTCAGATTTTTTGAAGCTAACTAGGCTGTACTTTATCTCGCTTTTATGGAGAGTCAGAAAGAAACTAAGATAAATCCAAAACTATTCTCTACTGAAGCCTGCTAAAGCCCTCAAACTGGCATGAGTTTCCTATTCACTATAGGTACCTCATGTACTAAGTAGGAAAAAACATTCCTTTACAAGTGACTTAAGTCGCATTTCTAAGTGCATCTAGTCTCCATATTCATGAATTGCAGCACTCGTATATCTTGAACATTTCTTCGGTAGTCCACATTAATATCTGAAATCCAGACACATCACCACTTTGTTATTATTGTTTCCTTTAATTCCTAGAGGAACATAGGGCTTCAGCCGCACGTATCCATTGCGTTCGGTTCTCTGTCAACGTTTTCACGTGGCTCTACATCTGCCCACATGCTTTCATCTCCTCTTCAAATGACCTCCTAAATGTCTTCCTCTCAATGGCGACCAACTCGCCGCTTCCCATTCGGGTTCCACTGTAGTGATGGCCTGACATGTGATGTCAGTTGATGGTTTGCTTTCTCAGAGGATGGCCAATTCACTTCCGTTTCTTCCCGCATATTTACTGCACAAATTTTTCCTGGTTGGTTCACTCCCAGAGATCTCTGTCACTGATCTTTTCTGATCTTGAGTATTGAGCAAAGACAGCTGTTGATAAAAGTCTGTAGTTTGTTCGAAGTGCCCTTCGTGACGCGGCACCAAGTCTCCGATCCGTATAGTAGCACTGACTTCACATTGGAGTTGAAAATCCGGATCTTATTTTGCATGCTGAGGAGTGCTGTTGACCTCCACACAGACTTGAGAGTAATGAAAGCTTGCCTTGCTTTCCCGATCCTCGCTTTAATATCCTCATCAATTCCACCTTCTTCTAGTTGAAACTATGCTTCCCAGGTAGGTAAAGGTTGCTTCTTTCAGATTTCTCCCATTTATGCTGATTGTTGTCTCTTGTATTTGCTGCTGGCCAGGAGTCTTCGTCACCTGTGTTTCCTCTATGTCCACCTGAAGTCCTATCTTCTCTGGATGCTTCTTCTGCCAACTTGTTGCTTTTCACCTTCATATCTTCCAGTTTGTGGGAAATCAGACATATATAATTGACGAAGTTAAGATCCTTCAAGTTTTTGTATGGGTCCATTTCATGCCTGTTTCCTCGCTGCCCACTGTCTGTCTCATTATCCAGTCTACCGCAGTCATGAAAATCATTTGAGATAGTAGGCAGCCGGCCAGTTTGTCCTACTCCCGTCTTCACTTCAAAGGATTCCATGAGTTTCCCGTTGTGGATTACTTGGCATGCAGCATTGTGGTACAATTGTTGGATGAGATGTATAATTGTCGGCTGTATCCCGTAGTAGCGAAGTAGTTGCCAAATCACCTCTCGATCGACGCTGTCGAAAGCTATTCTAAAGTCTATGAAGTTGGGATAGAGAGGTGATTGCCATTCCAAGCTTTTTCCAATGATGATCCGTAGTGTTGCGATTTGATCGAAGCATGACTTGTTTCTCCTGAATCCAGCCTGTTCCGGTTGGAGATTTCCATCCAGGGCGTGTCTGATTCTCGCCAGGATGATGCGGCTTAGTATTTTTCTTGGGATAGACAGGAGCATGGTGCCGCGCCAGTTCTTGCATTGACTTAATTCTCCTTTCTTTGGCAGTTTGAATAGATAGCCTTTCTTCTAATGCGCAGGTACCTTGCCCTCTTTCCACACCTTCTCCAGCAGTGGTGTCATCAAGTCCGCTGATGTCTCTGGGTCCAATTTCAATGCTTCTGCGAGGATTCCGTCTGGTCCTGCTGGCTTTCCGGTTTTTAATCATCTTGAGTGCCTTCAGGATCTCTGTTTTCGTCGGAGGGTTGAAGTCCACTGGTAGTTCCGCTTCCGCTGTTGTTATTACTGGGCGCGTTGTAGGTGGAGGTCGATTCACGAGGTTTTTTGAACTGTTCATCCCAGTTTTTCCTTTACTTCACCTCTTTAGTGATTGACTTTCTATTACGATTCTTCACTGGCTTAATTTGTGTTGAGCTTTTCCCCGATAGGATCCTAGTTGTTTGGTAGAGTGTTGCGAGATCTCCTTTGCCTGAAGCTTGTTCCATCTGCTTTCACATATTCCCAGTACTTGAATACCATATCTTTTCATCTCATTTGCAATCTGGGCAGCTTTGCTAATCTCATACACAATGCGGACGTTCCATACCCCCTCACAGACTTTTTCTTTTGTCTCAAGGAGATTCGTCGTACTGAAGTTTCTGTAGCAGTTTTGTTTACAGCGTGGGGTTGCTAGCCTCATTCCCGAGAAGAGGGTTGTTACATAAATATATAGGTTACAGAGGAGCAACTTTTTGGGTTGCTCACTTTAGAATCAGGAAAACAAGAAATGAAGCAATCAGAACAACAACAAAAGATCACAACAGGAAAGGCAGTGACAACAACAAAAACTGTAGCAGTAATATCACTGTCAAATACAGTTGAAAAAGGTGATATAAAACCACAGACTCACTGACTTCGGTCAATTTGGGCATGTAAATTCAATAATATTAACAGTTATAGATATAAATTAGTGTTAAACAGTAACAGTGTGACAAATAGATAGTCATAGGCATTAATAGTAAACAAGATTATATCCACAGATTCAGTGTTCGAAGGTAAACGAATTGCCATAAACTCCACAACTTCCTGGCCAGAAAAACCAGAGAAATGACAGTGAATGTAGCAAAATAATCAAAAAGCGCGTCAAGGGCAATCCAAGGATTATCATCACCACGTTAGATGCCTCTTATATTCCACAACTCTAGCCTCATTATTTATTTTGGTATACTTCCGTTTGACGTATGCTCTTGGGATGAAAGGGTTATTCTGGTATGATATTTCTAAGCCGCATGTGCTATTCAGTTTGAAGGTGCATGAAAGTTTATTAACCAGATTTCTTATAGTTCACTGGATACAATCTGATACAAATCCGAGATCAGGACAAGCTCTATTAAAGATGAGCCTTGTATGCATGTAACAGCAAGTGTGCTTAAAATTTCTCTTTTCACAAGTAGTTTTAAACTCTAGATGAAAATCTTTCATCATTTGCTGAAACGGTTGAATATTCACATGTCACAGGATTACAGTGGATTCTGTAACAGATAAGGTCTAATGCTTGATGAATAATATATAACTTTTTCTCATAATTTAATTGTTCATTATCTATTTTTTTTATCCGATTATTTTTTTAAGTGAAACCAACACCGCCAAAGATTTTAACCTTACCCGGTGTACCTCAACCTTCTGCCAGTGGTCAGCTGGTTGTGGCTTTTGACTCTAATGAAGCTAACTCGGCCAATAGTAGTTCGTTAAAACTCATCTGCCAAGCTAAAGGTGGTTATCCTACTCCAAAATTTGAATGGTTTCACAATGGAAATCTTATATCAACATCAAATGATAATTTTCAGGATGAAAATGATAAAAATGATTCTCGAGAAGTAAACAAAGACAAGTTCGTGCTGGAAATTGACAAAAGAAGGCTGGCCACAAGAGATCGACTTGTATGCTTGGTTAGCAATAAAGCGACATTACGTTCAAATCATTTATATGAACAGAAACTAAGAGCGGAGATAATGATTGTAATTCAGTGTAAGTAATTGTTACATAAATAATGTTCACAGTTAATTTTTATATTGGTTTATAAATTGTGAAAAATAGTTGTTGCTTTCAATAATTTGAAATATACTACTGAGAAATAATCTAGCCAAAACATGATAAACAAATAGGCATGTATTCGCGGAATGAAGAAATTATCTACAGGCTTTTTACATCAGAAATCACAAAACACTCTTTTACCTTCTCTTATGCCAGGATCAGTAACGAAACATTGTCCTTCACCCCTTAAATCTATCATGAACAGCCGAAATGTCTTCTTACTACAGCCTACACAGTTTATTTTCTATAACCAGCTTCAGTGTTTAGGCCAACAAGTATGACAGTGAAATTCTGTTCTCAGTTCAGAGTTCTAAAGAATTTCACGTTTAAGTGTTAAATATTAGAGGAAACGTAAGCGCTTACATCATTTGTTCCTTTCATAAAAGCATTTTTCAAAGAAGAAAGCATTTCAGATATGTGGATTTCATCAGAATTTATTGAAGGGAATAAGTGAATATTTGTCAACGCGAATATCTCACGTGTTTGTGACAAAAATGCCTATTTTTCAGGCATGTACTCCGTAAAAGCACATGATACTGAATACTATCTATAAAACATTGAATCCTTTGATCTCTACGTTTGACGAAATCGTTATAAAAATGTATCAAACTGTACAATAAGCTAAATCACCAATCTTTATAATGTTGAAGATTTCTTCAGGTTATCAGTAATGCATGTGCTGTCCCTTTATATATTAGACATTCTTCTCACTGAAGGTGAGGCAGGTAACTGCTATTTGAGTCAAAAAATCGATTACAGAAAGCTGACAGATTGATTGCCTAGCTTCTAATTGTAAATGTCAAACACTTGACTACATTCCGCCAGTTTTACTAACCTTTTATGAATAAATAATTTATATGCTTCAATTTCCAGCAAGGATTTCTTACTGTTCACATAGATTAACACATAATGTCGACGACTGTATGCACATTACAAACAAAAAACATAACTTTTGATATCCACTACGATATTATTATTATTGTTTCCTTTAGTTCCTAGAGGAGCATAGGGCTTCAGCCGCACGTATCCATTGCGTTCGGTTCTCTGCCAACGTTTTCACGTGGCTATACGTCTGCCCACACGCTTTCATCTCCTCTTCAAATGACCTCCTCAGAGTTACCCTTGGACGACCAACTCGCCGCTTGCCGTTCGGGTTCCACTCCAGCAATGGCTCAGAGTGTAATGTCACTTGATGGTTTGTTTTCTCAGAGGATGGCCAATCCATCTCCATTTCTTCCTGCAGATTTGTTGCACAAACGGTTCCTGCTGTGTTGGTTCGTTCATTGCCAGAGATCCCTGTTGCTGATCTTTTCTGGACACTACGATATACTACTTGAGAACTCCGACAAGTAAAACAAAAATAGAATATTTTTCAACCAAAACTTGGGATATGTTTGGAGCAGAATAAACAACTTCATGAAAAGCCTGTAATAAAAGAATACGTTTCTCATTCCTCTGCGTTCCGAGTGGAAAATTGAGCCTTAAGATCTCAGATCTGAAGTTTCGATAATCGCGGTGGGGTTGCGAGCCTTACGTCCAGCCTTCCCTATTTACAGGTCTTACTAACATCTAATTCAGGTTTAGGAGTATGTTGGTCAGGAATTGAACTCCGGACTACTTGTGTGGGTGGCCAGTATTCAACCACTGAATCCTCGACCTACAATAAAGGAAACATCAATGTGTACATAACAATAATTCAGTGTATAATTACGCTGATCTTAAAGATACAGATAAGTCAAGTTGCTTTATATCACCATGTGAAAATTCATCATGGAAGTCAGTTGCGACGTAAATATGAAAAGAAATCTGGTTATGATATGCCTGAATAACCATAGTTTCATTCTGAGTTATCTCTTCACTATACATGAGGTTTAATCCGTAATTTCTTATTGAAAATACTGGTGGTTTTGCGGTAGTATATATAATTAAATAGACGCACTTACAAAATTCTACTGAAATCTTGTTTAATTATGGCATATTTATTTAGTAGCGTATAAATTAAAACATCAGGCTTTTTTAAAGTCGGATTTACATGATTGATAGCACATTTCCTCTTCACACATAAAACAAAGTGCAACTGATCATAGTGACAGCCTTATTGGACAATTAATAATAGCCGCTAATTGAAGTCGTCCATATAATGATAAATATAAACTCAATGTACAGAAGAATTGCAAGAACACTGTATACATCTCACATATGTAATCGTAAAAAGATGCAATCAATCTCACATCCATGGTTAAATATTTAGCGTACTTATATTACAGAAGCAAAACTTTGAAATACCTGATTTTGTGAAAACTAGTTAAGTAAACAATTATTAGCAATTTGTGTCCACTTCAGTGGCAAATTGGAAAGGAAATTAGTATATATGCCTAATTAAATGTAGACAATATACCGCATAGGTAATGACTTGCCTAACCTATGACATGTTAATCTTACATCTGGAAGTTTCATTCTATTACTGAACTGCGCAACCGCTTTGGCGGGATAATGAAGCCTAAAATGTCATCATGATAGTGTTCTGAATTCTCATCCTCCCGGGGTTCGATCCCCGGTCGACGCACTCCTTTACCTCGCTAAGCCAGAAATAATGCTGGTGAAGAGGAAAGGTTAGGCATGAGGCTAGCAACTCCATCCTGTAAAAATAAGCACTGCTACCGAAACTTCAAAGCAGCAAAGACAGGACTGCAGGTGAACATAGACAAGACGGAGGTTATGAGAATAACCAACTAACAACAACAACAGCAGCAGCAACATCCAGTGCCAATCACCATCAACGGGAGAGATTTGAAAGAGGTTACTTCTTTCACTTATTTAGGGAGCATTGTCTCAACCACAGGAGGAACGGACGGACGAGGATGTCAAATCGAGAATCGGAAAGGCGAGAAACACATTCATCAACCTGAAACCAATCTGGAAATCTTCGTCACTCAGCATCAACAACAAAATTTGGATTTTCAATACAAACGTCAAGTCAGTCAGTTCTTCTATACGGATGAGAAACTTGGCGGGTCACCAAGAATATTTTCAACAGCCTGTTGCAGACCTTTATCAACAACTGTCTTCGTTCTATACTGAAGATTAGATGGCCGGAAAGCATCACAAACAAGAAGCTATGGGAACAAACGAAACAGGAACCAATCGCCCAACAAATATGCAGGAGAAAGTGGAGATGGATTGGACACTCGCTGATGAGGCCGCTGGGTGACATCGCGCGTCAGGCCAACGCTCGAGTGGAAGCCGAAAGGGAAGCGGCGAGTGGGACGTCGGTGCAAGGGTGACATGGAAGAGATCGTGTGAAGAGGAGTTGAAACAGTATGGACTAACATGGATGCAAGTGAAAAGTACAGCAGAAGACAGAAGCAAGTGGAGGCGTGCAGTTGAAGCCCTATGTTCCACTAGGAACCCAATGGAACAATAATAATAATACTTCGAAATACTTGATTTTTTGAAAACTAGTTAAGTAAACCATTGTTAGTAATTTGTGTCCACTTCAGTGACAAACTGGAAGGGAAATTATTATATATGCTTAATTAAATGTAGACAGTATACCGCATAGGTAATGACTTGCCTAAACTTATGACATGTTATTCATACATCTGGAAGTTTCATTCCATTACTTTATGTAAACTGAGCAACCGCTTTGGCGGAATAATGAAGCCTGAAATGTGATCATGACATTGTTCTGAATTCTCATTCTGCTAGATATGAACTGGCTATCATTACAGGGAAAACGTCTTTTCCTAACCGACATGATTGTCAGTGTTAAGGTGAAGTAGTTACCATGCCTCATGCAAGTTAAAAATATTCGGAGTGAAGACATTATTAGATGAAATAAAGTAAAGCTTTCACTACTCTCAAGTCTGTGTGGAGGTCAACAGCATTCAGCGTCAAAAATAAGGTCCGGATTTTCAACTCCAATGTGAAGTCAGTGCTAATATACGGATCAGAGACTTGCACTGCGCGTCATAAAGAGCATCTCAAACAAACTACAAACCTTCATTAACAGTTGTCTTCACTCAATACTCAAGATCAGATGGCCAGAAAAGATCAGCAACAGAGATCTCTGGCAATGAGCGAACCAACCAGGAACCGATTGTGAAACAAATAAGCAGGAAGAAATGGAGATGGATTGGCTGGCCATACTCTGAGGAAACCATCAAGTGACATCACTAGACAAGCCATCGCTCGAGTGGAACCCGAAAAGGAAGCGGCGAGTTGGTCATCAGTGCTAGGGTGAGTTGGTGGAGGTCATGTGAAGAGGAGATGAAAACGTGTGGACAGACTTGGAGCCAGGTGAAAACGTTGGCAGAGAACCGAACGCAACGGAGACGCACGGCTGAAGCCCTATGTTCCACTAGAAACCCAAGGAAACAATAATAATAAATACTACTTACTAATATGTAACAAATCTGCACTTAAAAGTGATTACCTTCACATTATTGCAGCCACTTTCCGTCTATTTATTTTCTTTCAAGTGTTAGTTTGTAGGAATTTGATTTGTTTCAACTTTGACGGTGGACTGATATCAGTTAGAGAAGGATTAAAAACCAGGGAGTACTGGACAGCTGTTCGTCCTAGGTTGAGACTCATCAACATTACGCCGATAGATATTGGTATATTGGTATGTTCTGTTAAACTGATACGCACACTTAGGCCAAACGTTTTACAAGCATTTAAAGGGGTTAGTGTATGTTGTTTATAGTGAGTTCATCTAAAGATTCCTTGGCAAAAGAAGCTCAAAGTACAGTGCATATTACCTGTGCTACTTACACCATTTTTTCACGTCATACTTTTTTATAAATCTGATTTCCCGCCTAATCAACAAGGAGGAAAATAATGTTTACGTTTTAGAAATATACATATGGCCTTTCTTCTTGTAATTATCATGGTTACTATAGTGATGATTATAGTATTATAAGTGAATATAGTACTTGACTGACATTTACTTTGAAGGATGCTTAATAACAATTCAAATTTTAGTAAAAAAAATGAATAGACTATTCACTCATTACACCCATTAGAAGGTACAGGGGTGTTGACTGCATCATATTTTATTTTGAAAAACTACAAGGTAAATAATGACAGAAAAATTTAAAACTAAATTTTTTCATAAAGTTTTTGATGAGGAATCTCAATCATAGTAAATAATAATTTCAATTTATTATTGAGGTAATCAAAACTGTGTTTTATTGTGTATTTCTTACAATCTGAATTTCTTACTACCATAAAATTACTACTTTTCTGTCACCTTTAAAGTGAGAGTGGGTTACAAAATGATTGGCTGGAAATACTTTAGCTAAACATACTGACTATTCTTATTTTCTGAGCGAGTCGGTAGTTCAGCAATAGAATACCAGGCAACCATGCACACCGTCGGGGATTCGTCCTCCAGCCGGCGCATTGCTGCACAGCGCTTAGCCAATAGTAATCCAGGTAAGGAGGGAAGGTTGAGTGTGAGACAAGCAACCTCTCAACCTTTAGAAACAAGCACCACTGCTGCTGAAACTTCACAGCTTGTGATTGAATCTGAAAGTTCTACGAGAAAGAAATAAGACAATAGTAAAGTCCAGTCTTTTAGATTTTTCTCTCATCAAAGCTAAAAGTAGACACGGTAAAAGTGTAAGAAGTCATCTCTCTGCTGATAGGTTCTTCAGTTCCACATTTTAAGCCGCGTTACTTAGAAATATGTTGTTAACACCTTTTTTGCCTGAAGTTTGCAGAATCGTATTACCCCATCACGACTAAGTGGAAACAAAAGACATATCACGCTTCGTGATTAGAGGGAAAACGAATTGCGATCGGGTACTCAAATGAATCAATACTCATAGATTATGAACAACATCAATTGCTAGTTAAATGTGTACAGCTGATTACTCATTCAACACATCTCAAAATGACATTTTTCAACGTAACATAATACAACACATTTATGATAAAAAATACAAAAATTTAACTCCTTTCTTTTTATTTTAACAATAGCTCTACCAGGTGATCCTGAAATTATTGATTGGGATAAATCTATGAATGAATCAGACGGTCTCTATGTCGGCTCAGTGTTGGAGGCTACATGCAGAGTGAATCCACCTGGAAATCCTCCTGGCATAGTCATATGGCGATTTGAAAGTCCTAACTCACCTTTACAGACAGATGAATTCAAACTTTTTGGAGGTGATCCAGCGAAATCAACTATCAACAATGTTATCCCCATTTCCAACGAAAATGTAATCAACCAGATTACCGATGAGAAGATTCTTAGCAGAGTTAGAATTTCCAACCTTAATTCTACTATGCATGGATTAGATTTAATTTGTGCGGTTAGAAATCAAGTTGGTCCTGAAAAAACTACAAAGAAACGAATTCAGATACGCCGTAAGTTGACGCGAAATATCATATACTAGTAGTAAGAGAATCTAAACAGTTTTTGATGAAATGTTACTTTCACATCAAAACTATGTTTAATCTACGTTTATTCTGACGAAAATGACTTAACTTGATATCTAGAATAGTATGAATCAATGAATTTTGTTTCTGAAACCTATGGTAAGTTACCAGTGCATACTCTGAAAGGAAAGGAGCACATAAAGTTTTCAGAAGGTATACATTGCTGGTTGTTATTTTCTTGTCACTTATGTACGGTCAATCAGTCAGTGTAAGCAAACGATGAAGTCTGCTATTTTCTGTATACATAATTTAGTATTGGGCGTCGGTGACACAGAGGTAGAATGCTCGCCAACCACGCAGGTGGTTCGGGGTTCTATCCCCGGCCGACGCACTCCTTTACCTCACTAAGTCAGTATTAGGACTGGTAAACAGGGAAGGTTGGGCATGAGGCTAGCAACCCCATCCCGTAAAAGTAGATACCACTGCTACCGCAACTTCAAAGCTCTAGCTTGAAGCCCTATGTTCTACTGAGAACGTAAAGGAATAAAAAAATAATTTAGTATGCATGTGATTGGTATAAAACATTTCCATAAACTTAAATAGCGATAAATGTTTGATAAATAATTAATATTATTAGGTTTTTGAACAAACATTCATAAATGCTTCAATGTGGATGATACTGAACTTTTATCCAGATAAACTGCGCTTGGATTTTATATGTGATTTAACAGCCAATGCAGAACATGTTTCCAAAATCGTCAGGAAACTGTGTTATTTTTATTCATATATGTGTTACTGCAAATTCAAGTGAGACTGCTGACACGCTTTGAAGTAGATTTAGCAGAACTTCATTTGTTATTCTTGGAGAGGAAATGTTCTAGAGGTAATGAGAAGTAATGTGGCATAGAAAGTGCATTTGACAGCTAACCAAAGCCTTTGCATTTTCAATTGAATGGTTTGATTATCAACAAACGGTAGTGAAAGTTTCTTCTTACACAGGTAGTGTTGTCAAACGCCTCGTTTCCTATACTCTGATAAGTAATAAAATTTTCAGGATATCTATGAGACGCAAAAGCTGAACAAATGAATTTTAACACAGGGATTGCGTCGGTAGCACAGTGGTTAAGACGCTCACCGAACATGCACCCCATCTGGGGTTCAATCCCCGGCCGGTGCACTCCTTTACCTCGCTAAGCCAGTAATAAGACTAGTAGAGAGGGTAGGTTGGGCATGAGGCTAACAACCCCATCCGGTAAAAATTAACACTGCTGCAGAAACTTCAAGCCTCTAGCCTGAAGCCCTATGTTCCACTAGGAACTTGAAGGAATGAAAAAACACATATATTAGTGCGTCTGACATACAAGTCTTACAAACACTTCACTGTGGTAACCTGAAAAGGGAAAAATACTCCCGAAATTGTCATAACTCATTTTTTGTTTGTTACCGAGATGTTGATTCCTTGACTGTTCTATCACCACACATAATCACTGAAGTGTACAGGAAACCGGATTCGTTGTTAAAGTCTAATTCTAATGTTACTTTATTATTTTGATGAATTTGAATATATAAGTTAATTAAGTTGTTAATTGATTCATTCACCCCATTAGGAGTGTGTCATCCAAATCGTGTTCATAGAAAGCGAATTTTTCAAGCACACATTACATTTCTTTGTTTAACTTCGATACGAATGCACCTACCTATACGAGCCTAAGAAAGCAACGCCACTAATTTATCCATGAAAGATGGATCTGAAATCTTCTATGGATGATAGGATAACTTCTTTCATTTAAGTGATTCGCAAAGACAGTTGAGATTTTTTTCCTTGTTCTGTGATTGCAAATAAAAGCGATAATTTCTTGAGATGAAATATTGTTAACGATAATTCATTGCAGCACTAGAACTTAATAGGCACTAATTCATAAGTAGTTATTAACTCAAAGTTGATTCGATATACGAAATTTACTCAGCAGTACGAAACCACTATCACACAATGTAATGAGGTTTTGGTATTTAAGGGATCTTAAATAAACCGACTAAAAAGAAGAAAAATTTGATGGCTGGTGACTGGCAATGGAATCCAGGATGCGCGTTTCGTCCTATCCAGGACGTAGTTTCATTCCCATTGAGTGATGACATTCCCATTGAGACTTGAACCCAATACCCATCGTTCAAAATGTCATTTAGGCCACGACGGCCACCTCTTGCGCAATGGTCATTAATTATCATTTGTTTTTAATCCACATTTTATTTTCCCGCTGATTGATTGAACCAAAATGTTCGGCCTCGGTTCGAGTCAAAGTGGGAACACCATCACTCAATTGGAATGAAGATAAATCCAACCGACGGTCCCAGATGGGAGAAATGTGCATCCTGGATTCCGCTGCTAATCATAACCCACCAAATTAATTCAAGTTAGTCCTCAGATGTCGTCGAATCGTCCATACTAGGAGCCGACGTGTCAAAAGAGGCTGAACATTTCCGTCCAATCAGTCAGCGGGAAAATTAAATTGAAAACAAATAAAAGAAAAGAAAAGATGACAAGTTTTGCAAGCAATGAATAAAGGAATGGAGTTGGTGTTCATACTTAGACCTCCATCTACTTAAATATTTTCGGATATCATTTAAAACTTAATTAATTTTTTAAAATTATATTATAGCTTGATTCCACATAGTATTTTGGTACAAGTATGAAATTTTCAGCATGTGATATCGGTAGCCCAAATTAAGCAGGCCAACCATAGATATCAGGTGTGCGTCGGCGGGGGATCGAACCTTGGACCATGTGCATGGTCGGCAAGAGTCCTAACCGCTGTGCCACCGACGCACACTTGGGTTTAGCACCTGTTACATTTTTACCTATTTGACTTTTAGCCTTGTATATTTAAACAGGAAATGACTGATTGACCGTCACCTAAGAAATAGCTTAGAGAAGACGGAGGTGATGAAGATAACCAATCAAAAGCAACAGCAACAACAACCAGAACCAATCACCATCAATGGGAGAGATTTAACAGAGGCTACTTCCTTCACTTATCTAGGAAGCATCGTTTCAACCGCAGACAATGACACGAATGACACGGGAATGATAATAATGACCTAAGAAATTCATCAACAATATCTTTATATTATTATTTCCTTGCGTTCCGAGAGGAACATATGGCTTCAAAAACACATCTCCACTTTGTTCTATTTTCTGCCATCCTCTTCAGCTTGGTCCACGGCTGACCATAATCTCTCATCTCCTTCAACTCACACGATGTCCTCCATGTCACCCTCGCACCGACGACCCACTCGTCACTTCCCATTTGGATTTCACTCGAGGGCCTGGCGTGCGATATCATTCGGCGACCTCCACAGAGTATGCCCAATCCATCTCCACTTTCTTCCGCATATTTGTTGAGCGATTGGCTCTTCACTGGTTTGTCCACAGCCAGAGTTTCTTGTTACTTATTCTTTCTGGTCATTTGATCTTCACTATGGAGCCAGTGAAGGTGACAGCTGTTGATAAAAGTCTGCGACTTGTTGAAAATTCTTTTCGTTAAACACTGGCCCAGTTTCTGACCCATATAGAAAGACCAACTTGACATTGATGTTGAAAATCCGAATTTTGTTGCTTATGCTGAGTGCAGAAGATTTCCAAATTGGTTCCAGGTTGATGAAGGCGTATCTTGCCTTTCCGATTATGACTCTAACATCTTCATCCATGCCATTGCTTTCTGTTGAAACGATGCTTCCTAGATAAGTGAAGGAAGTAGCCTCTGTTAAATCTCTCCCATTGATGGTGATTGGTTCTGGTTGTTGTTGCTGTTGCTTTTGGTTGGTTATCTTCATCACCTCTGTCTTCTCTATGTTCACTTGCAGTCCTGTCTTCGTTAACAGCCTCTTCAGTCAGTGTTTTGGCTTTAGTATGTGGGTCTTCGAGTTTATGTGACATCAGACATGTATCATCTGCGAAATCTAGATCCACTAGAGTCTTCTTTTCGGTCGTCCAGCGTATTCCTGACTCCTCGCCCCCAACAGTCTGACGCATAATCCTGTCTATCTCAATCAGCAATGTCATCGATGATAATAGGCAGCCAGCTTGTTTTACTCTTGTATGCACTTCGAACGTCTCACTGAGTTTTTCGTTGTGGATCACCTGACACGTGGCATTGTCACATAGGTAGCTGTCGAATGAGGTTGATAAAGACTTCGGATGCTGCACGCCGTAGTGTTGAAGTAGTTTCCAAATTACTTCTCGATCAACTCTGTCTGATGAGGCCTTTTTAAATTCGATGAAGTTGAGGTAGAGGCTTGACTGCCATTCTATGCTTTATTTGATGACGATACGTAAAGTTCCAATTTGATCAGCACATGATTTGCCTTTCCTAAATCCAGCTTGTTCCGGTCTTGGGGGGGGGCGGAGTTTAGTATCCAGTGCATCCTTTATTTTTCCCAGGATGATGCGACAGTATTTTACCTGGCGTAGACTGGAGCATTATTCCATACCAGTTGTTGCAGAGGCCTAACTAGGTTACCCTTCTTCCAATCAGTAGGTACCTTTCCCTCTTTCCAAACATTTTGCAGTAATGGAATGAGGATATCTGCCGTAACCTCTGGGGCCATCTTCAATGCTTCAAGAGGAATGCCGTCTGATCCCGCTGCCTTCCCGGACTTCAGTAGCTTGATAGCATTCAGGATTTCTGCTTTCGTTCAAGAGTCCTTTGAAGTGATCAGCCCATTGTTTGATTTGTTTCTCCTCCTTGGTGATCCTTGTGTTTGTAAACGCTCCCTCCGATCACCAAATCGTTGAAAGAGCAGAAGTTTGCGAATAATTCTCCGTTCTCATTCATTTCGGTGAGCTAGAGGCTGTGGACACATGATTAGTTCTTATCCTGTATTACCTGCTCCCAGTTTATCATTCATATCGCCCATAAGGATTTTGATGTCACCATTTGAGATGTTGTCCATTACTGTTTGTAGTTGTCTGTAAAAATCTTCCTTCTTTTCTTGTTCCGCGTTGTTTGTAGCACTGTGCATAGCATTGGATAATTGTGACCTTCCTTACTTTTGAGCTGAATCTTGCTGTCACTATCCTGCAGGAGGAAATTGGTTCCCACTATATCAGGGCTCTGGCTGCCACTGGTGACATCATGTAATCGTGGTTGCCGTCTGGGTGACCAGAGTAGATTATTGACTCTCCTGTTGACAATGTTGTCAATCCACATCCATTCCATCTGCTTTCTAAGCCATATCTTCGCATCTCTTTGGCTACCTGGGCAGCCTTCCCAGTCTCGTACATTGTACGGACATATGAACAAGATTGTTGTTATATGAATTTTTTGTATTTTTGATACGTTTTCTGTGTGTTGAAGTTTCTCTAGCGGTTTGAAAGATTAAGTGGTGTAGGGTTGCTAGCCCCACGCCCAACCCTTTCTCTTTACCCGGGCTTGGGACCGGCTAGAAAACTAGCGAGCTAGTTAATTGGCGAGGTTATCAACCATATAGACACTGTGAAAATGGAAATCATATATGAACCCATGGTTAAGTCTTTTGTTCCAAATTAATAGAGATTTATGGAATGGTCAACAACAATAAATAACTGGGCATTTATTTTCATGATTAAGTTTGACCTTCTATAAAATAATCAAACAGGGTAGAAGGATAGCTGAAATTGAAAATATTATGGGGATGAGAGTTATTCCCACTCAAGTCAGTATCACAGTTCCAAATCACTTGAAATTTACAGGCAACTTATGTTATTTTACATGAATACGATGCAATAATTACTGAGAAAACTTATCCCTCTCGGTGTTGCTATTCACAAATGCTCAAACACAAAGTTTTCTTATGGTCACCCCACTTACAAAATGAATAATACAGTGAGTATATTCTTATTATTAATCAACATACAACTCATAACATAATTTCGTCAACTTTCGTCTTCTAGTTTATATTTTCTAGTCTAGAAACTTTTTATTAAAGTGTTTATTAGACATAAAAGTGGATTTCGAGTTTATTTCTCGTCTAGTATTTAATATTTCATTTCGTCTGGTTTTGAAAATTATGCCATCTTGGAGGAATATTTTATAGTTTGTCCCACTGTATTCACTTTTTAAGCTACATATCTTTACTATTACCCATTCATTGTTTAATTTATTCTAATTACCCTCACTTGTGCGTCGGTGGCACAGCGGTTAGGACACTTGCCGACCATGCACATGGTCCGGGGTTCGATCCCTGGCTGACGCCATCCTTTACTTCGCTAAGCCAGTAGTAAGACTGGTGAAGCGAAAAGGTTGGGCATGAGGCTAGCAACCCCATCCTGTAAAAATTAACACTGCTACAGAAACTTCAAGCTTCTAGCTTGAAGCCCTATGTTCCACTGGTAACGTGAAGGAAAAAAAATTACCCTCACTGAAATCGCGTAAAGGTTTTCAGCAGATTAGTTTACGCATAAGTAAACGGTCTTGAATCATTCGTTGACACATTTCCTGATAGTGCATTCCTTTAAATGAATCAAAACTTTGTATATATATACATATATCAAGCATGTGTATGCATTCGTACATATATTATCATTTAAAAAGCTAATAAATTATTCTTCATATGACAGAATATGCTGTGCATTTACCACTTTAATGATGTGCACAACAAACTTTATTATTGACAATCCACCTATATATATAATACATTGGGATATAAATTAAAGAAATAATTATGACAGTGGAAAGACTTCAGATAGTGTAGCAGTTCTTCATTCAGACAGAGAATTTCATGGGATTTTTTTTCTCTCCTCGAACTTCTTGTTTTTCTTTTTAACAGAGAAAAATGTGATGTGAATAATTTCATAGTCTATATACATTTCAAAATTGCCCAGTGTTTGCCTATGCACACAGATATATATGTATGTGCACATTTCTTTTTTTGTCAGCGTCTCTAAATTAGCTTCTTCATCCTGTTTTCATACTTTTAGTTCCATTCTTTACTCATATTTCTACTCATTCTCTATTTATCCGAAAAACGCTCCTTTTTCTGTCACTCGTAAAAATGGTTTCTTCTCTCTCTTCTCTCTAATTTGTTTGAATAGTTGAAATTGGATTCGTTTAAATAGACAGTTAACTTTCATTAGTCACGCAACAGTAGGCATTTTAAATTTCAGAATGAATTATTACCTATAAAAATTAAAAAAAGATGAGTAGAGACGTTGTGGTGTAGGGAAAGAACAGTCCAATTTAATATGATTTTTTTTAAAGTAACGATTCACAGTTATTTATGAGGGAATATTATATATTTTATTTACGTTTTATGAAGTTCAACATAATACGTTTTTGTTTTTTGAACACTAGTGTCCCCAAGATTAGTTTCCCACAAACCAAATGACCATCATCAATGATGTAATGTAAGGATAAATGATATCAAAAGATAATTTCTGTCTTGAAGTCGATTAAAAACATTGAAGACTACATGACAATAAGCTAATGTTTGAGATAACGTATGATGAATTTTTTTTTCCTTCACGTTCCCCAGTGGAACATAGGGCTTCAAGCTAGAAGCTTGAAGTTTCTGTAGCAGTGTTCATTTTACAGGATAGGGTTGCTAGCCTCATGCCCAACCTTTCCTCTTTACCAGCATTATTTCTGGCTTAGCGAGGTAAGGGAGTGCATCGGCCGGGGATCGAACCCCGGACTATGTGCATGGTCGGCGAGCGCCCTAACCGCTATGCCACCGACGCACTTACGTATGATGAATATAAATTTAAATACAAGAAGGGTTTGATCGGATTGACTATTACAAGTTTAAACCATATAAACATAATATCTCTAAAGTGATTATCACTTAATCAACCCAAAAATGAAAAGCTGTCATAAGAGAAATGTTAAGAAAACTTTAGAGGAATTTCTAGATATTTCGTTTTTAGAGAATTTATGATTCAGTGAGTTTTTTTATCAGTGAAGAAGAAAGGGATCTTATACGTTCCTCCTCCTTCCTACTGATGAAAAACTCAAATATATTTTCACTTTCACTTGAGTATATATCGTAAAATAATATCCATCTACCTGTGAAAACTACAAGTATCTTCTTCTCTAAACATATACAGTAATAACTTTGTCTGAATGATAAATCTGTTGATTCCGCTCACACACACACATAAAAAAGATAACTACGTATACAAGAAATACATTTGGAAATCATTGGTCCCATATTCTTGTGGATAAAGAATATGCGTGACACCATTTTCTTAGAAATTTAATCCTTTTCTCCACTCATAGATATTTATCTACAATATGATTGTGTACACATGCAACAACTCCAAGAGATGTTAATTTTTACCAAAACACGGAGACCATATTCACATACAACAATAAATGTAAGAATGAAAAGTACTCATGGAAATCAACTTCATTTAACTGTATATACAACAGACAACCAGAAAAAAATGGCAGAGTTATGATAACATGAGTCTGGTTATTATTCTAAACTTCCTTCAGTTTCTTATTAAGAGCACATTTTTATAATCGAAGAAATTCAGTTTATCAGGAAAAGATCAATACATAAGTAAAGATAAGTTACATTCTGAACTACTATCTGGTAATTTTAACAAATCTGTTTCTGGTTACAGGATTTCATCATGAGCTGACATCAGTTAGAGAACCACCTGAATACCTGGGAGTACTGAACAGCTGTTTCGTCAACCTAGTTTGAGATTCTTCAACGACACGCACCCACCCCACTGGAGTTCGAAGCCAGAACCTTCCGGTTACAAGGCTGGCGAGCTCGTAGACCATTAAGCCACTAGGATCCGATCCAATGGTCCATGAACCCTAAGTCCTGCCAATTCATATTATAGCGCGACCGCTAGCCAGTGTCATCACACCCGACCTGCCGTACCCCACTGGTCACGACTTCCCAATAGAACCGCAGGTAACCCCCGATGTCAGCTCATGATAAAATCCTGTAACCAATCAACTTAATCCCTACAAACCAATACTTGAAAATCTGTTTCTCTTCTATTCATCTGTATGAGAACATAGAAACTGATTTTTGAAGGCTAACTTAACAAGATAAAGAAGGCAAATATCTGCGTCATTTTGCCTTTAAAGCGTCTAATAAACAAAGAAGAGGAATCATCTGTATGGATTTTGTCTCAGGGTTAGCAGCAGTTGATACTAGTTATAATGGATAATTGATTATTCTTATAAGTAAGAAGAGGATTAACAAATAGGTTCATACAGTTTTCTCAATCAAATCTAAGCACTGAAAGTCAGTTTGTTTTGATTTATTTCTCAAAAGACTTTAAGTATTCACAAACATCTTCGGGCACTTAGCTGGCATAAAACCGTGATTTCTTACTTTAAAGAGATAGAACCAATTTCTGAGTAATGATCTATCCTCAAGGCATTCTAAAATATACATATTTACATAAACAATTATATTTTCATGAGTAAAATATCTTATCTGTTTTCTTTTTCTCATTGTTAGATGGTCCATCGTATGTGGATATTTATGGTCCATATGAAAGAATGATTGAACTTAAACAAAGAGTGAATGATTATGATAAACTAAGACTGACAAACAATAGAACCGCTTTAGTCAGCGTTAATAAACAAAGTCTATACGTGTACCTAGATAGGCCACAATATTTACTATGTGTCACAGGAGTTTATTATGGACAAACAGAAATGAAATGGCAAGGAAAATTACACAATAGCGAACAATGGGAATTAATTGCTCCACTGGAGTCTTTTATACGCAATGAACCAGATGAATTGAATCAATTCAATCTTATTCAAGCATCAATAATACAATTAGTTTCGACGAATACAAAAAGAAATAGCCTAGCCTGGAGTGAGATAGAATGCATCGCTAGACCAGACTTTTACAAAAAAGAAAATGATAAATTAATATCAAAGCATGTCAACCTGGAAATATACGGTAAGTAATCATATTTTGACAAGATATGTTTATTTTATATCAGATTTATTAAAAGGATTACCTAGGCCGTGTAATGATGTCAAAGAATAGCCATCTATTATGGAATATATTCATTCAGCTGGAATTAATCTGCACTAAGCTTATTCTTAACTGGTCAAAATTACTAGTAACCTCTTCCGAAATGTCAGTTTAGACTATGGGTTTTTGTAGGGATTTGGATTATTTTCAATATCGATTTTGTCAGGAAACAACATTAGTGAAAACCAGAGAGCAGTGGACAGCCGTTTCCTTCTAGATTGGGACTCTTCATCAGTTAAGTGCTTCTTTGAAAAGAATCCTCACATTAAATGAATTCGTGTATATGATCATAACGAAGGTTTTAATCACTTCACATTGCTAAACTCAGAGTTTCTGTCACTTTGGCATTCAAAAACATTTTTATCACGCCATATTTACAGTTGCAGTCAAGTCAATCAGAATTGATCTCTTGGAGTATCCACATTCTATGTAATAGTCAACACAGGACCTAAAGTCAGATATTCAACACCACTATAGAAATTGAGGATTTAACTGAATGTACATAAATGTCATATGATCGTAATTAAATAAAGGAAATGTGACTTCATTATTCACAAAACCTGAATTTACCAAGTGGACTGAAGAGCTTTGAAGTTGGGTTGATTTTTCGGGTTAAAGTTGCTAGCCTCACAACCAACCTCCTTTTCTGCTTGGAATTAAAACCGGCTAGGAAGCTTTGCAACTAGTAAACCGCCCTACAGAATGAGAAGGCTTAGGGTCATAAAGTTGCTGAAAGCTGCTAATTCAGAATAATCGGACAGAACCCCTCCAGATATACTTTAAAGCGGACACAGATTCCTCAGTGGACTTGTTCACGTCAATGCTGCAATAGTTTGGGTGAAAAAGAAAGGTACCTACTGACTCCAAGAAAGCCTGACGTGCCGAACTGCCAAAGAACGATGACTAAGGCCTGTGCAAGAACTTTAGCGAAATCATACCATAAGCAAAACATTGAGCCACATCATCCTGGGAGGACTAAACGTTGCGCTGGGTAGAAAACTCCACCCTAAACAAGCTGGATTCACAGAAACTTAATCACTAACTAATCGAATAGCAGCACTGCATATCATCATCTAATATAGCTTAGAATAACAGTAAACTCTGCTGCCAAAATCCATCTACTTCAGAAAGGCAGTTGACTATGAAGTGAGCTGGAAACTGTTTCACTACAAAGGAAGGTAGTGCTGCATATATTTATAAACCTCATTCAACAGCTATATGAAGATGCCATATGTCAAGTGATTCACAAAAGGAAAATCAGCAAAGCGTTTGAAGTGAAGACTGAAGCAAGATAAGGCTGGTTGTGGTAGAATGGATGTTGCGGCTGACTGTCAGGTTTAGAGTCGAAACGCATACGTAAGACTTACAAAAAAGACATAAGAAGATCCGTACTTCGAGGATAATTTAAGAAAAATGAAAGGTCTATGGGCAAAAATCAACGAGTTGGCAGAAGAGACAATGAAGACAGGACTTTAGGCGAACATAGGGAAGGTACAGGTAATGAATATGTCCAACCAACTAGAAGCACTAGTCTCCATGAGTGGAATAAATCCAAGGAAAGCAATCTCTTTCACTTACCTGGACAAAAGTGACTGTTTCAACTTCAAGCTGCAGCATGGATTATGGTAATAAAACCAGCCAGGATAAGAATGTGAAAGCAAGACAGGTCATCATTATTCTAAAATCAGTACAGAGATGCACTTAGCACAAATAACAGACTCCAAATTTCCAAAACTGGTGTCCAGTTAACAGTTCAGAGACTCCCTGAGTGTGTCACGAAAACCATTTCCAACAGGCTACTACACAAGTCTATCATCGGTTGTCATTCCTTGATAATGAAGTTCAAATTGGCAGCCAGAAAGGATAAGCAACAAGGAACTCCGCCAGCGAGCCAACCATGAATCTATTACCCAACAAATTTGCGACAGTAATCTAAGATGGGTTGAACATATGCCAGATAAACAGTTGGGTGACATCACATAAAATGCCGTCAAGCAGAATCCAGTTGAGGAATGACAGGCTGGATGTTGAAATGGGAAGGGTTGTGAACGATCATGGAGCCAGTTACATGTATGGGCGTAGGAAACAGTGCAGTAAAGGTGTGCTGCTGAAGCCTTGTGTTTAACTAGGAATGTGAGGGACGAATGATAACAATAATATTAACACACTTATATGTTATTCAGAAAGGAACAATTCTGGTTGATTGCTAACAAATGATTACCTGATAGGATTTCGAATTTTTTCTCATATAATAGTTTGAATCAATAATGGTTTTATCACTCATTCATATCAACCTTAGACTGTTTTGTTTCGTTTTTTCAGAACTTCCAAGTGTTCCCGTAGTCACAGGTCAAAAAGGAGGAGTCCTACTGCTTGAAGGTACTACTTTATCACTCCACTGCACAGCAAAGCAAGGAAATCCACCAGGAAAGCTAATATGGACCCAAGGTAAGAGGGTTATTCACTTCTGGGTTACAGCTGTTTAATAATAGTGCTCTCATAACACATCTGATTCAAGATATGGAGACATGTTACTGCTGGTGAACTCAAATCCTCTGGGAACTGCACATCTAAGTTTTGTGTTTACTGGCCCTCATCTACAACCTGTAGTTGTACTGCACTAAGACTTATTTTCTATAAGAAATCTTTGCATGTGTTATTTATTGTTTAAGTTATTTATATTGTCGTCACTTTATCTAGTTCTATATATCTAAACGCCTTATTTATAGGTGGTGATCGATGAGTATGTGAGAGGGGTTACCGTCTTATTTCTGTGGTCCTGTAGATAAAACCGAGTTTTCGCAAAATAATAAAATCAAAAAATCCGAAACAGCAAGACTGCATCGGCAAAATCCGGAAGTTACGTAGAAACTTTGATACTGCTAGGAGCAATTAAGTTTGCTCTAAAAGCCATCAACAGATCAATAATGGTGTATCACTACGTTACGTCAAAAAAATATTCCATTATTAATCTGAAGAAGACATCTTTCCTTCAAATTGTGCTAAGATTGCGGAATATCTTTGTCATCCTAGGCGAGACATAGAAGTAAATCTCAACTGCATAACTCCACAGATGTTTAAGGATGATCTTGGTGCATTCTCAGCTAGTATGCAGGAATCCAGGGTGGTTATATTTAACAGATGGACACCGTTAATGAGAAATCTCACACATTTCCATGCAGTAACCATTAGGAAATCAGCTTGACTAACACGGTTCTGTAGGTGGGGCTTTCAAAAAGCAAACCAAAGAGGTCAGGTCAGCCTTTCATCATATCTTAGACTTTCGACAGGTAAAGTAACACATGCCTACTTTTATTCCATGTGTTCTGAGTGGGATATAGGAATTCGTTCTATGCAGCTTCAGTAGCAGTGGTTTTGATTTTCTTCGGAGTGCAGTTGATTGCATAACTCCGAGCTTTACATGTTTTTGGGGCTTACTACTGGCTAGTAAACTAGACGACATTTAACAGTTCTTCAGATGGGAATCGAACCCAGAAACTCCAAACTGCTGCAGATCGTGCTACCACTGAACCACTGACTCATATATGATAAGTGTTTCAGACATAATTATTGTCCTCTGACAATTTTTCATTGCAAATTAAGGCCTTATTTCCATTTTCGACTAACCACTAGTCAGTCAGCCGTTGTAGTCAGCAGCTACTTGGATAACTGTTAGTTCTGGCCTCACCTAACTTATGTCACTCCAGCTGAGTTTGCATCATTGTATTGGCTTACAGATCATGCGATCTTCTAATGTAGACCAGTGTGCCTAAATCCCAAGTACATACATTTAACTCATATGCAGCATAGCAATAACCAACCTGGATCCGAAATGGTAGATATTATGGAATTACAAAAAGTGTATTCAACGTTATCAAATAAATTCAACTCCTTGTTTTTCTTTATTAATGAATTTCACCTTTCAGTGATTACCTTTTTTCTCATTTTAGCACTGAAAGGTAATAATGAAAGTGAAGTAATTGATGAATCGATTACTATTCAACAGAATCAATCAAAGAAATCTTCTAATGGTATGCTTTTTTCAACTCTAAATATTAACTTGACAAAACTACATGATGGAGCTATTTACAGGTAAGTATTAATTTGTTCTCATTTATTTATCTCTTAACTAACAACAAAAATTATTCTCAAGTTAAATGAATAGAACTTTGACACTGTGGTAAGGTATAATTCTATCACAGATATAATGTAAATGATAGAAACAAAAAGTGATACAGCATTATTTACTGTTGACATCGTGAGTGAAATTTATTGCTCCCAATCACACACAGGCACTTACATAACTTTTCAGATTCATTTGTATCATTACATTATTTTTTATTCCTTGATTTTATCGGCGGTAATATTCTCCATATCTCTGGTACTGGCATCGCGTCAATTCTTATCGCACATGTCAACTGTATATTCGATGAACAAGAATTCAGTGATCAATTTTCAAGTATTGGTTTTGTAGGGATTTTGTTTGTTTGCATGGAGGATTTCATCATGAGCTGACATCAGTTAGAGAACCACTGGAAAACCTGAGAGTACTGGACAGCTGTTTCGTCCTAGTTTGGGACTCTTCATCAGTAACTCATCGAAGAAGACATTGCGAAATGGTCACGCTATGTTGTGAATTGGCAGAAGTTAGAATTCAAGGACCATTGGATCGGATCCCAGTGGCTTGGTAGTCTACGAGCTCACTAGCCTTGTAACCAGAAGGTCCTGGGTTCGAACTCCAGTGGGGTGTGTGCGTACTGATGAAGAGTCCCAAACTAGGTTGAAACAACAGCTGTCCAGCACATCCAGGTATTCAGTTGGTTCTCTAACTGACGTCAGCTCATGATGAAATTCAGTGATCAAACTCTCCCTCCACTTATACAAATATATATACATTACCTTTTAGAGCTGTAGCTGTTTATTCGCAAGTTAGATCACGAAGTAACATTAGTTTGAGAACTATTGAAAACTAAGAATTACTGGAAATCTTTTTCATCCAAGTTTGGAAATCTTCAGAAAAACGCATTGATGATCCCACCGGGGATCAAACTCATGACCTTAAGTTTGCAAGACGAGTCCATGGACTACTGATCCACTGGGACAGAATCGAATATCTAACTCCTCTATATATCGGTGACTGGTAGAGGTTATAATTCATGTCCAGTAATTCCTCGTTTTCAGTGGATCTCTAAACAATGTCACTTCGTAACCTAAGATGAAATCAATCGAATCCCTGAAAACCAACACTCAAGAAGTTATTTTACTGCATTCATTTTGAATTTATCTTAAATTTTTCTGAAGTGATGCAAAATTCCAGTTTTGAAACGTGTAAAAGTATACATGTCTCCACGAAAATAACTTCCGTTTATCACTATCGACTCAGTTTAAGCTGTAAGTACCTAACGGAACATTTTAGCTGATGAAAATGCCATCCCAAGCGTTTGACATTTATTACGACTTTTTATACAAAGAACTCGCAGAAAAAGCATTATTTGCATAACCTCAACCGTATTTGACTGAGGACCATAAAACGTGGAAAATCACATTCGTCAACGCCTAATGAATAATACGCATCCATAATTAGGTGGGCAATTTATATGACCGCATACATTTTGTCTGCTATTTACATGAGTGAATATAAAGGTATGACAACACAATAATTAGGTGATCACATATATCACTGGATTTGAATGGTATATTTTTATTTTAGAGCGGGTGGCGACCGAAACCGACTATTTCTCGTCTGAACATAGACAGCGCATCCTTGCGTACTACTGTATAGCTATCCAAAACTTCCTTGGGAAGCTCACATTCACAGAACGCTCCGAAGATAGAAGAAAGACGATTGTTTGTGATCAGAATCTATCTGTGGTTCCACTCAACAATAATAACATCAGAAACTAAAAACTACTTCAACAGTGCTATGAGGCAGCTATACAGGCAGTTTTAGTTTCTAAGCACTAGTTAAATACTGTAGAACAAAATTAGTTAGCCAAAATTCAAGTAGAATATTACCAACAAGGTGGGATCAATAACTCTGTTCACAACAATCAAAACCAGCGCTTCTCCCAAATAGTCGATAGTTAGAATGACCTTCATCCACACAAACAAAATCATATCGTAAGACAACGCACTATCAATGTATTACACAACGACGAAGGAAAGTACTAAAACTAGATACTGAACATGGACAGGGAGAAATAATACGGATGACGTGAACATATGATGCGTAAATGTCATAAGAATGATAAGCAGTATAGCAGAAAAAGGGATAATAATTGGGAAGTCAGTTGCGATTAGATAGTTTAAGAGAAATTTTCCAAACAATTTTTTCTCTACACTATGGATGATTAATAATAATAATAATAATCTATTTGTTTGTATTTAGTAATAATAATGATCACGACATGACATGATCAGAAGTAACTAATTAATAAATCTACTCTGTTTGGATGTAAGGGTTATTTATGAACACTTATTCTATGTGACTGTTCTACTCTGATATTATTACTATTATTACAGTTATGTTCACAATTTCACCGACAAATCGATGACAGTCTAAATTTGTAGATGACAATGTTACATTGAGATAAATAATAAATCCTATCCACAATTTATTATAATTAATATTATTCAACAAAATAGTCCCAATTTGATTATGAATATGAACAGAGTATTTAGTTCCTATGTCAGAAATAATAAGCGGTCGTGTATGCTTATGTAGTAGTTATCAGTTAAAATGAATAAATTTTTAATATTTATTGTTACTGCTAAATAATTAATTTGACAATTATTTTGAATAATACAAACTATTATTGAGGATAGATTTAATGGACTGTGATTTTCTAATTGAAGAGAAGATTTATAACTAAGCGAGAATATTTAAATGAATATATAAACAGTACTATAGACAACAACAGACTGTCAGTCATTATTCATCAGTGATATTCATAAAACTATTTATTGCTATCGTATTTATTATTAAATGAATTCCAACAGAAAAGAAAAATGAAAACAGAATTGGCTTAAAAAAGAGACGTATTATAATGCTGCTTAAGTGATTGACTTTCTCATCATAAGAATAAATAACATCAGATGAAACAAAGCCATGAAATCTTATGTTGATTTAGCTGTGTAAATGAAATGCTTTTAAGTCGTAAAGCAGGACACTAACAGCCTGACTGGATCAAGCATAATCAGGATAAAAACTGTATACATATGAAATGAACCCTAAAGATGTGGTTAAGATACGTAGATGATACCTTCGTCATAATCAAACTTAGTTTGTTAAATGAACTTTTTCACTTAATAAACAATATGTCAGAAACTATCAAGTTTTCCAAAGAGGTTGAATCCGATGAGAATTAGTTGGCATTCCTGGACTGTTTAGTAAAAAGAAAATTAGATGGAAAATTTCAAATAAACATTTTCAGAAAGCCGACTAATTCGGATACATACCTAAACTACTATTCAGCTCACCCATTTACCACCAAAGTAACTGTGGCCAAGAATCTGATCAACAGAGCCAAACGTCTAGTTACTGAGGAGGAAGATATTGGCAAGGAACTAAAATTGGTTCAATCCACTCTTTAATCAAATAATTATCCTAAAGACTTCATAAAAAGATATTTAAAATGTGAAGATAAGGATGAATCGAAACCTAATGCTAAGAATTGGGTTAGTACAGTGGTGATTCCTTACCGCAAAGAAACATCCGATGAAATAAAGCGAATCCTTAACGATCATAACATAAGAGTGTATTTTCGTGCAACTAACACCTTACGCTCATTACTGGTGAAGGTTAAGGATAAAATAGAACAAGAAAACCAGCAGAATTGCGTATACCAGATCAATTGTGGGGATTGTAACGCCGTATATGTAGGAGAAACTTCCAGACAGGTAAATGTAAGAGTGAAAGAGCATAAACAATGTCTACAGCTGGTTCCGAAGACCTCTGCAGCCTTGAAGAAGCTGGAAAACAGATCGGCGACTGCACTGCGCTCGATAGAAACGGTACACAGGATCAACTTTGATAAGACTAAGGGTTTACAGAAAGGTTTTGGTTCATATAAAGAAAGACTGACTGCAGAAGCCCTACATATATGGGTGAATCCCAACAGTTTGAACAGACGTGAAGGTGTGATGTTAGCTGATGCATGGTAAATCCTGACTAATAAATAAAATTGGATATGTATCAACAACTAGTCACACTTGGTCAAATTCCCGATTATCTACGTCTTCTTATGACTGTTCACCCACACACACATACACACACCACTGTATACTGCATATACACATATATTTTAACAAAAGTAGACTAATTTTGAAAGTCTGAGGTCAAATTTTGATCACAGTTCATACAGTTTTGTTTATTATACATTTTGATGCCTCTTTCATGGCTCATGATTGGACAAAGTTTCAAGAACATGTTCCTTTTATATATAAACCTTTGTTATGTTAATTTCGATTAATTTCCCTGAAGAAGTTAGGGCCAGATTGCCGAACGAAATGTTGGAATTAATGATTTCAATATCGCTGAGATTTTACAAATATAATTTTATGGAATGAACATTGAAAAGTTCAGCAGATTACTAGTAATAGAATTATTCGATATAGTAGAAAGTGTAGTTTGGATGACGAGGTATTAAACATGGCTTAAACCACGTCATAGGTTTGAAGTAAAAATGAAATATATGATAAAAAATAAGCTTGCTTTGTTCTTCCTTTTTTTAAGTCAACGTTTCTCTCACTAAATGTATTACACGTCGTTTTCTTGTCTAATAGACATTTAATTAGATTAGATTGTAACAGTAACGCTTATTGATTTAACTTTAACTTTCAGATGTGGTGCTATGAATCCTGGTTATCCGTTTACAAGTACACAGTTCAGTTCACCAATCCAAATAGGAGTTGCTTATTCAGCTACAGCATTAAATATAAGTGTCATAAGTGGAACAGGACAGACGGCTGAAAATTCAAATATACGCGAAGAACTTCGAAGGATATTAAGTCATTACAAGATGAAATATAATAACATACAGATTCCTGTTATTCAGTCAAATACAGGCTCTACTCTTAAGTTGTTGTGTCAAGTTGAAATGTCGAATCCAAAGCCTAAATTAGAATGGCGACTTCATCACTGTCCACCAGTTCAGTTTTCATCACTAGTGAAAGGATTGAATGATACAATTAATGGGATGAAACCACCCAACGATCCATATGATGCTTTTTTTAAAAGCTGTCAGTCTATCCAGTTAACTGGTAAGTATAAAAATAAAAGTCGTCTTTGAAACAGTGTCTAAGTAATTTGAACTGAACTATCTAGTTCGAAAAACCTGCAATAACTTGAACACAAAAGACCCTTTTCAGTATTACACTTCAACGATAGGAAATATTCAAAATCATAGTAGCATAATATTAGTCGCAGGAGTATATCTAACTTGTACGCACCTTTAATCTTCTGAAGCTTCAGAAATTCAGTAGTTGAAGAAATATGGAGGTGGCAACTGTGAATCCCCTACTCTTTTCTTGGCTGCAAATAATAACCTCACTATATTTAATAGGGCTTAAACATTACCCAATCTAACATTATGTGATATGACTAAGTGGAATGATATCTGGGAAAAATGGCTAACTTTTACAGTGCTTTGTGATAAACTTGTTCAGGTAAAAGAACCATAAAAATCTAGGAAGATTACACAGCCTCCTAGTCATAGTACAAATTTAGTTCAAATGAATAATATCTGTTGACTAGCATGTTGCCACAACCCACCAAGTTCGTTAATTTCCATTATTCTTCAGTTGCACCCAGAAGTAACTTAAAACACCAAGCTAGATGGCTCACCATTATGGTGCACTGTGAATTGTTGGTATAAGATGGTTGGAGATAATCGGCAGGAAGCCTTGGATCTAGGTTTCGTGCTAGTTGGCAATCATCAGCAAGGCGTATCTGCAACCTCGTGCTTGTGAGCCATCTACCATGGTGGCCACATTTCAAACTTGACTGATAGAATTCAGTCTGCACCGAACGAACGACTAGACAAACTACATTACACCAGTTACTGACTAGGGTCCAATCAAAATATCCAATACAGTCCTACAGGAGGTCAATCGCGAGCCTGAATAGCTCAGTGGTAACGTCTCTGACTGTAACACTGGCTGACGCGGGTTCGAATCTCAGAAGGGACATGAGTTTCTTTGAGGTTGCAGATACGCCCTCCTGATGAGTGCCAACTAGCACGAAACCTAGGTCAGGTGTGGCTTCCTGCCGACTGTCTCCAACCATCTAATACCAACAGTATTTGCAATGTTTTGTTCGGAGCTTTCAAATACACAGTGCAACGAAAAGAGCATAATTGAATTGCATAATATCCAAAACTTTGGAGTAGTATGAATGCGTCGGTGGCACAGCGGTTAGGACTCTCGCCGACAATGCACATGGTCCGGGGTTCGACCCTCTGCCGACGCACACCTGATATCTATGGTCGGCCTGCTAAATTTGGGCTACCGATATCAAATGCCGAAAATTCTATACTCGTACCAAAAATGCTGTGTGGTTTCAAGCTATAATTTAAAAAAACCTACTTTATTCAAATAAAATTATGATACTTGACTTGTGAGAATAGTGAATATAAAAAAGAGTCTATGTCTAAACATGAAAACTGCTTGCCCACGTAAATGTAATCACATTTACATATTAAAGTTCTTTATTTATCTCTTCTTTTTTTTGTAATTTTCAGGAAGTCGAGTAGAAGAAACCTTTTCAGATTCAGCCCAAAACATTATTTTAAGCAGTTATTTAGAACTTCCTGTAAATATATCGCATGATGGAGATTTAATAGAATGTCTAATACGAAAATATCCCACAGAATATTTCAATGATTCTGTTAATTTTCAACCACCATTTGAAAAGCATGAAACATCAAAATCTGATTTTCAAAATAAACATTTTCAAACTCTCACTTTATTAAGCTCACAAATTCTGCTTTCTATTCAATTTCCGCCAATATTTTTGAATCCAGCTAAACAGTTGAATTGGCCGATGGAATTTATCACGGAAAATACCGAACAAAATGCTTTGCCACACTACATTGTAGTGGAAGGTGAGTGTTTAAATTTAATGCACGACACATCAGAAACAACAATTCATCAGTGTTCTATCAAATTTACTTAGATGATCTCCAATTTTTATCCCCATTTTCATTACTTCTAAACTACTTAGACGTGACATTTTAAACTATCGTCTAGTGAGGCTTGGTACTGTGCTGACGAATGTTGTATCGCATAAAGCATAAATTGTGCATATTGCTTGGTCATTAAGAAGTGATCGGTGTTGTTTGTCTAGTTTTCCATGCTGACTGAAATCTTTCAGACAGGTCCATTTTTTAGTCAGCACGCTATGCGAATCGCCACCAGGATCCACTTTGAAGTTAAAACAGATTAACCTATGGAATTCAGTTCACTGAGTGTGTCCATTACAGTCTCAAGGGGAATTGGTGGCGGACTCAATAGCTTACTGGTAATATTTCTGGCTGAAGCACTGTAATGCAAAAAATTCCAGTTTTTTAGAGGTTAAAATCAACTTGTTGGCCTTAGCCAACAGGCACAAAGCCTGAGTCAAGGGCTTCCTGATGTTTATCTCTTATTATTACATTATTATTGTATCCTTTAATTCCTAGAGGAACATAGGGCTTCAGCCGTGCGTCTCCATTGAGTTCGGTTCTCTGCTAGAGTCTTCACCTGCCTCCAAGTTTGCACGCACGTTTTCATCTGCTCTTCATATGACCTCCTCCAAGTCACCCTTGCAACGACGACCAACTCGCCGCTTCCCTTTCGGGTTCCACTCGAGTAATGGCTTTTCTAGTGTTGTCACTTGATGGTTTCCTCAGAGTATGGCCAATCCATCTCCATTTCTTCCTGCCTATTTGTTTCACAATCGGTTCCTGGTTGGTTCGCTCCCAGAGATCCCTCACTATTGCTGATCTTTTCTGGCCGGCCATCTGATCTTGAGTATTGAGCGAAGATAACTGTTAATGAAGGTCTGTAGTTTGTTTGAGATGCTCTTTATGACGCGCTGGCCAAGTCTCTGATCCGTATAGTAGCACTGACTTCACATTGGAGTTGAAAATCCGGATCTTATTTTTGATGCTGAGTGCCATTGACCTCCACACAGACTTAAGAGTAGTGAAAGCTTGTCTTGCTTTTCCGATTCTTGCTTTGATATCCTCGTCAGTTCCGCCTGTAGTTGAAACGATGCTTCCCAGGTAGGTAAAAGAGGTTGTTATCTCTTACTATCTAGGAATTATTTTTGCTTCAAGTATGTCCACGGACTGATATCAGTTACTGAATTATCGAAAACCAGAGTGGGCTGGATAGCTGTTTTGTCCCAGTGCTTGGAACTTATCAACAGTATGCACCCACTGGGGTCGAAATCCAGGACCTTCCAGTTACAAGGCAAGCTTGTAGACCATTCAGCCATCGCGACCCAACTCAATGGCCAACCCATGAATTCTAACCTCTACCAATTCGTGGTTTTAGTGAGATCAGTGAGTATTTGTTCTCATTCACTGGATGGACTCCACTGGTCAAGATTTCTCAATAGAACTCCAGGTAACTTCGTCCTGTAGCCAGTCACTAGCGGGCATCACATTAATATTATTTTCTTACTGTGCCTAAAGAAGCATTTCCGGTTTACATTGAAGGCTACAGTTACATGTATTAGAACAAAGATTAACAGTAAAATAGCAAAATTTAATATGATAAGATATTTGAAAAGCAAAATAAAAAAGTGAAGGATATTTTCATCAACTGTCTTCAAGCTTCAGAACTATAAATATGATAGTACTGGTTTTTATTTGACTTCAACTAATGATAAACTGAATCCTGTCAATCATTTGAATATATCACATTTCCTACATCTGAAAAGCCGGAAAAAGTTTAATGATCAATTTAACCAAACAATAAATTCATTCCTAAGAATATGTTGAAGTAGAGGTGAAAATGTGAAAATGCATTTCCCAGCATATTAACAGTAACAATATAAAAATAACCATCATTTTACTCGATTAGAAGCAAGCACCTCTTTTTACTGAAATTCGAAACTGCTAAGCATAATTATAGGATAACTTGAACAGTAGATGGAAAGTATTTGTATCACGAACATTTCTGTCATTGGATGTGTCATTTCGTCTTTCAATTAAAATTATTATGCCTGATTTATTGAATAAATCTTTTGTCAACAGCCAATTGCAGAAATATGATATTATTTATATTAAGTTGGGCGAAGTTCTACAATGACGTCCCAGGAGTGCGAATGCTCCAATGACCTTGAACTCATGCTAGTCGTTGGCTAACGGCACCTGTTATTATCATAACTAAAATATCAACACTATTCACCAACTAAGATGCAAATTTCACCCAGATCACGTATTTAAGTCCCGTTTGGACAATGTGTTAATAGCTCGTTACGGTTAGGATTAGGGTTAAGGTAAGTATTGGGTTAGGGTTAGGATCAGGGTCATAATTAGGATTAGTTAGCTTTACGGTTAGGATAAGGTCAGGATCAAGGTTAGGGTTACAATTAGGGATAGATTTAGAGTTGATGTCATTTATTTTTATTTGTTTTATTGTCCACATTTTCCTGGTAAGTGGTCGTCGATCCTCTTACTGTAAACCATAATAATTTAACCGAGGGCTTTTGGAGAAGACTGCACATAAGGATAAGACAGATAAACGATTCATAAAAACAGCTCATCTTCAGTTACCTCGACGAATACATGTACAGAAACTAGTCTAACTTAGCAACTGATACTCCTCATTATAACTGGGACGTATTTTTAAGTCATGTCAGAGAAAGATACCCTGTTTAATGTGTTTTCATGCATTTTCTTGAAAATATACGTCATTTTTTGTGCAAACATTCCTCATTTTTATGATTTGTCAGCTCAAGATCACTCGTGTGTTCCCATCATTGGGACCCTATTGTTGAACTTTGCCATTCGTAGAACATATTACATCTTTTAGCGGAAAACTATGATTTCTTAGCCTTTATTATTATTATTTACATTCACCGTTGAAGTAGTATTTTTGACTAGAAAATTTAAAACATGTAGGAAGACAAAGCCAGATTTGAAATATTAAACTAAGTGAGTTAACTAAACAGCTTATAAGAAAAATACATGCTGTGTATTAGAGTGTTTTTTGCCTATCAACAGAAATACCATAAAAATCCGACTAAGATTTATGTTCATAAAGGTGGCGTATCAGAGTGCAGCGACAAAAAGCTATGAGATGAAACTGGTCTTCAAATAATGCAGAATATTTGTAGCTCAGGTGGATGGTATTGAATTAGTTGTGTTCTTTGAGCTGGTTGATTCAATTGCGAAGCTTTCATCGTCACCTCTTCTAGACAACATCTTCATCATTGGTTTTAGTATAAAACGAACTTATTTAAATTCTCCATGAATGATGCATTTGTATCTCCTGGCAATCACTGTGATGACTGGTTGCTGATTTATGTCTGTATTGATCATTTTTATTGATTAGTATACAAATAGTCATTCCAGTCAATTATTAGTATATAATTTTATAGGAATATGCTTACTTCCCTGATTACCATTTATATTATCAAGCAGATCACAGATTGTGATCCGAATAATTTGGTTTCTAAAGGAAACTGTCGTGGAATAATTTCACCCCTTGAACTGTGTACATTGCAGAATAATTAATTTGCAAGTTGTGAAACATTATTGCATAATAACATGGATCCATTTTATTTTGTAGGTTTGCTCTATTTGCATACAATTTGTAACATTTAATAAAAATAAACTATATTACAATGTTAACATACATTCTGCTTGCCGACAGGACTCGCCCCTCCACTAAGGCGAACTGCAAGAATGTCATAGTAAAAGAAGCCATACAGATGATAAGTTATCTTGAAGAATTAATAGAGGTGAAAATAACCCTATGAAATCAAATGAATCCATGTTATTCGGCACCATCGTTTTTTCTGTCTCTATATAAGGGGGAATTACTATGCAACTAGTTAATCGCAAATTGCTATTTTACCAAATCAAATACTATTTATAACACTAGAAACACCAAGTCTAAAATTTTGTTTAAAAGTATTATGACCACAAAATTATATGTATTTAAAGTAGGTAGAAGACATAAGCTGAGGTACAGATACGTGTAGAACACGTGGGTTTAAGTGAATGCATATTTTGAAATTAATTTCATTTTCTGTCAGACAAATTTCGCCAAAAACATAAGTTGTGTTTTCAATTCATAATCATATACTTTAACCTCTATTGGATATTAATCGATGTAAAATGCGTAAATGAAAAGTATATGGGAATTTTTCCCTTCTGACCAGTCAAAGTTAGCATGACATCTTATCGTCTAATCTTATTTTGGCGTAAATTTGTACATGAAGTTTCAGTCCAGGTATTTGATGGTGATTAAAGATTAATTGAAAATCTGTGTCGTTGTACAACTCGAAATAAAGATTTCTAAGTTACTAGCCCCGAGATCTACTAGCTGTGGTACGAGAATCAGCTGCCGACTAGATGATTATCTAACCCACTTGTTTATTTGACTTGAACTCTTCACGCAACACATCAATACCAGTCTACCAATTGAGCACTATCCCAAATTTTCATATTAAAAATAAAATACACTTCATTTGATTTAAGTGAATGTGTCCAAAAGGTGTTTTTCATCAATTCGTACATAGAAAGATCCCATATAAGAGTAATTTCACTTCAAACTTAACAAAGTTAATGGATGACAGGAAACCATTGCTAATTATCGAAAAACATTTCAAAATAATGTCCCTTTAAAATCCATTATATAAACTGAAGAAATAACAATCCCCAAAAGTACAGCTTCACTTTCTGCTGAAAAATGAAGCTCTTTGGGAAACTTCACGTTTATCAAGCTCTCACTAGGAAGTAAGGTCTCTTAAATAATGTATTAGACCACTTTTATTCCCGACTAAATTCCTTCGACAAGTTGAAAAATCCAACGAAAACCACAAAGGCGCTTACTTGAGATAACACTCGAAACAATGAAGTCACTCAGATTATTTCGAAATATAAAAACACGCTCTCTGAAATGTTCAATATTTTGAAATTAGGTAATTCCCAAAAGTCTTCTTTATCTATTCATTTAGTAACAAGCTTCTGTTTGTGTATTTCTTTCAGGTGGGTCACTTGATTTAGATTTAGAGCCAATTTCAAATCCTTCTTTAAGTAAATCCTCTTGGTTCCGGAATGGATCTCCCCTTCCTATATCACATGTCACTCGTAGTATGTCAAAAAATGAAAAGAACTCTGAAAGTTCTGAATCTTCTACCACAGAAGAAGATACTAACAAACGTATTACTGTAAATCCAACAAGAATAATTATCCATCCTGTTAAACGTTCCGATATGGCCAATTATACGTTGATTGCTACCAATGCATTAGGAAGTAATGAGTTCACATTTTTTCTGAATGTTACTTGTAAGTTTCATACGTCTGTATTTTTAGTATGTTAAACATTTTAAACCGTTAAATTTCTTCTCGCAAACATTTTGAAATATTTTTACAAAATGATTAAGATTTATGCCAGACTTTTGTATTTTATAATTGTGGAAGGCGGAAATTATTAGAATGTACAGTGATATGATAAATTTTGTAAATTTTTTATTTTATAAAGCGTATTGACTGCCTTGTCCGGTGGCTAAAACTGGAAATATAGGCAGTTTGGCTCATGCTAGCTAAGTTTGACTGATTCCTTTCGAAAATAGTTAGTTCTCTGAAAGATTTTCGTTACTGAAACTTCAGAATTCTTTAAATCTCGGCAGCTAACACTTTCCTGTCACTTATTTTTTGAGTAAACTGCATATTTTGTTTAGTTTAAGCCTCTACCTTACCACAAGATAGAATACTCAACACCAGCTAACAGAAATACTTCCCTATATGAAATATATTGTACAATACATGATTCCCAGAAGTCAACCAGCAGGACTGTGTATTTCAGCACTCTTTAGTGCAAGGAAAAGTATAGTTGACTTGGCGATAAATGCAGCTGGACTTCCGTTTTTATTTCATACATGATGTGAGATGTCTAAAAAATGACAAGTATGCAACAAGTGCTCAGCGTATATGTACCAGGAAACACATTTTGATACGGCCACGCGCCAGTGCTTAAAGCAAATTAAAGCCTATGTAAAGTCTTATTTATTCTGAATAATAATACTAGGGGGCTTACAGAGATTCGAATGTTTATTTTGTCCTAATATGGTTCGTGCTTCTGGAAACGTAATTGTAGTATTCACTGGTTTGATATGATATATATTTTAATTTAAAGTGACCAGAACAAGCTGGATTCAGGAAAGGCAAATCATGTTCTGACCAAATTGCAACTCTACGCATTATCATTGAACAAAGCATGGAATGGCAATCAAATCTCTACCTCAACTTCTTTCATAGACTTTGAGAAGGCCTTCGACAGCGTTGACCGCGAAGTAATTTGGAAACTACTCGAGTACTACGGCGTACCTCAAGTATTCATGAACCTTATTCAACAACTGTACGACAACGGCACATGTCATGTGATCCACAACGGAAAACTCAGCGAAGCCTTCGGAGTAAACACAGGAGTCAGACAAGGGTGCTTATTATCACCAATGATATTCCTAATTGTGGTGGACTGGATTATGCGTCAGACAGTGGGGAACGAGAAGACAGGGATATCCTGGACCGACATGAAGAACCTAGAAGACCTGGATTTCGCGCGTGGATGATTTATGTTTGATGTCACACAAAATTGAAGACTTACAAGCAAAAACCGACAAACTGGTCGAAGAAGCAGCAAAGACAGGACTCCAGGTGAACATAGACAAGACGGAGGTCATGAAAATAACCAACCAACAACAACAACAGCAGCAACATCCAGCGCCAATCACCAGCAACGGGAGAGATTTGAAGGAGGTTACTTCATTCACTTATCTAGGGAGCATTGTCTCAACCACAGGAGGAACGGACGAGGATGTCAAATCGAGAATCGGGAAGGCGAGAAACACATTCATCAACCTCAAATCAATCTGGAAATCTTCGTCACTCACCATCAACAACAAAATTCGGATTTTCAACACAAACGTGAAGTCAATTTTGCTTTACGGATCAGAAACTTGGCGGGTCACCAAGAATATTTTCAACAGGTTGCAGACCTTTATCAACAACTGTCTTCGCTCCATACTGAAGATTAGATGGCCGGAAAGAATCACAAACAAGAAGCTATGGGAACAAACAAAACAGGAACCAATCGCCCAACAAATATGCAGGAGAAAGTGGAGATGGATTGGACACTCGCTGAGGAGGCCTTTGAGTGACATCACACGTCAGGCCAGTGCTCGAGTGGAACCCGAAAGGTAAGCGGCGAGTGGGACGTCCAAGAGTGACATGGAGGAGATCGTGTGATGAGGAACTGAAACAGTTTGGATTAACATGGATGCAGGTGAAAAGTACAGCAGAAGACGTGCAGTTGAAGCCCCATGTTCCACTAGGAACCCAAGGGAACAATAATAATAATGTCGTTTTAGGTGTTAGAGATTATGGCACTGAATGTATGAATCCTCTCTTTGGAAGTTTGTGCAAAAGTTCATTACCTCGAAATATCATTTCTCAGAAAAGCATGCCTAAAGTCAGGCGAAAGAAATAAAATCAAACTACAGTGGACAAAATATACGATAGAACGAATAGTTAGTTAAAGAACAATGAGAATTTGATGAGTCTGTGAGGTAACGAGTGAATATATCCGCATCACTCAGGGTGGTTTAGAGTCATGTCATGAGAAACTTCAAAGTGCTGTAGTGTGGTGATGACTGCCTAACTAGCCACAGTACGTGTACGGATAACTGAATGGAATACGACAACCTGCCAAATAGCGTGTATGCTTGAATGTTTACCTTCAGTTTAACCAGTAGACTTGAACACTGATGGTCATCACCCAGTGCTAAATGATGAAAGCTGTAGACTGGTAATTCTGGGAATTTATTAACCACTACACACCCAAAATTACCAGTGGAGGAGGACAGCGGAAAGTTAGATACACACAGCTTTTTGTGTTTGCTGCTGATTGACACTGGTAGTTTATAATCAGTGCAATTCAGAGTGTTATATAGCTTAATGACCACATTTAATGTTTAAATGCCAAATTTATATCAATCGACTTATGGACGAACAACATCGTCCATTACAATTCAGTGATCAATTTGTGAGGATGTAAATATCAATAGTTTTATCAGTATATGCCGTTTAGATATGAAATCTCCAGTAAACATAATTACTTCAGTTCTCCTCAAAGAACATTTTTGACCGGTAATTCTTTTATGTGGAAAATTCTAAAAATAAATTAGTGTAGTATTACCATAGCTGTTTTTGGTTTTTTAATAAATATAAGATGGCGTAAATAGATGTATTATTTCTGAGTACACAGACGAAATACTGAACAAAATATATTCATTCAAGAAAAAGCTCTACAGCTATAGACAGTAAAACTTCGAAAATCCAAAGACAGTTGAAGAACAACCGTATTTCTCCTCAAAACTAGTGTAATTTGATGATATATTGGTAAAATATCCAACACAGTATTTGACTTTAAGACTTTTGCCTGGTGTCTTTCCGAATACCGATGAAGTTCTCTGATGGCTAAATTGGTATTTCTAGTCCTCTTATGAATCCATAATTTGACCGTGCTGTCAGTCGGCACATTCGATCGATGTACTAATCTTAGTGTGATCTACTGTTTATCAACTTAGATGAAGAGGTGAAATCAGTTAGAGGACTATTGAAAACCAAAGAGTTCTGAATATCTGTCTTGAACTAGTCCAGGATTCTTGAGCGGTTTGTTCTCGCAACCCCGTTGTAGACCAAACCCAGAACCTTCGCTTTACGAGGGGTGCCTGTTGACCATTCATCCACTGGGATGGAATCTAATGGCCTATAAATTCCTACTTCTACTCATTTGGGATATTTTTATTGACTAGATAACTAGTGTTTCGCATGATCCTTTGAATGTTTCTGTGTTATACCATTCAGAGCACAGTATATAGAAAATAGGCGGTTTCCTTTCTGCATCGCTTTTGGACTTTTATCAAGTAACTTACATACGAATATTGATGGAATCTTTTGACGTATTTACTTACCTACATACTCTTTAATAACAATCTTACAGAATTGGAGTATGATAAAAGTGTTATTAGATTTCATTTTTCGAAGTCTTAAACACAAATTGAAAAATATAACTTTATATGCTTGAAGGTAAAAAGTTGGATAAATTAATAACTGAATTTCTTAACGATGCAATACTGTTATATGGTAAACATATCTACTGTTCTTACCTCCTTCAAGATGGCCCTCAGTTGATTGGTCCAGCTTCAATAAATGTTACCGTGACTGGCAAAAAAGCTGAGTTAATTTGTCAGTCAGAAGCCAATCCAACACCAACTATTAATGCTGTCCGCTGGAGACGTTTGACTAACACGTTATTCGCTGCAGACTCATTGGAAAATCTCTATAAAACTTCAATTACTCAAACAACTTCTTCCTCAAGAAACCACTTTTCTCAGGCTGACTCAGCTGCTGGTATTCAATGTACTAAGGTAAGCTCTCATTAGATTGTTTGTTTTTTTGCATGAACCTATAATAACTGTGGAGGTATCTACCGGAAACTTTACAATTATAAGATCAGAGTGTGTTTAAGCAATATTACTGATTATATAGTTTGCAGTAAGCTACCTTGCTACAGTTGCTATTATAATACATAAAGTCAGGGTATTGGAGAAGTAATTCACTTTTACGTGATCAAATGGTAAGCTGATGCCTGTAAAAAGGAACACTTTGAAAATATCAGTCAGTTCAAGCAGTTGCTTACACAAACATTAAAGCAAAACTACTGTATAATAAAAGGACACTGTTTACTCAACATTTAAGAAATGAGTAAAATAATCATTTCTTCAGAAGCATTCAGTATAACCACTTCGTTATTCTGTAATCTAAAACAGGGCTAAAAAGCAGAATCGAAATGAATGACTCCACTGGAGTTACTGGAGGGCGCCGATGAATTATTTATTAGATTAACCAAAAGACTAGATAATATCTTGAAGTTTGAGATGGTTTCGTTTGACTGATGCAAATCACTGATCAACACAGAGGTGGCCCTAATCGACTCCGATGACTTAGGGATTGACTTACTATCAGGGAAGTGCCTCTCTGATTTACAGGATGCAGATGGCATCGTTCTTCTAGATGAGGATACTGACGAAATCCAGAATCTACTGAAAGTCTTGAACAGATATTTTAATATGTCTGACGTGTGATTCGCCTCTGTCAAATGCTGTAGGACTGGTTTAAAGATAGGTGGTAAAATAGTTGGGCATGCTAGCCACTCTACTTATTTTGGAAGTTGCATTAACCCTAATGGGTGGATTGATAATGAAATCCCAAAACGCATACAAAAGGCTCATTCACAATATGCCAACTAATGTCATCTCTGGCTTAGGCGTGATACGTGGCTGTCGATCAAAGGAGGTGTGTACTACCAGGCAGTTTTCTGTATGTTTCTTTATGGTTGTAAAAATGTGGCTCTTAAAAATGGAAAATTTCGGGAGGTTAGTAGTCTTTGACCATACGTTTTTCATTTTATACCCCACCTTAATTGGAACAATATGCTGAGTAATACTGAGCTTAGGTGTTGAAGAAGGGAAAGTCAGCGATTACGTTATGCAGCTGCATAGATTGAGATGGCTGGTTACACATGCCAAGCCATTGTCTTTCTTGTAGAGCAATGTTAGTTGACATAGAATTAGATTGGAAATGAGTTTCAGGAAGTCAGACAAAAACATGCCACCCACTCATGAAGTTTTTGACTGTTGGTTTGAGTCACCTAAAGAGAGTGTAGACAGTTTGGCTGGGGTCCTTAGGACTGCCGAAAATTGTTGATGTGGCGCCTATGTATTCACTAGTTATCTCTCAGATTAATTCAATGCTCGTCATTCTTCATCGAATTATTCTTTCTCACCGTTCGTTACAATTTATTTGCTTTTTTCTGTCTTTATATGTGTGAAGTGTGGCGACTTAAAGTGCTGCACCTGTGTGCAAGTTTCTACACTGAAAATTCACTTCACTTCATTCTTTTTCCTTGATTAAACCAACAGCATGTGTCAAAAGTGATATACTTTCTACGGAAGCTGTTTTGTACCAGTTCAAGTAGCATCAGTCGTAAAAGTAAAATTATTAGTTACAATTATAGAAATGTGTATATACTTAGAGTAAATAAGTCTTTTAATGATCCATGATAATCATCAAATGATGCTTAATTTACTCATTAAGTCTATAGTCTAATATTTGTTTATTCAGTTGCTTCAGGCTTTTTTTAGGTTTTATCTGTATCTGAAAAAGATTCTAATCATCTTTTTATCGTATCACAAGTTATTTAAATATCTTTCCTTAGAATATAAACAAATCTTTTCTTACAGTAAACAAATATTATTTCTGTTTAATCGTTGTGTACAGATATCAGTGTTTATCATACGTATAAGTTTATTTATTTACTCATCAAAATAACCACAATAATAAGTATCAGTCATATCATATTTACAAAGCTTAGTCACTCAGTGCACAGAGCTGTTGTCCAATGTATATATTTATGTTATTATTATTGTTTGTATTTTCCAAGTTGCACTGTGGGCATCCTTTTTGTGTTAATTCTTTCAAATAGGCCATTAGTATTTCTACCTGAACAGTAATTATATTGGATAATTTTAAATGTAACTTACAGAAAAATATAAACAAAATTTGGGTTAATGAAGTCAATTTACCGAGTATATTAGTTTAAGATTATCCTATAGTGTGAACCCTGCGGCAATTTTAACAGATGACTAGTGAGTTTATCAGTGTTGTTCCCCCTTAGTTTTTCCCGGGCTAGTGAAGAATGACTATAACATATTACTCAGGATGTTAAAGGTTGTCAGCAGGGTGAGCAACGTGCCACTTAACCAGCTTGTTAATGTTCTGGTCGACAGGCACATGGACTCATGTGAAAAATGGGTCAAATCCATTTTAGATAACTCACACCACCCTCTTCACCCACAGCTCTCCCCTTGCATCTCATCAGGTAAAACCAGAAGCCAATATAGAAAACTATATGCTCGCACCAGCAAGTACAAAAACTCGACCATACCCTACTTAGCTCGTGTTCTATGCGATAGAGAAAGCATTAGGCGTGACACCTATAATTCATTAAGTAGTCAGTAGTACAACTGGATCTCGTCTTTCCAACTCATATCATTTATAGGTACAACATTTTCTTTCCTTCTTTTCCTTTTCTCTCTCTTTTTTTCCGTTATGTGCTGCTTTGTTTCTTTCTCTCGCTTAGGCCAGTAAATATGACAGCTCCTACTTTTCTAACACCTTCAAACACTGTTCAGCTTTACCTATGCTACCGAAATGCCAGTGTGTTGTTGTCATAATGAACTGAGATTTCCTTAATCTATGTAGAATTCTATTTATTGATAATGTACTAAATGGATGCAATACTGTAGTAAAAATGCTGAGAATCCCATTCTGTATCACATGTACTGTTTTGGAATAAAGCAAATTATTATTATTATTAGTCAGGGTGTGAGATCATGTGACTGACCAACATATAATTCTAAGATTGTGCACCACTTAAATTCTCCATGACACGACAAAATTTGTGCCTTTTGCAATAAGACCACATCCAGTGAAATTAATAACCACTATTCACTCTTTTAATGGCTAAAGTGAGAAAGAAGGTTGATTTGATGTTTTATATACGATTAGAAATACATAAGGAGATATGTGACTAATAAATACTTCACAGTGAATCGATCGTAGTAAAACGAAAAGTGAAACTGATTTACAGGTCAAGTTCAGATTTAAAGAACGTGGAAGAGGCATAAGATATTGAAAACTGGGATTGCAGTGTATTTTAATTCATTTGAATCACTATGATAAACAATTAGTCATTCAAGAAAGAACTTGAAATTATTAGAAATAATATAATAACAAAATATATAATATATATTATCAGTGATGATATTCCTAATTGTGGTGGACTAGATCATGCGTCAGACTGTACACAGGGAGTGAGAAGACAGAAATACGTTGGGCCATCTATGAGACTCTAAGAGGTCTGGATTTCGCAGATGATATATGTTTAATGTCACACAGACTCAAAGACTTGCAGGCGAAAACCAACAAACTGGCCGAAGAGGCTGGCAGCGAAGACAGGACTCCAGATGGACATAGAGAAGACAGAGGTGATGAATATTACCAACGAACAGCTACAACAACCAGCACTAATCACCATCAACGGGAGAGATTTGATAGAGGTTACTTCCTTCGCTTATTTAGGGAGCATCGTTTCAACCATAGTCCGGCGGAATAGATGAAGATGTGAAAGCCAGTCAGAATCGCAAAGGTAAGATACTCACTATCATCAGTCAGAAACCAGCTTAGAAATCTTCTGCCGTCACCCAGCCAGCATAAACAACAAGATTCGGATTTTCGACACACATGTCAATGAAGTCAGTCAGTCAGCCACTGCGTGTTACCAAAAGCATTTCCAACAGGCCATTGCAGACTTTTGTCGACCGCTACCACCTTCTCTTCCTCCATAGTGAAAATCAAATGGCCAGAAAGAATAAGTAACAAGAGACTCTGATTAGGAACAAACCAATAAAGAGCCGATCGCTCAACAAATATGTAGAAGAAAATGGAGATGGATTGGGCATACATTGAAGAGACCGTCGAATGACACAGTGTGCCAGGCCCTCGAGTGGAATCCCAATGGGAAGCGACGAATGGGTCATCAGTGTGAGGGCGACATGGAGGAGATAGTGTTAAGGTGGGGGAAATGAGACATTATGAGCGACCTTGGGCCAGGCTGAAGTGGACAGCACCAAACAGAAGAAAGTGGAGATGTGTTACTGAAGCCCATTGTTCCACTAGGAACCCAAGGGATTAACAATATACAGTAGTAATGTTGATAATGATTCTGACATTAATGGATTTCTAACTGTAGAACCTGAAAAAACTATTCACAACAAATTTTCGCCTTAATTATTCTTTTTCCGCAAAATACCATGGGGATATTTAAGTAGTGACACTGACAAAATATAGTTTGAGCCAAGATAATAATAATGAATAAAGTAAAATAAAACAGTAATAATAACAGTTAGTAGAGTGGAAGATTTTAACATGTCAGACTCAAAGGGATAACCCTTTCCTTCTGTATACAGAGACCGTATTTATAGAACCTAACTACACAAAACTGAGTCCAATAGCTAATTGTTTATTATAGTGAATTAACTGAACTACAATATACTATAATCTTAATTCAAAATCTCTTATGCATTTCTCACCCTCTACCTACTTGAACTTGACCTATAAAACACTTTCACTTTTTGCTATCACCGATTCATTGTGGCTTATTGTTAGTCGCATATCTCCTCATGTATTTCTCATGGTGTATGCAACACTGTATGTACAGTATTCAGCTAAGTTGTTCTGCCAAAAAATTTGGTGAATTTACTTAATCCGGCTTTATTAACCTTAGTTTCCTGTTTTATAAAGTCCTTAAACTGGAAAACTCAGAACACCTCATTTTCCCAAACTTTCTCAATAAAAATTATTGAAAAATCTCCATCATAGAATTACTTTATTATTTTATAGAACTCACAGTGATATAGTATTAATTACAGATGATGTGTCAAGAACAGTAGACGTATCCAGAGTGTCATTTGACTTTCAGATTTCGATTATGTATTTCTACTACTTTGATTAGCAGTAATATTTCCCATATCTCTGGTGTCCGTGATGAGTCATGTCTTCTACATGTGTCAGGCATAGATTCCTTGAATAAAAGTTCAGCAATCAACATCTTCCTCCACTTACCTGTATTACTTTGTAGAACTGAAGTCCTGTCTCACTCTACTGTGTTCTACTTCATGCATTGCAGTTGCTGCCTTTTTAAAAAAGATCTTAGTCCACTACTCTACATTTAGTTAAACTCCCATATTCCGATAACCTAATTGACTCTGACTTACTGGATTAACCTATATAGCTGACCTCACAGTCATTGCAAGGTGTTTTAGTGTGAGTTATTCTGTCTAAACTGGTCAGTAGGATACTTTAGCCTACACAGTCTTTAACTGAGTGAATTTATGAGCTTAAGCGAATAATTTAACCCTTTCTTTATCTGGAAGCACTGTGGATGCCTCAAAATTCCTCCTTATTTGTATTATGTTCAACAGTTTCGCTAATTTCTCTTCTTTCATTGAAAATTTCAAAGACGTTCACTACGATCACTGAAACATCATTCTTCTTTTCATATTTCAATTTTGACTTCCTTTTTAATAAAAAAACTTTGCGTTAATGTTTCATGTGACACATCAAATGTTACTTAAAATAGTCCTGAATTCTACATTAATCAAAACTAAACGATTTAGCAGAATATAAGCCCAGTAAAACAAGATACATTCTAGCAGGAAAAATACATTTTGAATATATGAAAGTTTAATAAGATGTTGAATAATGTTTCAACCTCACATTCTGTTGTAACTATGATTCTGTATTGGTTTAAACTGACTAAAAATGTTCATGTAATTTGGTCACATGAATTCCTTGAAAAGATGAGCCGGCAATGAATTGCAATCATCCTGATTTTATTTGCATGATGCTGCCTAAAACTTGAGTTCACAATGAGAAATTCGGCTTTTAAAAGTAAGGCAGTAATTGAAGTAAATAACATCAAAAATAATCATCGCATAACAGGTGGTTACTGGAGCTCGGCAGTTATGTAGTTAACGCTTTGGTGTTTTTAACAGTGAGTTCGGGGTTGTAGCCACAGAGTTAATAAGCTCATAATTGGATGAAACATGTAGCACTGTTTCTACTGGCGGCTACTACTAACAACTGACATCTGGAACTTTATCTGTTTTTGAAATTGCCTAGGCACAAGCACTGATGGATTACAGTTTACTAGATGTGGTAATAAGTTAAAAGGCGGTTAAGTGATCAAGAGAATGAGAAAACAGTGCAATGTTTTAAAAGTAGATTCTCATAAAATAATTCGACAGGTTCAGCATGTTGCTTCAAATTATTTTTAGAAGTTGACTAAATACAGTAAATTTCAATGAAGATCAACGGAAGATTCGGCATCCAGGAATACTGTAAACTGATGACACAAACTGCAGATCACATTAAGCACTAAGTGCATTAAATTTAAGTCTTTCCGAATAACGATTTCTGACGTGACCATGATGTACACTGGTAAAAATCCTTTCCTTCCTTCTTCGGATAACTTTAACTGAGATATTTGTAAGCGCTTTATTCCATGGAGTGTCTCTTCTCGTTATCAGTCAGTTCCAGAAAGCTTATTATTGGAAGTTAAAAAGCACTAAATAGCTGCATTTTTGCATTGAAATCATAAATGCATTGAATGGAAGCCATTGTTTGGTGATATGTCATATGAAAATTTCAATGATGACGTAAAGCCTATAATAATGATTGAGTGTCATGCTAATTCTTCCATTCAGACAAAAAATGTTCTACCCCTGCAAGTTTTCAGTCACAAAATCTATGGATTATATACAAGAATATGTCAGTTACCGTTTCTTAAAGGTGGAATGGTTTGTATAAAAGGCAAAACCTTACACACTGAATCAAGCAAGCACTACCAGTTGATGTGACTGTCACCCAACTACTCATTTCAACCAATCAGTAGTATATAGTGTCATACATCTAAACACTTATACAGTCTATAATTTTACCTCTGAATATTACTGCGTTTTTTATTTACTAATAACATTAAAGTTATCAATGTGTATAATGAAACCGATAGTTTCTAAGAATTTGTCTTAAATGACAGGTTAAGTTCAGCCAAGCAGTCTGTTACTTAAGCAACAATCCATATAATCTCAGAAGGGATTATTCTATCAGAAAGCACCAAGGTTATTAGACTATTGTCAGAATCACTGAACAAACTTTATGTACTGATAATGTGAACGGATAAATGCGTAGGTACATTTTGTACTGGAATTCATATCTATAACTGAAATATACTGTCCAACAACTGATATTCTTTTGTGAATAAATCCACATTATTTTGATAAAAAAACTAAAAAGTAATTGACTAAAATAACTAATCATTCACTTGTTTATCGGTAGCCTTCTGTCTTTTTCATAAATAATAAAAGGATTCTTTATTTTAGTATTTGTATTCTTCATCTATAGGTTTCTAACTTTTATTGTCTCATGTAATGATGCATTCTGATTATTGTTTATAATAATAAATGTCGACTTGCGGATACATTATTGCACAAAAACACTTATAAGTATAAAAATAGTCTTTTCCATGATAAAACTAGTTTCATTTTAGTTTATATTAAAGATATTATTTTAAACAGAGCTTAAGTTCTTCAGAATTATCTCTCCTTGACATATATGTATATATGCATCCATAGTTTATATTTGCATTCTAAAACTGGATATTTATTACTTAAAATAAACACAACTGTAGTTATTCAAGTGAAAATTTAGTCGCTTATCTTACTTAGAAAAGTACATTTTATCCTCTTCACTCACCGTATTGTCCCAGTGTTTATTTGATAACTTTGAGAAAATCAAGCAATGTGAATAGTTTACCGCATGGAGTACCAAATGTACATACATATCAGGAGATAAAATAAATCTAATAAATTGGTTTTGCTTAATTTACCTTTCATGTACCTTTGAATATAGAAATTTTTATTTCAGGGGAATAATTTCAATTTGTTTAAATCAATTAAAGTTGTACGCAATAAATACTGAGTGCTAACAAATAAAAACCGGTTTTCCATCAATCATTAGACGCATTCAAATATTTCCCATGATATCTCTTTCATTGGGTCTGCAGTTAAGCAGAGAGAGAGCGAGAGGGAATGTCTTTCAAAAATTGTATTGACGTACTCTTTAGCAGGACAGACATAGGAAAGCACACCATTTCATTTAGTACAGGTACAAGATACATATTATCAAATTCTGTTTCAGGTAGATGAAAAGTGCCTTTCTTCTTTGGACAGTCAGCTTAGTTATTTAAATTTTTGTATTTCTTTATGTTCCAAGTGGAATACAGAGCTTCAAACTTAGAGCTCTGAATGTTTAGTGGTGGTGGGAGGCTTATACGGGGTGGAGTTGCTAACCTCCACTGTCTTAAAGGTTTATGACCGGCTGTTAAACTAGGCAAGGATTCGGTGTGTTGACTTAGAAGTGACTTGTGAAAAACCCAATGACGAATACTGCCGTCTTGCAAAAATCACCTATATTAGAATGGAAGAATCACTGTTTGCACAACAATACACTTTAATTTGTTATTCTGTCTTTTGTTTTTTTTTAAACAGGGTGAATGGCATAGTGGATTTAAATATTATGCAAAATGTTGGTGCTCATCGCCAGGAATCATGACTAGTACACTAACAATTTACGATTTGAGTCCAAATGATGTTGGTCGGTATCAATGTCACATGGATAATGGTATAGGTTCCCCAGCTGTTCGTACAATTGATCTTACTTATCCTTGTAAGTTGAAGTTTGACATATACCAAATACTGTGAGTGAGTTTAACTTCATCTTATACTTTGTAAACTAAATATTGTCAAATGGAATTCCACTCATAAGAGTTCACCATTGAGTCCCAAGAAGTGTATCTACTACGTAAGTCAAATGGGATAAGACGATTTGTAGCTATAAGCTGGTATTTTTCGTCTAGAATCTGTTCTTAATCTTAGATCCATTACATATATCCACAATTTTCTTTCCTCTATTTCCTTGATCTGTACTGCTTATATTGTCCTAAATACAAAGACTAAATAAATCAAAGCAAATGAAGACAAAATTTAAATGCATTTTCCAGATTCTATGAATTATGGGTCATAAAAGTTGCTTTCAAAGAAAATGTACATTTCCAGAGTTTATATCATTCATGGTAATCCAAGAAATATTTTAAGCTGTGAAAAGAAGGCACTTTTTGACTTCTTTCTAAAATCTCTGATCATTCAAAAACCGAGACTTGTGAAGCTATTATGCCTAGCCTTCATTAATTTAAGCTGACATCTCTTTGTCTGTACATAAATCAAGCATCAAAATATAACACATTTTAGAGGATATGGGAAAAAACATTGTCAGATATCGGAAGCCAACAGACAGATATTTGTTCACAAAACTACTTCATTACATTTTTAGATGTAACAAATGTTGTACTGGCCCAGATATTATGGCCCACGGGAAGCCTTACAATCAAGCCATTCTATTTGATTGAAAAGTACACAGCTCACAGGGAATCGGCACCTTTTGCGTCGGTGGCACAACGGTTAGGACTCTCGCCGACCATGCATATGGTCCGGGTTTCGATCCCCTGCCGACGCACACCAGATTTCTATGGTCGGCCTGCAAAATGTGGGCTACCGATATCACATGCTGAAGATTCCATACTTCTATCAAAAAGCACCGTGTGGAATCAAGCTGTAATAAAAAAAGTTAGTAAAATTACGAATGTAGGGGAGAGAGAGAAGAATAAAATAAATACAAGAGAAAACATCCAGAACCTTGAAGATCATAAAGAACACATACATTTGAGGCATACAGGTCATGAATAAGTCTATGCACAATTCAGTGATATAAAGGAGACCGTCAACTGATATTAACTGATTAAAACAGGAGGTAGAGGCGAACAATATGGTTTTCCCCGGGCTTTAAAATTTTATCCAAAAACGGTGATTTTTGGGTCAATGATAAATGTTGTAAATTTGACAGCGACAATGATAACATCACTGGCAATAATTATACAAATATTTGACGCAGGTGTAGATAAGAATAATGAAGAAGCAAACGTCTCGATAATTAAATCAGGTTAAGATGTTATAAAATTAGAGATTACATAATACTAAAGATTAAGCGGATAGCTAAACAAAGCTTAAATAAAGGGTGGAGAATAAGAAACGGTGGCATGTTGAATAAATTTATCATGGCCATGGAAGGAAAGAAGGCAATATGAACTTCTTTTCAACACGTTTATTTTATAGAATACCCATCTTCGGAGGACAAATTTGAATTCCGTTCAAAAAGTTTGGTGGAATCCATAAATACAAACTAGTGGTTAAAAGACACGGCGTGGTTTAATTTGTGTCCACCTGTATAGACAACTTAGAACGTCAATTCAACTGGGTAAAATTAATGATCTTAGACTGAGGAAATATGAAGAATTGGCAGAATTCAGAATTCATGGGCTAGTGGATTCCATCCCAATGTCTGAATGGTCAGCGAGCACGCCTCATAATCTGGAATTGTTGATTCTCTTCCTGATGAGGTCATAATTGCTGACCCCTGAAGAAGTCATAATCTAAGACGAATGAAATCTCTAGTACTCCCTGATTTCCATTTATTCTCCAAGTAATGTCAGATGTTGATCAAACTTCAGTGTGAAGAATGTCACACACTCGTATCAACTTCAAATTAATAGCTGTACTGATATAGACAAAGTTGGTCAAATAGTAAGGGACAAGTGACCCGATTAAATAGTCAGGTATCAGGTCAGCGATGCGACCAGAATCAATACAGTGATACAACCATAAGAAAATCCCCAAGGAGAACCGAACATATTCATCAGAAAACACGGGTATCTTATCCCTAGGTAATTCCTAAAGATCACTTCACATTGAAAATTGCGCTAAATATTCTTCTCAGCCGGCCCATCTAAATAAGAGTATACAACAATGAATAGAACAAAAATCCACACCCGTATGTATGTTAATTTAAGTTTCCTTATTACCATTTGCCAAAGATTTCTGTAGAAAGAATTTTACATCTGAACAATTTTATTTTAGGTGTGTTTGTTTCGATTATTACTTGTATTGCACCTTTTTCCCCTACTAAATCACACATTTCATTTAACAGTTGAACCACGAATCGTCCCAGTAACAAGATGGTCAAGAGCTGCATCAAATATGATTTTAACTAAGAATAAAACCACCAGTGCTATCCAATCACATCAAGTTCCTGATCAAATAAGCTCTATTTTAAGTGGTCCTCATGCACGGTTAACATGCGTCATCGCAGCAGAACCTATGCCAGAAGTACAATGGCTACGTGAACCAGCCAATTTAACGCTAATTGAAGGTGGTCAATTCCGTTCAGTTGTCAAATCAATTAGACCAGGCCTATATCATGCAATATTGTATTTAATCCAACCACAAGATGTTGATTTAGGGAGATATTTTTGTAAAGTAAGTTCGACACAATACCATGAAGTTCTGTTGTTTAAAAATATGTCATTGAGAAAATCTTTTGGATATTTATCTATTTTGCATAATATGCATAAACATCTGAATTAAAGCACATATATTTCCTGTTACAATAATGATATCGTTGCGGTGTTTAGGTAATCTTTCCCCCTGTGATTTTATTTAACTGAAAACATTTTTTAGTTGTTTTTCACAAGTTTCAGACTACTTAGGTATTAGCCAATTTTTGTAATCTGAATTTCATTCAGTAATTAATTTCATCTTATGTTTTGCACAAAAAAGACACAGTGAGAGAGATGTACTGCACCATATGGTAATTTCTTACCAAAATTAACAGATGTTTTAAGTGCCGAGACAAAGATATTAGACGTTCTCAATTTATAATTTATTATGTATTACTATTGGTAACCATAGAATCAAATTACTCCCTTATTCACTAAATATGAAACTGTTAACCTCTGGAATTAGATAATACCGAAGTAATTTCTGTATCAGAATGAATGAATGTCACATAAAGCATGGCATTTTTCATGCATAGTCGAATAAATACGTGTCTGTTAATTTCCCCATCGAAATTAATCAAATACATTATTCTTAAAAACTTCTGGCTGAAATTTAATCGAAGTGCTCTACAAGTATTTTTCACAAAATTTGAAGGCGCCATTGTGTTCTGTTATTATTTTATTAAACAAACAGATGACAGACATGTACACTGTAGTTATTGCTTTCATATGTGTAGCTGGAATTGCATACTAGTTGCATACATTAGCTACACTAAACTTAGGTCATTAATAAAACTGAATTCGAAGATCAAAACCAAACTTTGGATCATTTTGAATTCTTCACATAAGACTTCTTACCATTGTACAAATTTTCCATGTTTCTTGTAAAGTGGAATAACACTGATGACTGATGACTTTCAGCAATCTGTCTAACATTAGTTATAATTATCACACCGTTTGCATGTGACGTTTTGATGATAAAGGCAGAAGAATCTCAAACATTAACCAATACAAATGAAATATTTCTATTCATAGAAAGAGTCAATTGCACTTAATCAACTTCAGGATTCCCGTAACAGTTTACAATTCTCTTACACTCTTAAGGTGAGGTTAAAAATAAGAATTGGTGAGAGTTACCTTTCTCCTACTCAATATATGTCAAATTAGAAAATCTTCCTTCATGAAGATGAACAATAATAGGTGTAAAATTCAATGTGTAAATGTTTCTTGTATAGTATCCCATTGTTGCGTTCATTTGGAAATATTTGTATACTATGAATATGTAAGGTCGAATTCACATTTGGACACTGAGTTATTGAACTCCATATATTTTTGTAGACCGTTTATCATATTTATTCTCAGTCATTCACTATATTCTTTACATGTAATGTTACATTTTATCAATACATGTGAGTAAATGAAGAAAAACGCTTAAACTGTGTGATGAAATATCGCCTAATGACACGATAATGCAGCATTTTTCTGATTATTTCAGAGGGTAGTCGTATGGACAAAATCTTAGAAGTAACATCTTTTGAAAAACAAACAGTCGCGTCATTACGTCACAGTCACTTTTGCAAAATGCGCCACTGTTCTAATAAGTAGGAAGAAGTTAATTATGAGCAATACATAAATTACTAATTTCATAAATCTAGTAATGACACAGAGTACAATGACAATACTTTGAACTCTATGTATCCTCATAACGGATATAGTAAAAGCCTGCCAACTGCCTCCAACCATCTAATACCAACAATTCACAGTGCACCGTGATGGCAAGCCATATAGCATGGTGGCCATATTGCAAACTTGACTGATAGAATTTGGTCTGCGCCAAAGATAGGACTAGGCACATTACACTAGTTGCTGACTAGTGGATAATCGAAAATAGTATAAGACATTATATTACCCTACAAATGGTTCAATAGTCTACATTCTCTCTAGTCTGCTTTTCACGACAGTCAGTAAGTGTTTCAAAGCTCTGTCCTTTACTGTCAGTTAGACAGGATATGTTCAGTGTTTCTCAAAATAACATGACAAATCACTGTGATAAACTTGTTTATACAATTTTGTTAATACAAACTTTATGAAACAAAACTATGGGAAATACCGACTTACTTGCGAATTTTAAATAAAATTTCTACCTGCATTCTCTGCATCTATAACAAATAAATTCAAAAGAGAGATGTTAAACATAATTACGAAACATCGACAAGAAAACGTTTCGAGAAATTCCTTAATTTTGAAAACAGTTATTCCCGTTTTTTACATGAAATGACTCTGTTGCTTACAATGCTTTTTCACTAGGCAAAGAATTTAGTCGGTGAGGATACTGGTCGTGTGGATCTAATACGTCCAGTTCAACCAGATGTACCCAGCTCTCCACGTTTAATCAATGCAACCAGTTCAAGTTTAGCAGTATCATGGACACAAGGATTCAATGGTGGTCCTGAACAAACATTTCTAGTAAGCCTATTGTAGTAATGTGTATAATAGTGTTATTGTTCCTTCGGGTTCTTAGTGGAATACTGGGTTTCAACAGTCTATCTCATTTTCATTCTGTTTTCTGAAGTCCTCTTTAGCGTCACGATTACTTAAAAACTTTCATCTCCTTCCCATATGATTTCCTCCATGTCATCCTCGGACTCCAAGCTCGTCGCTTCCTACTAGAGTTCCACTCGAAGGTCTGACGCGTGATGTCACTCAACTCAGTGGTCGTTTCTATTATTATTATTCCTTCGCGTTCCCAGTGAAACATAGGGCTTCAAGCTAGTGGCTTGAAGTTTCTGTAGCAGTCTTTATTTTTACAGGATAGGGTTGCTAGCCTCATGCTCAACCTTCCCTCTTTACTGGCTTTTTTATTTCTGGCTTAGAGAAGTAAAGGAGTGCGTCAACTAGGGATCGAGCCCCGGACCACGTGCATGGTCGGCAAACGTCCTAACCGGTGTGCCACCGACGCAACGGTCTTCGCTGGGTTTGTAGAATCCACTTTCCTTTTCTTCTGCATATTTGTTGGACACTAGGTTCTTGGCTGGTTCTAGCCGGTTCTAAATATAGAAAATGTGAAGGGTAGGTATGAGGCTAGAGACCCTACCCCAAGAAGTTAACCATACCACTATAGAAACTTCAAAGAACAGAGAACTTCAATTCGTCTGTGAAGTCAGTTAATATTTTTTTCTTGACAGAGATACTATCAGTTAAATTACTTCTATTGCCTCTGTATAGATCATCTCGGTGCAATTCAAAAGTGACTATTTCACAGTTAAAATAGAAAACTAAATTAATAATATGATTGCTATGCTATTACTCTGCTGGCTGTTTAGTTTCGGTATATTGCATTCTTATTTTATGTAGGTGGAAAATTTAGTATTCTGTTCACTGAATTTTACTGTCAACTTAATATGACAAATTCTTATTTTAGTAACATTTTAATTTTTTTTAGATAAATGCATGGTATGTATTTGATGTGACCAGTTGAGGGTATTTTGTGAGAAAATAAAAATATTTGCCGGAAAGGTAACTGTGGCTTTACTGAATGCCATAAATGTATACCGTAATACTTTTGGATATGTGAAAAGAACTTTGCTTTGCATCACTATTTGAATTTTGATACTTCGATATGTTTTCTTTCAAAAATAAATAAGTTCTCCTTGTTTGGCAGATATACTCAGATGCAAAAACAATGACACTTCATGCTAGATTTTAAATCTGTACTGTGACAAAAGGAAGTGATTTGAAAATCACCATAACATGTGACTTTTCTTTGCATTTGAAATTCTCACATGGACAAAATCGAATACTATTTACAGTTACAGAAAGTATAAGATGGCTTTTGTATATAACAAGCCGATCGGAAACAACTACATTTACTGGTGATGTGGAGTGTTGAAACGCCATTCAGTTGAAAAGCATGGATCTGTGTTTCAGACTTATCGGTAATTATCGAAAATATGTATCCGTGATTTAAAACAGCTTACGTAGGATTGAGTACATGTCATTCTCAGATTTGCAAACTAATTCTAGGGATTTCTTTTGACTCAACCCTTAAACTTTACGCTGAGGAAACCACAGGCTTTGCTGTTATGCTGATTACCTACCAAATTGTAGATTCTTACCAGAATCATGGAACAGATGGGTGTACAGTTCTTTGTTTAGTGACTTTATCGTATCAGTTAACTCGCCTGTGACACTGGCTGGGGGTCGTGCTACATATACATATGTATATACATATCGCGAAATGGCAGAAGTTGGAATTCATGCGTTATTGGATTGTGTTTCAGTGACTGCACAGTCTGCGGGCTCGCCTGATGACCGGTGGATACGTATTGCTAAAAGAGTCTCAAGCTAGGACGAAACATCTACCCAACACTTTCTGGTTTTCCATTGCTTCTTTAATTGATGTCAGCTAGAGATCATGTCTGCAATGAAACGTCTTCATCTATGATTTTTTAAATCTCACAGATAGAATTTACTTCTGCATCTAAATATAAATATTCTTTTAAAAAATAGTCTTTTAAAGAAGACTGTTTGCTTTCCATATACATAGAAATGACTATGATTGTCGAACATTTGTAAACAAAACTCATTTCTCATTGAATTTCTGAACAATTTAAGTGGAAAAATATTTATGATAAAATCATTTTTACAATGACCAACACTCTTCTATCATGTTAATCTCTTAACTTATGGTTATCAAAATACTCCTTACTGTGTGTGTGTTTTTTTAAACATTTGTAAATAAATTTTCCTCTCATAAAAATTGCTTAGTTTGCATATAATTTTAAAATAGCTTAAGCAAAACTCTTATTACTTGATGAAGGATAGAACCGTTAAACTAACGTTCAATTTCTGCGTCAAATTAGACGCCCGCATATATATATTAGATAATACTAACTAGTAATGTGAAGCCTTCTAAAGTAACGAAAAAACATAATTGTTGACGCATACAATGAGAAAAGAATTTCCTCCATGCATAGAAAGAGAAGACAATATATATAAATCATTGTCTACTGTTTGTAAAAGCCAAAGAAACAAAACGTTTACTGGCCATTCGCTCTTTTCATCTGTCTTTTTCTCTTTTTCAACTTAAGTTAAACGGCATGTACACATTTCAACATTTTCTTGAAATTCTGAAAACAGCTAGGAAATTCGATATGCTTTTCCTGAGAATAGAGTTCCATGGAATTGTATTGAAAAAAAAACGATGAAATAGACAACAACTTTCTTATCTTAAAAACTTTTGTAAAGGAAGTGGAGAGGAAATACAAGAGAAATAAAATAAATTCTGCAACAAACAAGAAATCAATCTTTGATAGAGATCTGATTTTGCATTATTTTATTCTTTTTCACACTAAAGGATCGATTTTAAGTCACGAAATAGTGATGAAATATTCACTGTGTTCTGAGTCCAAATAATTGCTGAAAGACCGTGTTATCATTAGACACTATTACAACAGTGCACTTTGAAACAAACGTCTAAAAAAGCAATGTCGAAGTTCGCAGAAGTCATTTATTGGACAGAAGCAATATTTTCTAGTGAAAACAGGGAAAATTAAAACAATTAGTCCCTTTGATAAATTTGAATAAGGCATTAAGAAGACAAATTTCGCGAGATGATATCATTTCGTAGTTTCTTTACAACCGCTTTACAACTAACATGGTTAACAATAATAAAATAAAGGTCATGACAATTACTCAGTTAAATAAAAAACAAAAGTACATACTAATGACCAATCATATTTAGATAGGTCATGTTGTCCATGGTAGGCGAAGATTGAAGTCTATCGTTTTTTGTACACACAGTTTAGGTAGAACCAACAGAATGTTCCAATGTCGTCGAAAAGAACATGTTCCAAAATGGCTACTAAATCATATAGGAAATCCCAACGCGATTAATCTGAATAGAAATCTAGCATCATCCATTGCAAAACACTTATTAATGTCAGGTCACAAAATCAATATTAATGACTGTTTCGCAATTATTTCACATAACTCTAATTCAAGGTTATTGAAGGTGATGGAAGCACTTTGGATTAATCACATACAGCCTAAACTGTGTGTACAAAAAACAATAGACTTCAATCTTCGCCTACCATGGACAACATGACCTATCTAAATATGATTGATCATTAGTATGTACTTTAGTTTTTTATTTAACTGAGTAATTGTCATGAACTTTATTTTATTATTGTTAACCATGTTAGTTGTAAAGAAACTACGAAATGATATCATCTCGCGAAATTTGTCTTCTTAATGCCTTATTCAAAACAGGGAAATTTTAGTTTTATAGACGACTGGTAGTAACTGTGATGCCCATATTCGTTTTGTTTTCCAAATTTTATGAATATTTCGGGTACATATAGGAAATAAACTTAAAATTATTTACTGAAAATAATACAGAACATGTTTTAGTATAAACTCTGAGCAAAAGTTACGCGTAAATATTTTTGAAATGAATTCAACCTAATCAACTTATTCACATTCTCAGTTTATTATTATTCTTTTGGCGTTCTAATGGAACACTGGTCTTCATCAGCACATCTCCACTTCACTCAATTCTCTTCAGTGCGTTCTACCTGGCTTCAGGATCACTCATACGCTTTCATTTCTTTCTCAAGCAATTTCTTCCAATATCAACTTCAGGGCGCGCAACTCGTCGTTCCCCATTCCGATTCTATTCAGTATCTGCTTTCCATTTGACTTCATACAGCATTCTCCCCAGCATATATTCAATCCATCTCCATTTCTTCCTATCTGGTTGATCTTTTTAAATTTTTTTGATTATTCTTTTGAATAAGGTATGAATGCGTCCCACTGGCAAAACAGCTAAATCCTGCAGTACGTAGGCTAAGACTGCCATAAATCAATTATATCTGCACCTGATACAACAAAAGATAGACTCAAATTCTATTCTGTTATGTAACTGCTTGAATAGTCTGTTTAAAATCAACAATCATAGAATAAAGCTACATAAGCCTGTAAGCCTACTAATCAGTCGCTACTAGACTTTGGTAAACATTAGAGCAGTGTAAAAACAGAATTAGCCGATGTTATAAACAGAAAGGATAAATTATGCCTCCATGAAATAAGTGAACAACACTCACAACACTGATTTACTTTTCCCTCTGTCAGATTTATGACGCAATATCAAAGATTGGATACAACAGTGTGTATGTTATCATCGAAATACCAGTCAGCTGATGCTCTGCTTAGAAAAATTAGATAGATTCTTCTGTTAAATATGATTACCATTTTATTTCGACCGGATACTTCACTTTAATGTCTAGGAATCCCATGGGATAGTCCACAGCTTGTTTAGTCCATAAAAATTTTACATTTGTTAGTTTAATCAAGTTCTATTTAGCAAATATGTCTGTGGATGTAGAAAAAAGACTATTGTAAAGATATTTGGTTAAGGTTTCGGTTGAGATAAGATAGATAAGTTGTTTCGCTTCTAGGCCAGTATTTTTTTGGTAAAAATAAGCAACATCCAATGAGAGGAATTCTGACTAATTGAAAAAGCATTTCACAAAGTAGTACAAGAGTTCATACCATTTGTAAAGAGACAACCGGAATGAAGAAGATATCAAGATGCACTAAAGAAAAAAGATAAGGGTGAGTAACGCCCAATCAGTGATATCGATTAGATGAATGTCTTTGCTTCAAGCAATGTTCAGCTCTTTATTAAATATCTGATTAATTCCACCTTGAAAAGTTTTAATATAATATATGTTATTTCGCTTTTTAGTTGGTCAATAAGGGAAATCAAACTTTTCGGCTAAAGATAAACTGAAATTATCTTTTTCTATGTTTATTTAAAATTTTGCCACAAACATATTGGCTAAGAGACGAACTAGATGGGAGCCCATTTCTATGCCTTCCATTTGACGGTAAAATTCGTTGTTAAACTGAAAGCGCACATTCATTGTACAACAGAGTATAAGTTCATGAAATAGCAAGATGGCTAGCAGAAATACATAAACCACTGCAGCTAAAGTGGCTAAGTATAGTTTGAAGAACACGTCTGAATTTGTAGGCAAAGTAAGAGATAAGAAGACCAATGATAAAACAATAACTCTGAGGATGTCACCTCCCCATTCACTAATGTCCCTTTATTAAAGACCATCAATTTAATCTGGGAATGTCTTATAGAAAACGATATGGACGTAGGCATACCACCTCAAACACTACTGCAACTGCTAATCAGTTGTACTATGAAGCGGTTTCAGTTGAACAACGAATTTTACCGTCAAATGGAGGGCGTAGCAGTGGGCTCCCCTCTAGGTCGCCTTTTAGCCGATATGTTAATGATAAAATTAGAGAATCGTCCACTCAAGAACATAATCAACGAACCCTCCTTCTACTGTAGATATATGGACGATACTTTTATTTAAAATTGTTTGAAGAGTCAGATTTCATTGTTGCTTACTAAAATAAAACCAGTGCGCATTAAGCTCGTATCCTTTGATCTGGACGTGAATCTTTCAAACGTAGTGATTCCAAATAACTGTTTGTTTTAACCGGGTCGCTCAGAAATGATGATTGCTTAAGCCTGAGGTTTAACAGGAAATGTACAAGAGCGAAGACATTCTTAACGAAAGACAAAGTAGTTTACACAGAGTTCTATAAGCCATTATAATTCTACTAATATCAGATTTCGTTTTAAAGTTCAACCCTTTTTAATAAATTATCTTAGATACTTAGGCTCGCTTAGAATTATCTGAATGTTCTAAAAATCCCTTACCGTCACAAAAACATGTTTTCCGATGACCAGCAGTAGGTTTTGTGAAGTCATTAGGCATGAGATAAATAACTTTCTTAATTACTGTGCGTTGTGATCGGAACACATGGCTTCAAACTTCCAAATTTCAGTAACAGTGTTGTGCTCCTCATAGGCTGCTAGACTCATGCCTAACTTCTCCCCTTCTCCTGAGACTTCTATGGATTAAACAAAGTTTAGGAGCGCACTGGTGGAGGATCGAACCAAGACTTCACGAGTAGCTGAGGAGCATTCTACCAATGAACTGCCAAAACACTGAATAAAACAATAAATTTCTATCTCGCATATAAAACTGCATCATTTTATACAGGATTGAATAACTGAACTGAAATGTGATCATAAGAAAAAGACGTAAACAGCGAAGAAAATCTTTTCGACGATTCATTATATTTAATAAAGAATTCATAAGGCCAATCAGATACTAGTAAAATTTGACCTCGAGAACTTATTACTTAATGTAAGGTGTAGTCTAGAAGGGGTGACTAATTGGAAATCAGAAAAGGGGTAGAAGTTGGCATGACGTAATAAGTGTGAGAAAATGACTAACCAATATTATTGCGTGGAAAGACGATAAAGTGTTTTTATAAAATCTGTATGAAATCTCAATGTTATTTTATACGAATTTATTTTTTACAAATTTTGCTAGTATCTGGTTGGTCTTATGAATTCTTTATTAAATATAATGACGATTGTACAGCTTATCAAAATGAATTGTTGAAAAGAAAACTTTCTCCGCTGTTTACGTCTTTCTCTTATGACTCAGTATGGGGACATTTCGTTCACTGAAGTGTTATCATTCACTGCTACAATGCGCTCCTTTATTGTCGGTCATTCTGTCATGTTGTAGTTGCCTATTCCGCAACATTTGATATAACTTTATGAACGTTTCACAGCTGAATCTAAAAAAAACCTTCAACAGCGAATTTATGAAAATGTTATCACTTTTCGAATGTCTTCATTTCGAAGTACAAAAACTTTTGAAGTAATTACAGAGCCCTAATTAGTTCACGAAGTATGAATGTTTGGTGCAATAGTCTCGTCACTCATAAAGTTTATTACGTGATTTTTGTATTTTGAGTATAAAATAAAAATACTACATGAAGCGTAAATTCTCTGAACCACAATTATTCCTGCTATATATTTTCATCTATCAGAAAACTTTCAGAGGACTGTTGAATATTCAAGAGTCATAAACATCTATTATTATTACATGCTATATTCCGCTGAGCCATAAAAATCTGGTTCACATCAATTCAGATTTTCAAAAGCCTAAGAGAAATAAAATTTGAATATTCTGAAATACTTCTCAACCAATCTCCGACTAACTGATGGTTTCACGTTAATACCTCTTTAACACTAGTCATCAACCCTGTAAAATCTATGAATTCCATCGAATAAATTACTCATAAAACAAACTTGATTACTATTCGAAAGTGTCATATCTGAGGACATTTTTGAAAGACATTTCCATATTGGAGCCTAAAAGACCCATTTATTAGATGATATGTGCGTCAGTGGCACAGCGGTAGAATGCTCGCCAACCACGCATGTGGTTCAGAGTTCGATACCCGGCCAACGCACTCCTTTACTTCGATAAGCCAGTAATAAGACTGGTAAAGAGGGAAGGTTGGGCATGAGGTTAGCATCCCTATCCCGTAAAATAAGTACCACTGCTACCGAAACTTCAAGCTCTAGCTTGAAGCCTTATGTTCCACTGGGAATGTAAAGGAATTAAATAAAATAATAAATAATGATAATTAGATGATGCATACATATATATGTCCAAACTCGCACCAAAATAAGTGGCAAATTTTAAAATTTAATGGCATTATGGGAACCATTTGTTATAAAAAGGTTTTGAAAGGCTTATTATTGTCCTACGAACCACTGAGTTATACATTTCTTTTAAAGATGTTATCACATACTGAATAAGACCTATTATATAACCTCTAAAACTGTGATTTCTCTAAGTTTAACTACTAAACTACTTTGTAAATGATGATTGTTGACTTTATATTTTTGGGAAAATAAAGAACAATAAGAATGAATCAGGCGGTAAATTTTATTTTTCTTTCATGTTTTTTTCTCCTATTGTATTAGTTACAATGGCATGCAAATGAAGAACCAGATTACTATAATAAAGTGAATATTAAAGAAGATCTAGATAATGAAGTATTAACCTACAATATAATGGGTAAGCCTGATGGCGTTTTGTTTGAATCAAATGCATATTTCTTTTCGTGATGTAACATAATGCGGTGAATTTATTTCCTATTTCGCATAAACATTTAGTTTTTTACTGTATATAGAAAAATAAAAGAAAGTACATGAGAGTGTGCATCAAAACATTGGTAACTTGGGCTACAAGTGAATTTCACAGTCTTTCTTGAAGAATACAAGAACAAAACTGTGATGCATTTACGCTGACTATAAAGTTAACCTTTATGTCTTATTGTGGTGGTGTGATACGGACAATGTATTCCAACGGAATATTATTCTCACATATTCCCACAGTTCAGTACGGCATTAGCAACAGAATACGATGTATCTATTTGAACATTCTATTTCATGTCGTTTAAGGTGAGCCAAAATCACACGCTCAGTGACTGGTTAGAGAATATAAACTGTAGATATATAAACAGCGGTTTGATCACTTGAAAATATACCTTGGCTCCCGTGTCTTGCCTTCTGCTGTTACATTATGTTTGATTTTGCTAAATAAAAAACGCATCACTTAGAAATATAGTGAGAATTACAAAATAATCACATAAAACCACGTTTGCAGACAGTAACCTTCTAGCAAATAAATTTTGTTTTAATGTTTGAATAATAATTGTTAAATTACACTTATAGTATTTTACACTTTTACATTGTATAGGTCTTCAAAAAGCAACAACATATCGTGTATCAGTTGGTGCTTATAATACATTATCTACTGCAACATCTTTTACACCTTATCTCTTGGCGTCTACAACTGGTAAGTTAAATCAAATGAGTCTATTCTTATTATGAACTTGTCATTTGAATCGCGAAATGCAATGCTAAACACCTCTTTATTAGGATGTACACACTTCCATTAACAATCAAATTCTAGATATACGGTTAAAAATATGGAACCAATTTATGTAACACATGTTATTGTTTATTTGAACTGTTCAGCTATAAAATTAACGAATAAGTTGACCCAGAATTTGACGAAAGTTTACACAAAATAAATTTCAATAATATTTTCTTACTATTCATAAAATAGTCGAATTCAGAGATATTGACACTTCCTGAATGAATTTATGGATGTCGACTTTGTAAACACCTAACAAACCTATTACTGCGAGTGCTCAAATGTGAATCTGTTCTGAAGATATTGTCTAGAGGGAAAATGAAAGCCTCGCAACTAGACTTCCCAGGTCAGAGAACACGATGACTTTTATAAATGCATCTGGAACTTATTTTATTACTTCAGACCTGAGAGTATAAAATGGATGATATGCATACTCATTGACTATAATAATCTTTACAGGATCTCATCATCAGCTGACATTGGTTAGAGAACCATTGAAAACCAGCACAGAATACTGTATAGTAGTTTCGTCAGCCCACTTTCAGACTCTTCATCACTATGCACCCACCCCAGTGAGGTTCGAACCCAGGACTTTCCGATTATAAGGTAAGTTGGTTGACCATTAAACCACTGGGGCCCGATCCAATAGCCCATGAATTTCAACTTTTTCCAATTCATTGGCACTAACCAATGTCATCGGCAAGCGTTTGTTCTTACATCCGACCTTCTGCACCTTCTGGGTTCCAATGACAAGTAGAGACCAGTGAGGCACAGCAGGTCAGGTGTGACGAAAAATACTCGCAGACGACATTCGCTAGTGGTAGCGGCATATCGTGAATTGGCAGAAGTTGGAATTACTGGGCCACTGGATCCGGCCCCTATGGTTTAATGGTCAACAAACTTACCTTATAACCTGAAGGTCCTCGGTTCGAACCCCACTGGGGTAGGTGCGTACTGATAAAGAGTCTGAAAGTGGGCTGACGAAGCGGCTATCCATTACTCTTTGCTGGTTTCCAGTGGTTATCTAAGCTATATCAGCTCATGATAAGATCCTGTAACCAATCAAAACCCCACAAACCAACACTTGAATATAATTGTCTTGCCAACTGTTGGGGAATAAATCCATACATTCTATAAAAGTTCAAAACGACTGACCAATAACTGAATCTGGTTTGTGGATTCTTTTGACTTCTGTAACCACATATAGTTTTGCAAAGAATGTACCCTTAATCGCTGTTATTTTGAAGGAAAATATTAGGTCAGCTGAAAATGCAGTTAATTCCAACAAGTTTAAATTTCAGTCGATTTTAAGTGAAATATTCTACAACACTTTATTTGTAATAAAATACCACATATTCTGCATGAAATTCCGAAAAAACTCATCAACCGCTCATGAATATCTTCCTAAATTTCTCGTAGTATACTTAAATATCATTGCAAAACTGTCATTTAACTCTAAGCGTAAATGTACAAACCTAGCTAACTGGTGAAAATAGTGAGAACTGTGCCTAAATCATAGTGCACTGAAGACCGAATATTAAAAATATTATTATTCAAATGCAAATAATTTGATCCGGTCTGAGCTCATCAAAATATGTAAGTGACTCTATCAGCCACATTGATGCAAATTGCATCACTGAGTGTCCATATGTATCCGGATGTAACGACACTTTGTTTCACTGAATATTTTGACGAATTAGATATACTTACATATAGTATCTGTGTAAAACGTTTACCATTTTGTAATCATTTATCGTTACTTAATCATATCACCAATGAGAAGGCTGATAGGAAATAAAATGAAGTCGTTTGTTATGAATTCCCTAGCAGTACCATTTCTATATGGTTCTGGTAATAATCAGTTTAATGAAAACAGATAACTTCAAGTCTAATGACTATTGACATATTGTTTTGCTGGTCTTAAATAAACTCAGAAGACTAGAAGAATGAAACGCAGTAAACTTTATTGGAGTTCGATTTGTATGAAAAACAAGTTTTTGGAAAACTTTTCCACAAAGTTATATATAATAAGCTAATTAGGCTAGGCTAATTATCCATAAAACGATTCTCCCTCTTTCATTACTAAACACTATGAAATTTAGACCTAAAAGCGGATACTTTCAGAAATAGGTATTAGTGATTAGAATATTTATTCATTTAGTTTATGCTTCCACTGGAATTGTCTTTCCCACACACCTGATGAGTATTCCGACAGTTAAATGGCATAAAAGTTTATTGCACCTACTTATATAAACATAACTAACTGTACTATGAGACTGTAAATTCAACCTCCCTATAAACTCATTTTCGTAGCCACCGGTACCTAGCAGTAGTTGAAAATAATACTCGTACATTTCTAATCAAAGCTAATAAACACTTAAATGAATCCAACAGTTGAAAATTAATTCATCGCCTACTAATGACTGACTCTAGGACGAACCTCCTAGAATTCTAGTGAGGAGACAAATATAGTCCATCAAGTTGGATGTCACAATATGCGCTTAATAATGACACTAGATGGGAATGGGACTATTTTGCTAACTGGCAAAAATTAGAATTCAGTGATTATTGGATTTTCACTCAATGGTTAGATGACAGCGTGCTGGCCTCATAACCCGAAGGTCCCACTTTCGATCTCCAGAGTGTTCATGGACTGGTTCCTCCAAGGAAACGGCTGTCTTATGCTACTTCGTTTTCAATGGCTCTCAATACTGATTCGAGTTCGTGGGGATATCTACTTTTTATAAACATAATCTGTGGCGTCACTGACGTCCTCCAGGTTGCTGTTTCCTAAAAGACATTCACGGGGTTTCATGCTACACATACTAAGTTTTGTAATTTATTTCCTAATGTTTTCGAAGTCATCAACTTTGTAATGACTAAGCCAGCTATGTAAAGCTAATATATTTGAAGTTTGTACACTGATAAAGCATCAGTTAAAGTGGAACAAGTATTGAAAACCCAAAATTACATATCGCTCTTTTTTCAAAAGATCCCATAATGGAAAAATTAGAACAAGATGACTGCAGAAATGGAAATCCCCTTTGGGCAAACTCATTTCCATAGACGTATCCTCTTAGTTATATTTAAAACTAAAAAGATCAAAACTGAGGATGAATTTTTAGTTGAAAAGTCAATACAGAATGCAAAGTGAATAAACAGCAGGCAATACGTGAGCATTGAATAACACAATTCATCTAGATGCACTTGAAAGAAGAAAAAACTAAAGAAGAAGACAGTGGCCTAAAAGTTTTTCTCTTAGAAAAACAAAAAGCTTAAGTGTTATTAACGCTCAGTTGTTTCTTTTTTATTAATCCATACCTCTTATTTTATCTGTATGCATCAATCAAAGCTGTCTTGTAATTCCAAGTCCAACTGTTTAATAAGACTTGGAATTCACGCTTATGTCTACCAGAAAATAATCTCATGGCTTTATTAAATATTTTTTTACATTGGTTCAGGTGGTTGTCATGAAAATATTGTAAGTACTATTAAGAGTAAGACTTTACTAAGAACAGCCTATTTATATGTAATAACAACAGCTTTTTCATTCAAATAATTTCAGCGTGATTATTTATTTATGCATTTCATTATAACATTATCTTAAATAGCATTTGATTCAGTATCAGATGAAGAGGCAATGAGAGATGAAGCTAAAGCCAAATCACAGAAAGATGTACAAAAAGGACATTGGGATACTAAATGGCTGATGAATTCTAAAGACTCTGGAAATTCTGCGAATCCAGACTCACAAAGACGATCAGTCAGATCTGGTCATGAATTAAATTCTTCAGAGGACAATGCATTTGTGATAATTACAGCAGTATCTGTGTTCGGCTCATTTATCTTAATTGCAAATCTATTGATTATACTTATATTTACAAGAAATAAGCGCCAAAAATTAAAACGACAAGAGCGAAAGGCTTCTGGTAAGTAGTAATTAATGTCGTAGCGATACTTCAGTTGGTTTACTATTTATTGTGTTTTATTATGTTGAAGCCTGACACTATGTGACACTTCAGAAAACCCAACAGTCCCACCAGTAAATCTTCGCATAAGTTCAATAAGTGTCTTAACGGTTGACAACTGTATCTAAATTATTCTTCAGCTACACATGAACTACTTAGAACAGTTTTGAATCTGCAAAATAATAAAATCACATTAATTTTTCCCTGACTAACGTCAACAAGTCCTACGCGGAAGGATTGAGTATCCTCCTATACCAGCAATCAATTAAAACCATTGGAGTGAATAAGGTGGAACACAAGAAATGCTGAGTTGTAGTTATTTCTGTTAGTTTCGTAAGAGTGAACATCTTTATAATTTTCAGTGAAAACAGACGAGCAATCAATAATCTATGTAAAATTGTAGAATTGTAGACTATAACTGAAAGTATTGAAAAAAGGAGTGTATTAGAATGAAAACTAAGCATGGTAATTCAAAAAGAATTCAGTGTTCATTGTTGTTTCTTCTCTGGTACTTGATCAGAGAATCTCAAGACAAAATTGATAACAGAATATGATACAAAAAAGTAAAACCCTTACCTTTGTGTTTATATATATATGTATACTAGCACTTTTCTAATACGAAACTGATGAAGTCTTCTAGAAAACGATAAATAACATTCACTTTCAAAGTGAAACCAGTTTCATGTGCAACGGCCTAGTAAGAAACAAGCTGATAATAAGGAAAATCATTTGAAAATGACACTTAAAGATGACTAACCACTTGATCTAAAGTGGTATTTAACAAGTCTACCTTCTTCACATTTTTTCCGTAGCTGCCGGAGAGCTTATGCAAATATACCCAATGGAAAATGGATTTCCAGAGATACACACTAATCCACAAACTAACTTTTCAATGTATCCAGATGAAATGCGTCTAAATGGCAGTTACATGCTGCAAGCAAATCCACAAGATCAGGTAAGTGTACTATCTCACAAAGATAAAAACAGTTAAATTAATTTGCAAATGATAGTTGTCAGGCGTTTCACTAATTTCCAGTTAGTTCAGAAACTAACACCATTTAGAGAGTAATTGAAAACCAGGGAGTACTGGATAACGACTTCGTACTATTTTTGGTACTCTTCAGTGGTTCGCACTTATGACTCCACTGGGATCGAATTCTGCACCCTCAGGCTACGAAGTGGACTCATTTACCATCGAAGTACTGAGAAAGAACCCAATAACCCATGAATTCTAACTTCAGCCAATTCGTGACATACATCACCACCATCTCGTTGAAGTTTCATGTCGGTAATTCGAGACTAAATACATTCAAAAATGTAGTGATTCAATTCGGGAATGAAAAGAATATTATTCTGGTTAGGAGTTTTATTTACCATAGTGCTGTAACCCGTTAAAGTAAATATCATTACTTGATTTCCTATTTTTATAACAGCAAATGATTCCTATAAAGATTTTTTCAACTTATCATATGTAACAACTGTGTAACTCTAAAAATTAAAAGTAAAAGACTGGATCAGTGTCCGCTGCTGCATAAATTCGACAGCTGAAAGTTTGAGTACGATTCAGACACATGCGCCTAACCTCTCCTAATGGAAAAAAAATTATCCACTAACTTGAACAACAGTCAGTTGGTTGTTAGAGACAGAAAGTTAACTAATCAACATCATTCTCTCCATTGTTATTCAAAAGTCTTACTCTTTTTAGTCTTCTTTGTGATTGTGCCAGTGTATATGCTGCAATTGAGATGTACATCCTTGTAATGACAGTTATAAGTTGAATATAGTGTGAGGTGTTTCTCAGAGGCAGTGATAATTTATGTATACCTAGAGAACGTGTTGTTAAATAAGCACGTGGCACAGCAGTGACATTCTGAAAAAAAGTAAGCAAATAATACTAGTGCAAATTGGATGAATGATACTACTTCAGATAGTGGAACAAATACAAGATTGATTATTTTATTGTCCTTCATTGTAATTTATCTTGAGATTCATTGCGCATGTCATCATTATATATGAGTTTATTTGCTTGATCGCCTGTCTAAGTAGCATAATTATTATGAGTTGTTACTCTAATATCCTAGTTATCTGAGACAAGCTTTTCCGGAGTACAAACTAGACGTAATTAAACGCAATGTAATAAAATATTTCCGTTCAACTTATTCAAAAGAATTAAGTAAAACTTGATTCTCATTAACTGTACACGTCTGAACCTTACAATCCCGTGTACAAATTCATCATATTTCTAATATGCGCGTAATTATCATTACATGAAATTTTATCGATAGATGAAAAATAGGCACTTTCGTCCAACACGTGAATACAACTACATATGTTTGATATTCAAGTATACTTTTGTACAAAAAGCAGTTAAATCAGTTATGTGTGACCCATAAGATTTCAGATTGATTAGTTTTCCGTTTCTATGGTAACAGTCTGATGGGATTACTTTTAAGTTCTTCAAATCGACTAGTTAACTGTGTAAATTCTAAAATATAGACTTCAAGCTGATGTTGGAGACAGCAGTCAGCTGAATTTTAAGGCTCTAAGTGAATGTGATTCAAGGGATTTTACCCTAAATTCACAATCTTACATTTTCTAATAGTTATTAAATAGAAGAGATAAGCTGCACAATTTCTTACCTGGGGTCAAATATGAAGAGAAATAGCGTTAAATGCATTACAACAAAACTAGTTCAACTTTTAAAACAGTTGAAACCTAATGATTTACATCATGGTGAGTATCACCTTGCCAGAGTGATCAGTAAAAATGATAAATTCTGTATATAATCACTTATTTTGTGTAAATATATTGATTGCCTCGAATAACTGTTATACCTTTCATTCATTTTAGTTTTCACCTTTTCAAAATGGATGGGAGCAAATCCCTTTGAACATATGTGCAGATCAAACGTCATCCATAATGCGAGGAAATCAAATGTTTACAAACTCTCCTCACTCTAGCATGAAAGCTATGAACATGCAGAACTTTAATTCTCCAAATCATATTGAATTTAACAATCGACCTCCTAGTGATATATCGATCCAACATTCATCAGTCTTCATGAATAATCCAGACCCTAACACACTAGCTTATTTAAACCCAGATGCTTCAGCAGTGGAAGCTATCCAGAATATGCAGGATTATCATGATTGTCCAGAATTTATGCAAACCAATTTTTCAAACAATACCTCACCTTTTAACTATGATGTGGATCATATTCCTAGAAATACTGAGCGTCCAACTCCTACCCATCCTAGAGTTGTAAGTGTTGGGAGAACCTTAACAGACAGAAGTAACAGAAATCGTTCTCCACATTCTGGAGCTGCTTCTAGTGTTTCAACTGTTAGGTCAAATGGACACGGTAATACTAACAGTTTAGAAAGAAATATCTCAACTTTTCAAAGATCGCATCATACAAATTTGCTTGGTGATTATAGACAACTTGGCGGTGGTTTGACATTACCAAATGGTGGCTTAGGTCCGAATATTTTGAGCCCAAGTCCCCACCAGAATGCAAATATACTAACATCGAATTCAAGGACTTTTCAGAGTTCACCAAGTAGTTGGATACAACAAAATGGGATGACTACTAGCTTTCATGGAGCTCGAACACCATCGTGGAGACATTACCCAAACTCTCTTGGAAATGGTAAATTTGATTTCCTGTTTAACATGTCTGTATACGTTTTAAGTCTAATCATCAAAGAAGTTATTGTAGATCAAAATTTTTGGCTATAAATATGATAAACATTAAGAGTCAAACGTGGCACTGAAATAATATAAACCACTTGATAATACCCCTTCGGAAAAATACCTCACTAATCCTACAAGAGTCAATATAAGATCATATCATTGAGTTTTTACGTCTGCGCTTCAGTATTAGAATACTTTCCAAAACAGCTCTTGGTCCAAGGTTCGATTCCTGGTTAACACACTCCTTGACATCGCTTAGCCGGTAATAAGCCTGTTAAGGTTGGGAAGGAGGCTAGCAACTCCACCCTATAAAAAATAAACATCGCTTCTACTTCAACTTCAAAGCTAAAGCCAATAAAAACTTAAAAGATTAAAGAAGCAGAAAAGTAGTGAGTTTAGTGAAACAAGATGAGAAGTTAAATGAAAAGTTGTACTACAACGTTATATTTCAAGAGTCAGTTTATGTATTAAGAAATCACTGCTGTATAAATGGTAGAGAAGTCATTCACTTTTACAACAAACTTTGAAATCATGGTATTTCATTGAATTCTGGTTATCCATCAGTATTCAGTGGGACGATTAAACATAGAAGGCGTGTATAATTAATTTTATGCAAAAACAAAATCAAAAACACCGTAACCTAGTCGACTCTCTCATGCCAGTGAATTTCAATAGCTGCCAAAACTTTCTTCTAATCCCTCAGTTGGTAGTAATATCACGTCAAAAAATCAATCGTTTGAATTCTACTTTGACCCAGGTCTTGTTCTAGCCCTAGTTCTTCGAGTATCTAACTAGTTAAGTGTGGAAAAGATTTACTAACCAGTTATCAGTTCAAAAATAATAAAAGTGTCACTTATTTATTTGATCTACATAGCAAAACACATTTTCAATATAATATTTTCCTCACCCATTATTATTATTCTGATGAGATGATTTAAAAGACTAGTACGTCATAACATTTTCACTGACAATACATTAAGATTTGTTTGTAGAAAAGAATTACAAACAAATCGGTTAGTACTATGCATGACTTGAAGAATGAGATATTTTGATTAGGCAAAACTAATTGAGACAACAAATAGGCATATTCATTTAAGTGCCTACTATTATTGAGCAGTAGTTCAAGTTGACATGTTTCACATTTGTACATAAAGCAAAAGTAATGAAAATGCCAACCCAAAGAGAGTGATACAATGAAAGTTTGCAAAGTGTTGATAAACAATGGAAAACGCATACAGTAGATCAACTCGTAAAATTACCTAACTAAGAAACCAATCTTAAATGGAGTTACTGTTATTAGGATACTGACAAATTAAGCATTCATAAAAATTAAAGTCCTCAACTTATCTCAATTATCTACATTTATTTATTTTTACTATAACTATTATCAATTTCAGAAGATTACGGCCCATCTGCTTTATCAGGACAACAAATGGGAAGAAATTCATACAATGCTTTTGCACAACAACCATTACTACAACGTATGAATAGCTTTGAATTACCTGATAGCTATATTCTTAATAATCGCCAACAAACTAATTCAAACAAGGTTAGTATTGCTATGGAGTAATTTTTAATATGCTTCAACCACAACATTATTAACTGTTACAGATTGAATGTGAATTACTTTGTGCATGTAAAGTAATAACTTGATATGGGAGATTGTTTCGACTTACGTGATAAACGTCTATCAATCAAGTGTCACCTAATCTTAATACATCACATATAGTGAAATTTCGAAAGTACAAGAATGAATAGAAAGTAAATGACTTAAAGTAACTGTCATAAGGTAAAAGAACAGCTTGTGATGCATTAAATTATCTACCGAATACCAAGTGGTGCCCAGCACAATCAGGATTCAGATAAATGGGAATCTTAGGTGGAAATGACGACACTGAGATCTCAGTTATATATTTTTGTAGAGCTTATTGCTATCACTTCCTTTCAGATTTACTCTGAGTGCAGTTGATCTAATAGGAGTAAAGAATTACTTAGGTAACCAACTATAACCACTGTAATTCATTTTCTCTTTATTTCTTATAATATTACAGAGTTCTGATGTTTCGTCACCAAGATATCATCAAGAATCTTCTCTAAAATATATGAGTCACTTGGAAGAGAACAGGACGCCGTTGGGACAAAACAATAATGATTATAGGAATGGGAACACAGATTTCCCTTCTAATGGCTCTACTATACCACCACCGAATGATTTTCAAACAAATGGTTCACATATTCCTTATATACAAATCAACTGTTCAACTCCAACCGTTAGTAGACCATATTTTCATAATGCAGATGAGAATGAGAATATCATTGTACCAGCTGGTGTTGATGGAGATCATATACAAGGAACCAATCAACAGCGTCTTGCAATACCCAGAAATATTTCCAATGAATTAATGACACATCAGAATCAAAATAATTATTCTTCTTATGGTTGTGTTTTATAACATTAGGCACCCTATAATAAATAGTTTATTTGACTAAATCCTGTTTAAAAATGTACAGCGAAATATATTCAAGTGTAAGCCAAAAATTGCTGTTGTTTTGTCGCCAATAATTTTGCTTCAAAAATTGTAAATTTACCAGCAACACAGTGTTTTGCAACAATTGTACAAAAAAGCATTTATTGTAAAATATCTTTTAAGAGTGCTATTCAAAAAGAAAGCTACCTATTATTCACATGACTTCATTTCATTTCTAAACGTCTCCAAGTGAAACAAGCTATATTAGTGGGTAATAGGTAAATATTTCGCTTATATATTAGATTTCTATGAAGAATCTAAATGAAAACGGTTTGGTAATAATATTCAAATCTATGTTCTCGAACTAAGATAAACTGATACTTCATCCTTTCCAAGTATTGGTTTTATAGGAATTTGTTTGACTGGATGGAAGATTTCATCATGAGATGACATTAATCAGTAAGAGAACCATTGGAAAACTTTGGAGTACTGGACAGCCAGCTGTTTCGTCCTAGTTTGAGACCCTTCGCCAGAGTTTAAACCCTGGACCTTCTGGTTACATGGTGAGCTCGTAGAACATTGAGCCGCTGGGACCCGATTCAATGGACCATGAATTCTAACTTCTGTCGCACTATGTCGTGAATTGGCAGAAGTTAGAATTCATGGTCCATTGAATTGGGTCCCAGCATCGCAATGGTCTATGAGCGCGCCTTGTAACCAGAAGGTTCTGGGTTCGAACCCTGGCAGGGGGTGCGTACTGTGAAGAGTCCCAAACTAGGACAAAACAGCTGGCTGTCCAGTACTCTCAGGTTTTCCAGTGGTTCTCTAACTGATTAATGTCAGCTGATGATGAAATCCTCCATCCAATGATACTTCATCCATTTAAAAACAGCATTGTGATGATAAAGATCAATAAATGATGTCAGATATTGATGTCCACCTAATGAAAAAGTTGCAATCTCAATAAAATGATCGTCATAGTAGGATAAGTTGTCAGAAAATCTAAAGAATGTAAAATCTGAATCAGTCAGCATTCACAGGGTAGTTTTATAATCATACTGTGGAATGGTGTGATACAGACAAAGGGTTCCAACGGAATGTTATTCTCACAGTAAGAATCATTGTATTTGTTGGTGTTAACGTCTGAATACTATTTCCACAGTGCAATACTGCATTAGCAACAGAATAATATATGTATTTGAACATTCTACATCATGGAAATCAAAATCACAAGCTCAGTGATTGGTTAAAGAATATAAACTGTATAGATATAAATAACTGTTTGATCACTTGAAAAGATACCTTGGCTTCCGTCTCTTGCCTTCTGCTATTACAAAACCACTTAAATTCTTCATCCTTCTCTTAAGGATCACAATTAATAAGTCGGTGTTTACCTTACAAATGAGACAGAAAACCCATTGACTTCGTATATTTTTACATATTTAAAACAAACATCCTTCTGACATAGTGGCAGGACCGCATAGATCGTGTCTCTTTTACCTATTCCTCTAATTCCCAATTAAGCTGAATTTCTACAAAGTTAGTGAGTGAATGTGCATTAGGCTAACTTACTTGAATAACAGAAAGTTTAGAAGCATAATTGGCTGAACAAAAGAAAGATAAATTAGAAACAATAAAAAAATACCTTGGTTAAAATAATAGAACGCATAATATACATTCAATGGTTTACCTAGAACATTCAAAAAAAGAAAAACCTTAAGCTTAAAATTGTTGAATTCATTACCATGCCAGTTAATTTAAAATGAATAATGAACAGACAGGCTTGTCATAGTAACCGTAATTACTTCATATCATTAGCCTTAATGAAGACACAGTTTGAAATAAATCATTTATGATGTTTAAAAAGCCAAATACTCCCCATCCTAAATATTATGACTGAATAATGTAGTCAAAAACACAAAAATGGGTTTACAAATACAATGGTGGTTTTAAGTTAATAAAGACAATATAACGCAGAATTATTTATTTTCTTATGAGTAGTTATTATTTTTTTTGCAACTCATATGATTTCTATGTTATTTATTCTGATAAAAACAAGTTTAAAATAAATCTGTCTGTCATTTTGCATTATTTTTATATTTCTCCTTGCTCATAATTTGATAGATCATAATTGGATCTGTGCTTTTCAATTCGATCTTTAGTTTCTAACATTTGTTGGCGTATTCTGGAAGGCATTTTAGCATAGACATCTGTAAACAAGAGTAAAGGGTTCGGCTTGTTCTTTGCTTCACAGCTAACGAATGTTTCCATTATCTATTTAAAAAAGGATAAATAATTCATGAGAAATAACTTATTGGCTGGTATTTAATATTTTATAATATTTGTCATAAATAGTTGTATCTTTACAGTCTCAATTTATCTGTTCACAGTGACTTTAACCGATAAACCTACGAACTCGTAAGATGTATGTAAGACGCATGTATTGCAGCAGTAAGAACACAAAGACAGATAAAAAATTACTGAAAGATAAAGAGTAGAACCCTCCATAAATTTCTACAATTCAGTAAACTAATTTAATGTTACTCAGACAAGATGCAAGTAATCTGCAATCTCATTGCCAAATAAGGCACCATCCCTGGCGTAGGCGTGACATCCGGCTATCAACCAAGGGACGTGTGTACTGCTCAGCAGTTCGCTCCGTCCTTCTCTATGGCTCTGAAACATGGCCAATACGAGTTGAAGACATGAAAAGGTTGACTGTTTTTGATCATAGATGTCTACGATCTCTTTCTCACGTTAGGTGGTTTAATAAGGTAAGTAATGTTGACGTTAGGCGTAGAGTGTTAGACAAAGAGGGAAAATCAATCGAAGAGGCTATAAAGTTACATAGATTGAGATGTCTAGGTCACGTGCTGCGCATGCCTAACCATCGCCTCCCCCGACGGGCATTACTAGCTGATATAGGTGCAGGTTGGAAAAAGTAAGTGGTGGCCAAACAAAAACATGGCATCAATCCATGAAATCTTTGACAGTTAAACTGAGTCAGGTAGGGAGATGCAGACTTCCGGGTTGGGGCCCTCGGGACTCTAAGAATCAATGGCTGGAGACAATAGGTGACATGGCTCAAAATCGTTGTCAATGGCGCAGATGTATTCAGTCTCTGTAATCTTTCATATTCCTTTCTACCATTACTCATTCTGTTTCACTCTTATACTTGTCAAAACTTTATTGATTCTCTTCACTCATTTTCTTGTCCACCTTTGTGTGCTATTTGGAACGTAGCAACTCGAACTGTTGCACTTTGGTGCCAAGTTCTATGTTGAATCCAGAAAATTCACATGTAATTTTCTCTAAAGAAATAGTAATCGTGAAGTGATTTTTGACAACCACAAAAATTGCAATCAAAAGTGGAGAGAATTTGTTTAAGAAAACACCTTGAAATTGTTTAAGAGTCTAATTGTTATTAGCTTTTGTATCATGTTTGACCTAGAATAAGACAAATATAACTTAGTCGGCGTAGAATCCACTCAATTCGGAAGGATATTCACAAGGCTACGTGATTTTCACCAAATGGACGCATCAAAAATCAGACAGACCGTCTCATTTTCCAGAAATTGGAGACGAAGCCTACAGGACACAAAGTTGAGAAGTATAGAAAATGCATGTTTAGACCACTGTCTAATACAACGGACCTTCAAGATCTAACTGAAAGCCATCAGAGAAATTAAAGATAGATCACAATTTAAACCCAGTACTCAGAAACTAAAGGACGAAGCTACAAAGGACACCACTGAAGTCATCAGCAAAATGTAGGAGGCACTAGGTTACAACAAAGAGGAAACCTTTGTGGAAGTACACTGGAAATGTATGAAACTGATGTGAAAAGAAACCTGTATAAATATCTTAGACAATCAGGAAGAAGAGGCAAGACAAGATATTTCTTTTTATGGGAGGTAATAGAGGAGATAAGGATGTTGAGGCAGTGCAGAAATGAACAACAAGAGAAGCAGCCGAGCAAAACCTACAGAGTACTGAGAAAGAAAGGGAAGAAAGGTGTTAAGGAAGACAAAAAAAGACTGAAGTAGAACAGGCTGAAGGTAAGGAAGGCCTCAGAACACTATTTTAAATAACCAGGTTGTTATCTGTGAAGACGTCAACGCGGAAGATAGTGGAAGAAAGCCAGTTACCAAAGGAATGGAATTGAAGAAACGCTGAACTGACCGCTTCTAATAGCATAAATTGGCCAATACCTGAGACTCGTCCAGAAATAACACCAGCAAACATATAACTACCAATGAACACCAAACTTCCCACAAAAGCAGACGTCCTGAAGACAATAAAGTTACTGTAAGCAGTGAATGAGGAGTGATCAAATGGAATCTGCCAAAAGCACTGAAGGCAGACGCACAAACCTTAGCGGACATGCTCTAATAGAGAAAATATATGAGGAAGAAGAGCTACTTGCTGACTGGAAGAAAGGCTATCTTGTCAAATCACTAAAGAAGGGTGACTTAAGGCTATGCAAGAACCGGCGCAGATTCGTGCTTCTTTTGATTGCAGGTAAAATATTAAGCCGCATCATCCTTTAGAAGATGAAGAACCTCGACTAAGACAAGCCGAGTTAAGGAGAAACAGATCGTGGGTGGACTGAACTGTGACGGTGCGCATTGTCATCACACTCATCAGATTTGAAAAGGCATTCAAAGGCGTCAACTGTGAAGTAATTCGGTAACTTTTTCAACACTACAAAGTGCAGTGTCGCAGACTTAATTCACCTCCTATATAATGATATCAAATGCCAAACAGTTCACGATGGAGGACTCGCCAAAGCCTATGAAGTGAAGACAGGAGTAGAACAAGGCCAATATCCCTGACTGCAATGGATTGGATCATGCCATGTACTGTGGGCATTGAGAACACAGCTAAACGTTGAAGTGACGAAAAGAAAATAGGAGATCTGGATTTCACACATGATTTCTGTCTCATTCCGAACAAACTAGAAAATATGTTAGCGAAAACTAACAATTTAACAGGGCAAGCAGCGAAAACAGATCTTTGAGTGGACATAGAAAAGACAGAGATAATGAAGATTCCCAGCCGAGTAGAAGTAACAGTCACCATCAGTGGGAAAAGTTTGAGGTAACACTGTTTCAATTACAGTCAAAACATGCATGAGAGTGTCAGAGACAGTCAGGATCTGAAAGGTAAAACAGATACTTATTGCTCTGCAATCATTGCGGAGATCTACAGAGCACAGCACAAGGGACAAGTTACGGATTTCCAGAACTAATTTCATCTGATTGCTTCTACACTGTCCACAGACTCGGCGCACCACTCACATAAAACAATTCCAACAGACTGTGGACCTTCATCAACTGCTATCTTTGCTCGATGCTGAAGATCAGATGGCCAGGATTAATAAGTAAAAAGGAGCTCTTATAGTGAAACACCAAACAATATATTGCTCAACAAATATACAAGAGTTAATTGAGATGGACTGAACGTACGCCGAAACGACGTTTAATTGGCATTACAGGATAGGCAGGCCCTTGAGTGGAACCTGAACAGGGAGTGACAGTTCAAGTGGGAATCCAAAGGAAAAGTAGAAGAGATCGTGTAATGAAGTGATAGCTTTTAGGAAGTCGGGGAGTCGGGGAAAAATGACGCCAGAAGACAGATTACAATGGAGATGTGATGCTGAAGCCCTATATTCAAATCGGAATGCAAGAAATGCGTTAGAATATGATTTTGTGGTATTCAGTTGACCGTACATCCGTGATTTGTCTTTTAATAGAATCTTCAAGATTATTCGTGCGTTGGTGATTCAGTGGTAGAACATTGACCAACCAAGCAAATGGTCCGGGTTTCAGTTCTCTGCCGACAAACTCCTAAGCTTCTCTTAGCCAGTAGTAAGCTCGGTAAAGAGGGAAGGTTTGATGTGGGGCTAGCAACCACACTCAGTATAAAAACACCACTGCTAACGATACTTCAACTGAAAACGCAAAGAATAAAATAAAAAAGAATAATAATAAATTTTAAAAATCAAGAATATTTAGCCTTCTCTTATAATAAAGTTGTATGAAGTGATTAAAGTTGTAAGTGTGACTTTGGGATCCCAGATACTAGTAAATGGAAGATAAACATCATACACTGAGTATATTTTGCTACCATCTGAGTTTATTTAGCTTAATTAAACCACAGAAAGCAGAAACTGACTATTTTCCCAAAACTATGACACAGATTACGACCTAATGAGTAATATGTGAGGAGATTAGCTGAGTTGTTCTACGTCCTAATATTGTAATCATCAATCTATTAGTCTTTAGGTCACATTGATTAGCATTGTTAATGCTAGTGATCGTCAAGTGGAAACCTAAATCTCACTTTCACCTTGACTATTCATGTATTGTCAAAGTAAACACTGGTTAAAGAAGAAAGTAAAATATTGTAAAATTAATATTACAACGAATAATATTGACTATAAAAAGTGGCATGAAAGATTTCCGTTGAAAACCTTCTTAGTTGCACACTTGTTAGTATACCATAAGAGTTAAGTTTTGCATTACTGTTTCGTTCCTCAGTTAGAACAATCGCCAAAAATTACCTTGCATTAGTTTTACAACACTCAAATGGAATGCACAAACTTATGTTTAACAATATATTTTCAAATCAAGGGCCAAATATATGAAAAAAATTAAAGGGACACCTCAAGGATCACTCATATGAGGTCTGATTGCAGAAGCTGGGATGCAAGGACTTCAAAAAGTAATACTACCGAAGCTCAAACCAAAAATTTGAATACATTACGTGGATGAGAAATTCGTGATAATCAAAAGAAATGACATAGACAAAACTCACAACCCAATAAACAACATCTTCAATGATATCAGATTCACAAGAGAATAAGAATCCAAGGACAAAATTCCATTTTTAAAAACTTCATATTTAAGCGAACAACCACAGGAAAATTAGAAACTCAAGTTTACAGAAAACCAACTCACACAGATCAAATACTTAATTACAAAAAAAGCAACCTGACAACACACAAAAAGAGTTCAATACAAACATTATTCAAGAAAGTCAAGACTCATTGTAGTACCCTTACTTGAAGGAAAATTAAAGAAAAACATCTCATGAATGTCTTCCAAAAGAATAGATAACCACAGAAATTCATCAAAAGACATCTACCCTCGAGCCAATCAACCAAATCAAAGGTTCCCAAGGAAAACACAAAGAAAATCATCTTAGCATATACAAAGGACGCCTTAGAAATCACTGCAAGACTCTTCAAACTTTTAGGAATTGATGTTGCAAGTAAACCAACAAAATCACTTCAATCAGCTGTTTGTCAGCCAAAAGACTCAACAGCGAAAAAAGGTAAAGCCAACATCATCTATAGGATAAACTGCAACGACTGAGAAAAACACTTTATTGACCAAATTGAATGTCACCTTTGTCTTCGCATCCAAGAACACAAACTAGCCATCAAAAGACATGATATCCATTCCCTCACATCGCCGCATACAGACAAACACGGACATCAGTTTGACTGGGACAAAGTTCATATATTATGCAGAGGAAACACGAAGAATGCCAGAGAATTTTAAGAAGCTTGGTTTTCCAGCGAGTCGGTAATTAACAGGCAGATTGACACGCACAAAAAGTCAAACTTCAGGTCAAGGAAACAATCAATACCAATACAAGTACACTACAGGGTGTGAAGACAGGACCAACTAATAACATTCAGGGTCATCAAGAGAGATGACTAATAAACTCGTGGAAAAATCTAAAAGCTCACTTCAAATTGAAGTATGCGCTGAAGATGTTGCCTAGTAGGGCAATGAAAGCTTAGCGAATAAACCATCCAGCTCAGAGAACACAACTACATTAAAAATTTCGTTTATTCCTTTAGGAATATATCAACTTTTAATAGTAATAAATATGCACGATAAACTTATTTGAAACAACGAAAACTCCTGGAATATAACCACTGTATCATTCCAGAGATACCTGTTCTTTTATTTTCTTTCTCATTTCTTCTTCGTCTTTTTCATCCAACCAGCCTTGTTTTAAAAGGTAATTTCTTAATCTACTTATTGGATTATCCCCTTCTTCCCATTGTTTCACCTCTTCATCTGACCGATAAGCTGTACTGTCATCACTGGTACTATGATGTCCAACTCTGAAATTATACAAACTCAAGTCTTTTCATCAGTTGGTTATATGAAAATGAATATATATATATATGTACAAAATGAGAAGACACAAAATATGAGACAAAACTTGAAAAATTATCCAAACTCTCATTCTCTTAATTTGGCTAATTTCTCCAAAGTGAATTTCTAAGCAATTATATTTGAAATTAAACTTCTTCTATTTGAATAACTGCCTTCACCTTATGATTGAATGCTCATTTTATTGAGTTTGAGCAGTTAAACAATAAGTCGAAACTGTTTTTTTTTTGTTTAATTATCAATATCGCATTGATGTGAAAATAATCTATCACTGGCATTAGTTGTGTTTGTTTTTGTTTGTTTGTTTTTTTTCTTTTTCAAAAATAGATGTGCTATTAACAGCTTGTCAGGAAAAAAAATAAGCATTGTAAAATAAACAATGATTTCTACAACAGATTAAAAATTAATTATTTTTACACGACTAAAATAATCAATCTAGATAACAAGAGTTAAATAAAATTTAACTTCAGGTGGTGAAAGTGACTGACATATTACCAGATATAATAATTTAATCACTTGGTAAGAAATTACAGTTTTTGTCACTAATAACGCTGTATAATAAATATTAAGTTAAACTGTGAGTAAATGTCTGCAAGTTTTTATTGTATAACACATGAAAAAAGGTTAGGTAATTCATTGAGAATTCAAGTGTCAATATTCCATTTTGTAGAATACATTAAGAAGTATATTTTTTTTCCTATCACATATGAAACTGAAGTGATCAGACAATAGACATTCTGACAGTAATACTTTTTCAGTCTGATGAGTTCCATCTAAGATAATTTTTTTCCTATCCACTGAAGTATATTGGGGAAACACGATGCTTATTAAATATAAATCATACCACGTGATAATTCATGTCAATAATAGGCTGTCAAACATTACAGTCGCTTCTATTATTTAAAAAGATAAGTTTTTATGTTTCACTCCTTGTAAGAATTACAAATATACTATCGACTAAAACTTGTAGATTACTTCATATTCTATTAGGAAGTTCAAATGGCGGGTAACATAATGAAAACTAGCAGGATCTCTATTTTCAAAATACACGATTAGATGATTGTCCAAGGTATTTGTCTTTTTACTTGTAATTCAAGGGTAGGAGGGATGAACTTTAAGATATTTTATTCATGTAACTGTCAAAATAATTTTTCCTGTTAGAACTCTATTCTATCGTTAGTATTAGATGGTTGGAGGTAATCGACAGGAAAGCTTGGACTTAGGTCTCGTTCTAGTTGGCACTCATCAGCAAGGCGTATCTGCACTCTTGAAGGAACTCATGTCCCTTCTGAGATTCGAACCCAAGTCACCCAGTGCTGCAGTCAGAGACGTTACCACTGAGCTATTCAGGCTCGCGATTGACCTCCTGTAGGACTGTGTTGGATATTTTTGATTGGACACTAGTCAGTAACTAGTGTAATGTGAGTGCCTAGACTATTTACTCTATCGTCATTTTACTCTCTTTGCGTTCCGGATGGGACATAGGATTTCAAGCTTGGGATTTCAGTAGTTGCGATGTTGTTTCTATGGGATGGGGTTACTACTCAGCCTTCTTTCTTCTCCAGATGTGCTACCAGCCAGCTACTATCACCGAACCACTGACATACATCTCCATTGTTATGATAATCAACGGTTTCGAGAACTTTTACCGAAAAAAACCCAAAATAAACTTTCTTACCTATATGTCATAGCTTCAATTAATACTGGTCTACATTCTTTGAGGCATATTTCACGTGCCATTTTTGTAGCACTGTATACAGCGAATACATCATTTCCATCGACTCTTGTACCAGGAATTCCAAGTGCTATTGCTCGAGCAACTATATTGTGAAAAGGATAAGTATAAATGTACTTAGTTATTTAAAATTAAATCCCTTTTTTAAGTAATACTACTTTAGAATTCCAAAGATAAGTAAATTAATCTACCCAATACTAACACCTTCACCTAATACAACCGTTTTTTTTAACCTAACTGCTCAAAACTATATTTTAACTCTTAAAAATATGTATAATTTTAGTGTAGATTTATTTGTACTAGCTTTATTTCTTCTAAATGATTAACCAGCATAACGCAAACTGATCTTCATGACATGCAGATAACGTTTACTGCAAAAATTTGCTAACACTTACCAAACTATTTCTAACTTAAATTCTGCATAGAATGTTTGCCTATAGAGGCATTCACAAGATAAGCATTCCAAAGTGAATCTATCTAGTTATTTTATCATACAACAACACTATGCATCCCTTTTTTGAAGTATGGTCTAAGGAAATAAAAAATTATGAATTCGATTTGTGATAGTGTTAAATCAAATGAGACTTCACAGTTAGCAACAGTTTAAATACAATTCTCGTTTTCAGTGAAATTTCACAACAGCGGTTAGGACTCTCGACGACCGTCACATGGTCTGGGTTTCGGCCCCCTGCCGATATCACATGCTGAAAATTCCATACTTGAACCAAAAATAAGGTGTGGAATCAAGCTGTAAGCAAAGAAATAGTAGTAATAATAATAACAATAATAATGGCTAGTTTTTGAATTATTTGTATTCTCTGAGCTGATTGTTTTAATTGCGAAGCTTTCATCGTCCTTCTGTACAACACCTCCAGCACAAAAGGACGACGAAAGCTCCACAATTAAACCAACCAGCTCAGAGAACACTACTAATCCAAATTATCCACCTGAGCTGCGAATCTTCTCTGTTATTTCAATAATGGCTAGTTCAGAGTCACCTGACTTTGATATCCTTGAATGAATTAAACTTATGCGTCAAATTTTAATGCAGCTTACTTGTAAATAGATCTAACTGTCAGAATGCAATCAAACGAAGGTAACTGATTCTAAAAAATATGCTACAATTGAACTGAATGGAATAAATTTCATACTGCAAAAAAATATTAAATTGTAAATATATTGTCAGAAGCAATCAATAAAGTTTAAACATAATTGGAAATAGTTTTACTTAAGTCACACGGTGAGTTCGACATTATTAGTCCATTTCACCCTATAGAATCATTAGACCACCCAAATCATTATGTCAGCTCATCAATTTTTAATACAAAAACAAAGTAACAATGATGCTAAATTTCTAATAAATATTTTCAATCTTTTAAATCATAAAACTTAAACTTTTTTAGTCTTTATTGAAACACTGTACTCAAAAAAATAGAATATATCTATATTTATAGAAATGCAATCTAAATCTAACCTATTCCATCTCCTCTGTATTGCTCCCGACTAGGAGTGGATATAGCATAAGCATTATTTCTTACTATTAGCAGTAGAGGGCACTGCAGTGTTGCAGCAAAATTAAGACCAGTGAATGCATCTCCTTCAGAAGCTGCTCCTTCTCCAAAGTAACAGGCAACAATGCTTCCATTACCAGCTAATTTGTATGAATAAGCCGATCCTGCCGCTACAATATGAAAACAAAGAAGCTTATAAACACCTATCTAAAATAGAAATATATTTATATGTTTAGTATATTGCCAAATTTATCAAACACTTATCTTAATTCAAAAATTATTTTTATTTTACTGAAAAAATTACTAAAGAAAATAAGCATTTGTTTTCTATGTCATGTTAACTGTTAAATTTATTAATTTCACTATTACTGTTCATAATTATATCTAGAAATAAAAAATTTACTAGGGAACATAAAGTGTAATTTCAGCAGAGTAATGTTGTGGCGTGTACTACTGATAAGATTTATCAGTAGTATATGGAGAGATGTTCAGTGGCATAAATATTTCAAACAGCGGAGAGATGGATTTGAAATCAGAGAAAGCAAATGATTCAGCGTTGCAGCGAAACATGAGAGACACGAAAAGAAGACAAGGAAACGGAATACAAAAGGTCAAAGTAGCACAAAACTGAAGATTTGTGCAAATGACGACAAGGTTTACATAATTTCGCCATACAGATATGCGAAATCCTAATAAACATTCGGTTACCAAGTATCTTCTCTTCTGCTGTCACAATATGACATCAAATTCTCAATGTGTGTTAATTAATTCTTCAGTCACTTTTGAACTCTGGTGTACATTAAAATTCGATCTGGACGAAATTTTTCATTTTACAATAAGTTCTCTTCAGGTTCTTACACGTATAATTTAAAATACTCGTAATTATTTTAATAACTACCACACACCTGGAAGCTTTTATTCTTCTCAGGCAAACTTTTACTTCAAACCTATAAATTTTCATCAACAAATATGGCAAGAAAGAATGTAAAAATCCAGATACAATTACAGTCAATAAGAAATAGATTTTCACTCAACTGGACTTTAAAGGTGAAGTTATTATAAGAATGAATAATGAACTTTCAAGTGCAGCCACTGATTAGGACATATTCGGCAGCAGAGCTAATCTCTCTGTTCCTTACATCCTACTCATAGGCACAGTCAAAAATAGACAAGCACCCCTCACATGTTACCTCCAACTGTGTATATTAGTTCACTTGTAATGTCAGGAACAGTTTCATTGAGAGAAAAAAGAATGAGTTATGTAAGATTCTTCGATTAAAGGGACTGAATGGTTTAAACTCATCAATTACCAAGCATCAGATAGATACAGAACACCAAGCGGACGCATTGGGAGCATTTAAAACAATTAACAGCCTAAGCAGCCCAAATATTCTTCAGTTTACCGAATCAACTGCAATAAAACAACTGAAACCTGACCTATGCAATCAAAAGGAATCCGTCGTGTGACATCAATTACCCTAGTAACTTTCCCCTTAGTAGCTGTTTGGCATATGTTTCTGTTGTTTCGTTTCAACACACACATACACCCAAATTTCTGACTTTCATAGACTTTATGTCAGATTCTTTGAATTCTACTCACCGTAATTACATCATCATCTCCACATTTGACTTCGTACACTCTAAATTTTCTTCCTGAAGTTTTTTGAGTTCTAATCACTTCATTCTATTTTCTCCGATTACACAGCCAACACTGACTTACCACCACCTAACAATAAATTTGCTCGTCTTTTAAGTGGACCTTCGCTCTTATAAAATTTGTGTGTACTAATAATTTTCAAATAACCTTATCTTCCTTGTGTTTTGTTTTACTATGACTTCCTTACAGCAATCCTAACTGGAGGACTGATTCATAATCATAAACAAAATGTATGTTAAAATTCTATTATATAACCTGTTTTATTAAATGTTACAGGTTGTACTCAGCTGTAGGAAACCGATGAAATAAAATGGATCTGCGCCAGTGTTTGTTCTATCATTGTTCAAACTTTCTATTTCACTATACGGGAATATTAAAGACTCTTAAGTTGTATGATATACATCAGTTCAATCTGTTCAGCAGTTTTTAAAATGAGTGTTGAGTGCATAAAGTTAAAAATTTCACAAGTTCATTAATAACTTATTGAAGCTGTTGAAACATTCTTAAAACTGCAGGAATTGAAGTCTGAATCTTTCATTTAAGATATATATATATCGAGAGAGAGAGAGAGATGAAGAGAGAGGATAGTGACACAGTATAAAATTGAAAATGTGACTCACTTTTCAGCTAAGCTATTAAAATACATTTTGATTTATATGTCAATTTACTAAAAATAGCGGTTTATTTACAGTTTAGCGAGAGTTGCTGAAATTCAGATTGTAATTACTTTGTCGGCTCTTTGTGCTCTTGAAATATATTCGCTGTTTTCTACATACGACTGACATCCTTGACAGTGAATCCACTGTAGCGTTCATGTTTTGCACTTATTTGAGCGAAACCATTATTTATTATTATTTTACTCCTTTATGTTCTTAGTGGAACATAGGGCTTCAAGCTAGAGGCTTGAAATTTCGGTGGCAGGGGTGTGGTTGCTGGCTTCACGCCCAACCTTCCATCTTTATCGTCTTTACTACCACATTAGCGAGGTCCAGGAGTGTGTTTGCCCGAAATCGAATCTGGGACCAGATGCGTGGTTGGCGAGCTTTCAATCGCTGAACCACCGACGCTGAGAAAAACCATACAGATAATTCAATGACTCTTTTAGGCAAACTAGCTAAAAAGACACTCATATTAAACAAGAAATACGAAACCAGCTTCTATTGTTTAATCTCCTGAGTTCTCCGCACTAACAATCAGATCCAAGCATTTCAAACGCCACTACTGTGAATTCAAATATTTATCAAATTTCAAACTTCATACAGATTATTATTTCGCAATAAAGTGATGTGTCTTTTTTCTTAAATATCAAAAAAACTTATTTGCAGTTGCTTTACTAATCGATTACTTAGTGCCATGTTCTACAGACACAATACAATAATCTTCCTGACCGCCAATTTAAAAAATTGGTTTCCAGTCTTTCGTTGTTTTAAATCCCCTATCGATACAGTCTAGGTTTTTCGATAAATAACAAAAATAACAGTCTACTTAAGTCTGAAATATTTTCTAGGATTTTTCTAAGCTATGGAGTATTTGTGCTGTTTAATCTGTGTTATTACTATGAAATATTTCTTTAGACATCAAAATAAATGCTTCACTTGAATGCCTTCATGAAAACTGCTGGGACGAGAACACTCCTCATCAACTTTGCTTCTAAACGAATGGATTCATATCTAATAAAGTCAGGCACATAATTTATTTCTCAGCTGAACAAAAGAGTTTATGGGGCTTGTGTATAAAGGTGCCATGAGACAACTGCTTTCATAATTTCATTCTCCACTTGGAAAGTTTTTCCCAATCTTTTTGAAGAAGTGAATACAGACTGAGTTTTAAGGGTATCATAAGCATCATTTACATTAGGAATATACTACAGTATTCTTCACAGTTTTGTTGTTACATTCACCGGTTTTTTCTGCAAACTAGAACTAGAGTCTTGATGATATGGATCGAGATAGTTCCAATATCTCAATGTGAATATTTAAAACATGGTTGACGCCAAAAGAAATGCATTCCAACTGCAGAGAATTGTGGCACACCAAATGCATATAAGTCTGTCAAGAATTCAATCTTAGAATGCTCGACAACCCATCTTGTGGTCCGCGTTCTACCATTGGTCGACAAACTTCTAAACCTTGTTCGATAAAAAAGGAATATTCAGCATGAGACTAGAAACCCTACTAAGCAAAAAGAAAAACACCGCTACTACTGAAACTTCAAAGGTCAAGCCTGAAGTTCTGTTTTCCACTTGAAAAGCAAAGGAATGAAAAATGCAAATAAATTACCTACTGTCTGTGAAGTTATTCACGCTTCCCAAAGAATCTAAGATATGAATATCTTTTGTAAGTTATTGATTAATGGGGCTGTAACCATATCTCAGGTTTTCTTCAACTTAGAATAGACTAAATCTATTTTTTGGAATATTTATCTCACAAGACCACGCACTAATTTTGTTCGCCGCTACTATAATGCGCAGTAGATTGGATAATGCAACAGACGGCGGGCAATGAGGAAAACAGGCATAAAATGGACCCACACAAAAAACTTGAAGGATCTGGACTTCGCCGATGATATATGTCTGATTTCCCGCATACTGGAAGATATGCAAGCGAAAAGCAACAAGTTGACAGAAGAAGCATCAAAGATAGGACTTCAGGTGAACATAGAGAAAATAGAGGTGATGAAGATTCCTGGGCAACACCACCAACAGCAGCAACAACAACAGGCAACAATCAGCATACACGGGAGAAACCTGAAAGAAACAATCTCCCTTACCTACCGACCTGGGAAGCATCGTTTCAACTACAGGCGGACGGATCTGACGAGGATATCGAAGCAAGGATCGGGAAAGCAAGGCAAGCTTTCACTACTCTCAAGTCTGTGTGGAGGTCAACAGCACTCAGCATCAAAAATAACATCCGTTTGTCCAACTCCAATGTGAAGTCAGTGCTACTATACGGATCAGAGACTTGGCACGTAATAAAGAGCATCTTAAACAAACTACAGACCTTCATTCACAGTTGTCTTCACTCAATACTCAAGATCAGATAGCCGGCCAGAAAAGATCAGCAATAGTGAGGGATCTCTGGGAGCGAACCAACACAGCAGGAACCGATTGTGAAACAAATAAGCAGGAAGAAATGGAGATGGATTGGCCATACTCTGAGGAAACCATCAAGTGACATCACTAGACAAGCCATCGCTCGAATGGAACCCGAACGGGAAGCGGCAAGTTGGTCGTCCAAGGGTGACTTGGAGGAGGTCATGTGACGAAAAGATGAAAGCATGTGGGCAGACTTGGAGCCAGGTGAAGACTCTAGCAGAGAACCGAGCGCAGCGGAGACGCGCAGCTGAAGCCCTATGTTCCTCTAGGAATTAAAGGAAATAATAATAAAGCCCATTAATAGTGTTTTTAAATATTCTCAAAAGTAGAGAATTAATTTACAACTCCTACCAATAGGTATTTGAGTACCAAGAGGAGATGATACAGTAGAGAAATTAAGTTCCCTCGATCCATAGTGAAGCGGCATTTGACGGCCTTTATTCCTATCACCAACATTTGAGTAACACTGATCCATTAGATTTTCTAATTTTTGCCCCCGCCATAAAAGAACTCCGGCTTCTCTGTATTGAGCATATATGAAATCCTCTACAGATGAGCAATCAACATTGAGATCAATTACCTGGCTTTAGCGCTGCTGCAGAACTAACAGTCGCTGCTTCTTCTCCATAGCTGGTCATATAAAATGATATTCGACCTTGACGTTGCGATTCATACATTATTTTATCAAAAGTTCTCAAAGTGATCATCTTTGTAAAAATATCCATTAGTAAATTCTTGTCTAACTAAAGCAAGTTATCAACAAAACAAACTGATACCTCAGATTTATAATTAGGGACTTTAATTTCACCATTCTTGTCAGCGACTTGAAAAATTCGTATGCAGCCTGATCGTTCTGGACGAATAAAATCCAAAGTGTTTGTGTATGGGATAGTGTGATCAGGAAAAGAAAACTATCTATGTGCTTTTATGTTTACTAAACCTACCGAACAAGCATGACCCGAAGCAAATCTCTTGAAGAGGTGACAGAAGGCTGATTTTCTAATCATTCCTCTTGGACTGATATCAAAACAAATTCGGTAGCTGTAGTTAAACAATAACCACGAGAAACATGTGACTAAATGGAGCTTTTATCAAAGGTATTTGGTCCCAAGGTCAACATAAAATACTGTACTCATAAACATTTCTTTCTTGTGGTTAAATATCCCCAGTAGAATAATAAAAAATAGAAGTCTGTTTTACACTGGTCACTGGTTAATTTAGTCAAATCTTCTAGCATAAAAAGTAATGAACACTATGAAGGACAAGTTAGACATGTAGCTACAGTTTTGAAAATTATTATAAGAGGAAGATCTGTAGGATAGTTCTTCAATAAATAAAAAAGTATGGTTGTGATTCGGATTAATCTAACTCTAATTCTACGCTGAATCAATAAACAAGGTTTTCTTTCAAAGAGGAAGAACTTGTGATTCTCTTTCCGTGTCACAGTTACTCCTGTCTGTTGTTGTATTTCTGTCAGATGAACGTTGAAATATATCAACCATAAGTGGTTCTAATAGTTAAGAATAATGCAGTCAAACTTTAGACTAGGTAAGTACACTGAAGATACAACTGCCCAGTAGCTCTTAACCACGACAGAAGACTAAATTTTTCGATGCTGAATATTCAGTGAACGACAGAATAAGCGTCAGCACAAGTTGTGAAAAAGGAATCCAACTAATATATATACATCCTGCTGGCAATAGAATACATGAAATGTTTGAAATGAGGATAAAATTAGTGTCTTTGGCAGTCATTTCCTAGGCTATCATTTATAAAATATGCTCTATGAGCACTTTTATCTTCGTGGAATATTCAAAATGAAGTTTCCCTCCCTCTGAATCGCCTCTTTGAAAAATAACTTGCAAGTTCTGGAATAGCTCCAGAGCTCAGATCTTCTTGTATGTAAACTAAACGTGTCAGGAGCTCTGAACACGCTGTATTCTCATATCATATTTAGTTACTTAACACTCCACAATTGAAGCCTTACTATTTTCTGAGTAGTATCTTGGATATAACTTGCATTTTATAATCTCACTACATCTAGTTTGCAGAGCTAAAGGGTACTTGGTAATGACATCGGAGAATTACTCTTTCACATTTTACTAATAAGGCTGAAGAAAACGAGATATCTGACTATCTTTGTTTTATATAGGGCTTCTGTTAGTAGTTGAATAAACTTTCATAGGAACAGACACTTTAATAACTTCTTTTCCGAGGATCCCTGTAAAATCTATTTTTCGACACGACGTAGAGGTAACTGTTGCCTTGCAACTAATTCCAAGCTGTGCCTATGTTATCTATTGAGGCTCATATGATGTGTATAGTTAGCAGCAGTCATCACAACATGCGTGATATTTTGTTCCTTTTAGCATTTCATGCATAAAATGTTATCACTTTAACAAGAGAATGTCACAATGAGTATTTTCACAAAGAAATGTGGTAGTAAGAGGAAAGAACTTGTAAGGCTTAACTTATAATACAACGTAATCTAATTATTCATGGGCCACTAACCAAAACTATTTTAAAAAGATCGTCTAGTGACATACTCCCTATTTTGGCTTCTGACATACTGGCACAAAAATTCAAAACTGAATTTCTGCTATAACTGACAGAGGGGCGCATTGAGTCTACAGTCAGCCAAAGTAACATTTTCAGTTGTCACTCAATCATCCAACTTAAGTTGGAAAGAGATTTACTGTCAAAGCAAGTTAACTTCATGAAGATTAACATGAAAATTTTGCTTGATATTCAGTAGATGTTAAATTCTCACTTACAGAGACTGACTGGTGTCAACGTAGAACAATTCGAAGGCGGAGAGGTGTTTACTTACCAGTAAGAATGAAAACAAATGTGTGCAGTTCACATCTACATACACTAATAAAAATTTAAACAAGGATTTTTCTCATATATTCAGAAGATATAGGATCAGAAACAAAGTTATCTAGATTAAATAGTCTCATAGCAAAGTATTAGAAATAATCATTGTCAACTTCTTCCAATTACTCGAAATCAGTACAGATTAGAGTACAATGAAGCACAATTTCCAGTCATCTTGTGTGCTAGCGATTTGAGGTTATTATCAAATAGCCCATGTTTTCCTTTCTGAAAAAATGAGAATTGCGCACAATTTCTCACTTAATAATTCAAGATCCACTCCATACAACTTTTGAAATTTGTAACCACTTTGTGAGGCCTTGAAAACTACTACCACGGTTTTGGATGCTTCAAAATACAGAGCCACAGAATTCAGCTGTAGGAATATTACAGCTACAATAAAATTCCTTCGTCTATTCTCTGCATAGAAATACTGTTGTGTATCTTTTTCAAGCAGTCAGGTTGTTAACCATTTCTAGTTTGACACATTGCAGCTGTTCAACAACTAATTTCCTATATGATATCCATTCAAACAATATAACTGCTACTGTGAGGTACCAGAATAGTTTATTTTATTGTATTTTATTGATTCTGCTCTAGAAGAGCCGGTTTGGAAGGTTATTTCAAGCTTGTTGAAGACGCACAGTGATGGTGATTTAGACTTACAAATGAATGACACTTAAAACTGCTCCTTGTATCTAGGTGTAAACCATTTCTTAGCAGTTTAGCCCTACGATAGCATATGTTGAACTTCCGGAGAGCATGCGGGTTACCTGAAAATTCATTTGATACTACCTGAGGTGGAATAACCCTACGGCTGGATTGTTCTTATAAGCCGTAATTTGCGCTGTTATATATTGTATGACTCTCCACTCAACATTCCAATGTTGGTGAAAAAGCCGCCCAAAGCATAAAAACTCCAGCACTTTATTTATGTGGAGTACGAACCAAATATTGCTTACCGCTAGATTTACCCCTGTATAACGATTATGCTGGTAAAAATAAGACGGACTAAAGTAAACAAAAAACACGTCCATGTTGTGGCAGTGAGTAATGTCTGCTAATACTTAGTGAAAAACATGTTCTAACCAAATCGTATTCCGTCTGAAATATTCAAGTGAACATCTTGCAGAATTGTTGTATAGGTTACACTGACTTTTGGAGTGTACCTGTGCTTAATCGATACGTATGCATTTTATACCTACGTAGCCTGGTGCATTATTTCCTCCTGAGACGTATAAGAGCGTACATTTCAGAAAATTGCTGTCTATTTCCTGTCACCTCCTCCACAACTGCAAAACACTTGTAGGTAATGGACGAAAAATATTTTCGGAATAAGTTTTCAAAATTCAAAGCTTAATTTAAAGAAACAGCATCCATTCGCCATGCTTACGTATGCTCACACTATATCCTTACCTTAACTGTAGTATTACTCTTTTCTAATAGCCTTCAGCCATTTTTTATTTTTTGGTTACACTTTCTCATTTTGTTCTCTCTCATGTTAATAAGTCGATTTATAGACATAAGGCCTGACAAACTGGATTCTACGCATTAGCGCTAGAACTTACTTTTAAATTATGACAGTACTCAGTGCAAATGTGTTTATTTTCTCGCGTTTAGCTACCTATTTTCTCTGCCGCCTTTGCTTTGATTCACCAGGTTCCTTCATTCATGTTTTCCATTTACCTTTCATTTTCAACTATCTGCTTGGTAATTCCGAATAGTTCATTATCCTATTTTAATCACATCTACCCGTTCAAAGAAGCTGTTGTACCTATTAAGAGAGTTTTAACATTGAAATTTCTCTTCACCTTTTGCCGGTAGCTGATAATAGCTTAGGATATTCGCATGGAATGAACAGGTGAGTGACAGCAAACAGCTTTCGAAAGCGGGAAGTTTATGTTTGTATCGAGAATACTATTTACAACCAACATTCTTGACTTTAAGACACCCGTATAGATGAAGGTTTTCAGTTTAGAATTTGTCTACTTTAGGACATTGCTGTGCAGAACTGTAACTAGCTAATAAGTTCATTTGTTTGCTTTGTTGACATAGATATCTCTGTGTGATTCTGATTTTTGGCTACTAACTTGTTATTTATATGTCTTATGAAGTCTGAAGGCCCTAGGTATAGAAATACAAGTAAAGTGAGGTGTAATGCATAAACTCCCACCCTGAAAATATCCGCAGATTAAAACATTTTGGAACATACTCATGGAATATAAAGGTGAGCCCCTCTCACTCATTAAAGCTTTCAAACACGTGAATGTAGTGGTTTTACCGTGCTGTTGTTACATCCACGAAAATGCAGTTTTTAATCCTTTGATGAAGGATTGCAATTGTTACCTTTACAAGAAGTGACTTCGGTAAGCGTCCGTTTTATTATATTCTATTAAGGTAAACATTCAACCATCCTGCTACAAAAGGAATAGTTTTTCAGGTTTCTTAGAAATTCATTATAAAAAATATGAATTTTAGTCTTCAAGATTCATTTACCAAACATATTCCTTTTCCCTCATCCAACCACTTACTAATTTACGTCAAAGAAATGAATAAGCTTACATGCCTTAAGTGGTGGTCTAATTTAGCCTTTTGTTTCTGATATACAATTCCTTCTTTTAATGTGGAAGATTATTTTACTTTGTTTACTATGCGTTATATATTCTAAGTTCGTAATATAATTAGTCGGAGAAGTGCTGGAGAAAATTACAACGCTTATATGTGTGAGTGCCGAGGAAGTCGAAGTTATGTATTTGCGCAGAAACCGTGTATTTATGAACTAACGAGAATAGGTAAAGTTACCTAGAACAAGACAATTTAATAGGGGAAGAGAATAAAGACCTATAAGAATTTGTAAGATACAGTAGTCAATCTTTGACGTAGTGCGGTACCATATATGCAGTAAATCTGATCAAATAAAACGAATCAAAGATAACGCAAAAGCTACCAAAATTTATTAAAAGACTTATTACATTTGATCTAATTTACTGAGACTCCTAAATTTCATCTAAAATTTTCCCACTGTCTTACATCTTCACCTTGTGCAGCGACTAACAATGGACTAGTAAAAAGAAATGGGAAGAAAAATAATAAAGAAATGGATCACAATATTGCAAGAAAGAGGTGTAAGCAG